GCTCTTCTTGCTTTTAATGTTTCTGTTGAGAAGTCTGCTGTGATTTTGATGGGTTTACCTTTGTATGTTACTTGTTTTTTCTCTCTTACAGCCTTCAATATTCTTTCCTTAGTTTCTGAACTTGTTGTTTTAATGATGATATGTCGTGGAGTAGTTCTATTTTGATCTGGTCTGTTTGGTGTCCTGGAGGCCTCTTGCATTGTATGGGAATATCTTTCTCTAGATTTGGGAAATTTTCCGTTATTATTTTGTTGAATATATTACGCATTCCCTTCGCTTGCACCTCTTCTCCTTCTTCGATGCCCATGATTCTCAAGTTTGGTCTTTTGATGGAGTCAGTGAGTTCTTGCATTTTCTTTTCACAGGTCTTGAGTTGTTTAATTAATAGTTCTTCAGTTTTTCCTTTAATTACCATTTCATCTTCAAGTTCTGAGATTCTGTCTTCTGTTTGTTCTATTCTGCTGGATTGGCCTTCCGTTTTGTTTTGCAGTTCTGTTTCGTTCTTTTTTCTGAGGTTTTCCATATCCTGGCTGTTTTCTTCTTTATTGTTGTCTATTTTTGTCCTGAGTTCATTTATCCATTTATTCATTGTGTTCTCTCTTTCACTTTGGTGTTTATACAGTGCTTCTATGGTTTCCTTTATTTCTTCTTTTGCTTTTTCAAATTCTCTATTTTTATTGTCTTGGAATTTCTTGAGTGTCTCCTGTACATTTTGGTTGACCCTATCCAGTATCATCTCTATAAAATTCTCATTGAGTACTTGTAGTATGTCTTCTTTTAAATTATTCTTGTGGGCTTCATTGGGTCCTTTGGCATAGTTTATCTTCATTTTGTTGGAGTCTGGATCTGAGTTTCTGTTCTCTTCATTCCCTCTGGTTCCTGTACTAATTTTTTGCTGTGGGGAAACTGGTTTCCTGTTTTTTCTGTCTTCCGTCATTGTCCTTGGTGTTGTTACTGTCCCTGTACTGTGTGCAATTAAGTATTTTCTAGCTTGTAATAATAACAATGGTAATATTGAGAATGGAAGAGTGAGCTGAGATGGAAAGCAAGAAGTTAAAGAAAAGGGGAAAACAAATATACAGACAAGAGGGAGAAAGCAGAACAAGGTATCAGACAAGAGAGTTTCAAAGGTATAAACAGGGAGTGTTAGTGTACTAATCGACAGTAAGCTGAACAGACAATAGAGAGACAGAGAGAGGATTGAAAATCAAAGATAAAAAAATAAAAAATAAGTATATGAAAGTAATATCTATTATAAAAATGAATTAAAATAAAATGGAAAATAGAAAATTAAAAAAAAAAAAACCAAAAAACTTCCAAGTTTATATGCAATGCAATTTCAGTCTTAATAATTTGGATGTCCGTCTCAATCTCCAGTCCTGGAGTTGGTGCCTCAGATGTTGTTCTGTAGTTGTCTCATCAAAGGGGATGCATAAAGTAGAACAAAACTACACTCACACACACACAGAAGAAAAAAAAAAAAAAGCCCCACCAAGTGTCCCAGTTCAAATGCAATACAGTTTCAGTAAGTTTTTCGCTTGCAGGTGTAATTCGGTTGTTCTCTCATCAAAGGTAGGGAGAAAAAGAAAAAAAAGCGTCTGGAGGCAGTTCTGAGAGTGGTATCTGCAACTGTGGCTTGCCTGCCTGCTGCTCTCAGCCTGTAGCTGGCGGCGTTATTTATGCAGATCTCTGGGGTGAGCTTAGCACTCACCTGGTCCCACAGGCTTTGTTTGCTCAGAGTTCTCCTGTGCGGGGGCCTCTGCTACAGGCTTTCCCCTTTCCAAGCACTGGGAAAGGTGACACTGCCCCCGCGTTGTCAGGCCTGCGTGTTTATTTACAGTTCACGTGGGAAGTGGGTCTTCCCTCCTCTCACAAGCTCCCGCTCCTGGTTGCTGGGCGCACCCGCTCCCGCCAGAGCCTCTCCGGCCCGCCCGGCTCGTTTATTTACAGTCCCGGGAAGGATTCCCTTCCCCCAATCTTCAGCGCTCAGGGCGCCCCACCCTCTTTCCAGCGTGTCTTAACTGTTCTTATTGCTTAGTACTCAGTTTCTCTTTTTTTCCCGGGTGGAGGTCAGTCTGTCCAGGGGGCTATGCTGCTCTGGTCCAGGCTTGTCTGTGGGGCTACCGCGGTATCGCGAAGCTCACCTGGTCCGCGTCTTCCCATGCCGTATGGGCGCCGGCCACTGGCGGCCCCGGGGGCCCTCCTCGTTTCTCTGTTTAACGTGAAGTGGAGATTCTCTGTGCCGGCTGGAGGTGTGGAGGAGTCAAAGTTATGCCTTTTCTCGGTGATTATGCCTGCAAAGTGTGTCTCCAGCGTCTCTCCAAGATTTCACCATAGGAGGGTCGCTTTCTGCTTCCTACCTCTTGCCGCCATCTTGGAATCTCTCAAGTTAACACATTCTTACCATGCAGCCCAGTAGCCCTACTTCTAAGTAAAAGAAATGAAGAAGACTAGTACATGAATGCTCCTAGCAGCTTTATTCATAATGGCCCCAAACTGGAAACTGTTTTGTCATTATATTGTGATGTAATCATATACACACAATGGATTTAGCAACAAAATTGAATTAACTACTGATAAATGGAATCACAAGAATGGATCATAGAAGCAGTATGCTAAGTAAAAGAAGCTGAACACAAAAGATAATATATAATGATTCCATTATATGAAATTCTGGAAAATGCAAAAGTATAGTGACAGAAAGCCTATTAGTGGTAACTAAGATTTAGAGCAGATAATTATCTGCATAGATACAGGAAGGAATTTGGGAGGGTGATTAGAAATGTTATACAACTTAATTGTACTTGTTATGATTACATACAAAATTATACCTGAGCAAAGCTGAATTAAAATTTAAAAAACTCTCTGCACAACCATATATAAATCCAGTTAAGCAGTTTGCTAATCTTAAAATAATTGCACATGGATCACTTATGTTTTTTAAAAAATTATTTATTGTAGTGCTGGGGGCCAAGCCCAGGGTCTCACATATTAGGCAAGCAAGCATTCCACTACTGAGCTACACCCTAGCTGTGTGCTTTTGTTTATTTAATCTCCAAGGTAAGGTGTGAATAAATCTGAGCTCTTTTAGAGTAGGTTTGTGTATACAAATACTACAGAATTTGAAAGAAAAATTCAGTCTGTCTGAGATAACTGGAAAATGACAGAATTTTTGGACTTCCTCAAGGTGACAGCAAGGAATTAGAACTGGATTAGAAGAAGGAAGGGCAACCTAAGGAGGTTGTTGGAACAAAGTATTATAACTGAAGTGAAGTATGAAAACAGCAAGGCTGCTGGGGGGTTCATTCAGACTGCAGGGAAGCAGAGGAGTGCCTTAGTAAAGTGAGTCCCAATTATGATGTGCTTTTAAGTACTAGAATGAAGAATAAGGTACTGACTTTCTATCTGGAACAGAGTTGTGAAACTATGTGGTAAGGCATTAAAAATTTTTAGTTTCTTGAATGAGACTTGCAATGAAAATGTTACCATCAGATTAAGAGCACTGATATTTATAAAGTACATAGACTACAGCCTGGAACATGATTATCACTGTGTGTATTTGTAAAATAAAATTTCTTTTTCAATTAGAGGTATTTAATGCTAGAATAATGGGGAATGACATCCATACAGGAAGAGAAGGTAAGAGAAATGAGCATTATTCAACATATTATATGGGTCAGGTACTCTTCTTTGTGCTTTCAAATTACATGATTTAATCTTAACAAGAGATATTTAGCATTCTTATTTTACAACTATGAAATTTATTCTCCACCTAAAAAATTAGCTAGCATTTGTTGCCCTTAACGCAGAGAAACTAAAGCAGATACCTTAAAAGCAACTGAGGCCAATAGGAAAAGGGGACCAGGAACTAGAGAAAAGGTTAGATCAAAAAGAATTAACCTAGAAGGTAACACACTCGCACAGGAAATCAATGTGAGTCAATGCCCTGTATAGCTATCCTTATCACAACCAGCAAAAACCCTTGTTCCTTCCTATTATTGCTTATAGTCTCTCTTCAACAAAATTAGAGATAAGGACAAAATAGTTTCTGCTGGGTATTGAGGGGGTGGGGGGGAGAGTGAGGGGGCGGAGTGGGTGGTAAGGGAGGGGGTGGGGGCAAGGGGGAGAAATGACCCAAGCCTTGTATGCACATATGAATAATAAAAGAAAAAAAAATTTATTCTCCTGAAGAGAGGCTTGAATTCTAAACAATTTGGGTACCACAGGCATATAGAAGGGCAGTGTTCTCAAAGGTTGGTGAGAGCCTATTGGATTAAAATTACCAGGGATGCATGTCCACAAATCATACTCAGAGCTAGTAAATTTGATTGGGCTGTTGGGAGTTGGGGTGAACAGGAATCTGCATTGCTAACCAGCTCCCTAGTTTGTTGGTAATCTCAAAGTAATTTGACAAACCCTGTTTTAAGATTTAGATATTTTGGTGTGTGATGGTTTCAGGGACAAAAGTTAGCCTCATTCGTTATCTTTGTCTTTGTTAAAACATAAATTGTATCTTTACAGTGTTCATAAAACATACATATGGTTCTCACTGCTCATGTTTCATAAATGAGTTAAAAATAAGCCTGTATTCTGTATTAGACCTCATTAGAATTTATATTGTTGACTACCTAAAGAAACCTCTATCTGGTAAGCAATATTTTTCAGACTTTTCTTCCATTTCTCTCAGCTTACGCTACTTAAGATCTGTTACTTTTTTTTTTTTTTACTATTTTTATACAGTGTGGGATAAAGGTGTATTTTCATTATTATAATAAGTATATTATAGTGAATAACAAATAGAAGAACAGATTTTATAATGAATAACAAATAGAAGAACAGATTTTCACAAATTGTATTTATAAGTAATGGGCCTTTTATGAGGTAATTCTATTCTCCTAATTGTTTTCATTGTCTTTTTAACAAGCATATCATCCCCAAATAATAATTTGTAGTGTGTAGCTGGTTGTTTGCACTTAGTTTTACAATTTTCTGTGTATTGTCAACAGTGATTCTTTCCTTGCACACCGAGAAAGTCTGCGACACATGATGAGAAATTTTTCTGAACCGTTTGGAAGAGACTTGCTCAGTATCTCTGATGGTAGAGGAAGAACCCATAATCGTACAAGACATGATGATGGCGAGGATTCCTTAGCTGTAAGTTCTTTACGTTAAAGACAGTTAGTGAGAAGATCCTGTGGGAACTTGATGAAAGTATTGTAGAAGTACGTATCTGTGATGATGGGATATGACTACTGCTTGTGTTACAGAAATAGCTCATATAATAGAGGAGACCTGTTAGAAAGCTGAATCCTGGAACAAAGAGTTGTTATCTATATAGAATTCCACTGTATTACAAAAAATTTCAGAACCTTAGGATTATATATGCCAAACTTAACCCATTATTTTTCATATGAATGTATTTCTCACCTTAGAACTTTCTCCCATGTCTCTTAAATTAGAAAAAACAAGGAAACATCCTGCTTGGTCAAATGCACTTAAAAAATACATTTTAAAATACTCCTGAAATCTCTAGTATATTTATCTTTATTAGTCTAGGAAACACTAATCTTCTACGTGGATACCTTGGATTTTCAAAGCCTAGATTAACGTTTAACTATTTCAGAAGCCTTGCACAACTGTAATATATTTCCATAAGTTTTTTCTGAGGGCAAATCTTGGAGGTTACAAACATAATCAAGTCAAAAAAAGAAAAGAAAAATAGCAAGGATATTTATCTGAACCTTTTTACTTTTTTGTCTCTTATTTATGTTGCTTTTTCAGCCTCAAGAATGGCAGTTGCAAAAATTAGAGATAAGAGCAAAATAGTTTCTGCCTGGTAGCGAGGGGGTAGAGGTGAGAGGGAGGGGGCAAGGGGTTAAGGGAGAGGGTGGGAGGAAGGGGGGAGAAATGACCCAAACATTGTATGCACATATGAATAAAAGAAAAAAGAAAGAAGAAAACAACAACAAAAAACCCACTTAGCAAAAAAAAAAAAAGGCAGTTGCAGAGTAACAAATTCACAGGGGTTTCTATAAAAATGAATGTCTGCAGTCGAAATGTAAATATTTGGAACTCAGTGAACACTGAATTGGTCAATTGTCAAAGTTCCAGAATCTTTTAGAAAAACATTTTCATATTTTCTGCTTGCAGGAAGCATAAATAGAGCAAAATCCTTTAGTTAGTCCTGAGAAGTTTGATGAATAAAATTGCATTTATCATTTAAAACAAGATTAATCCTCACATTATTCTTTTCATATATATTATCCCCAAATAGCATATCCACAATTCAAATTAGTTTTCTTTTAATTAGTGACGTGTAATATGGCAATATGTATTACTTTTAGTGTTAATAGGTTAATATCAGACTAAGTTTTATAAAAGTCCTATCAGAAAAAGTTGTCAAAGGGAAGAAAAATGTATTATGAGCATTGAAAATCATTTGAGTATTAAAATAGTTTGTACATCTACAACCATAGTAAGGAAAGAAAAGGGCTTTTTGTATTTGTATGTATAAGTGTGCTACTTGTAGCTTTTATGGAAAAAGCAAGAAGAGGCAATTTTATTACTCTAAGTATAGAAATGAGGTCTGTTTATAATTCAGCTGGAAATTTCTTACTGAAGGTACTTCTACACATCAGCTGTAACTCCAAAATGTTTCTTTCCTGGACACTTCTATGTAAAGCACCTATAACCAAATAAGAGATAAATTTCTGTGAAACTGTAGTTTGTAAGATTCTAATTTAGGACTATTTGCATTTTGTTAAAAAGTGACTTAAAAAGGAAACAGACAACAGAGGTAACATTGCTGTATAAATATAATGATTGAATAGAAAAAGTCAAGTAGGAAAACAGTTCTGAAAATAAAGGAAGGCCAAGACCAACCTTAGAATGAAAATCTTAAATAGTTGGAGTTGGTCCTTTGTTCTCATAGTTAGGCTGCTCTAACAAAATACCCAAGACTTGGTAATTTATAAACAACAGAAATTTATTTCTCATAATTCTGGAGACTTGGAATTCCAAGATCAGGATGTTGGCAGACTCCTTGTGAAGCCTTGTAGTCTGCTCCATAGATTGCACCTCACATAGTGGAAAGGGCAAACAAGCTCCCTTAGGTCTCTTATAAACCACTAATCCCATTCATGAGGGCTCCAGCCCCATGACCTAACCATCTCCTAAAGGCCTAACCTGTTAATACTACTGCATTAGGGATTAGATTTCAACATAGGAAAATGGAAATACTCTAAATTTGCTCTGCCTAATGTGGCAGCCACTAGCCACTACATGTATAGAATTCTTCAAATGTGCCTATTGTTCAAAAAAGCAATATTAGATGAATGGAATGATATCAAACTAAAAGTCAAAGGAAACAATTAACCAAATGGAGAGACAGTCCAAAGAATGTTGCAAACCATACATTTGATAATTCCAAACTATATCAGGAACTCAATTCAATAACAAGGAAAAAACCCTACTAAAAAATGGAATAAGGACCTAAACAGGCATCTCTAAAAGAAGATATACAAATAGCCATAGATATATGAAAAAATGCTCTAATCATTAGGAAAATACAAACTAAAACCACAATTAGCTATTGCCTCATGCCTGTTAGAATGATTTTTATTTAGAAAGATGAAAAATAGTAAGTTCTGGGAAAGATGAAGAGAAAAGGGAACTCTTAAAAAATTTTGGTGGGAATTCATGTAGCTATTATGAAGCAATGGTAAGGTATGTCCTCAAAAAACTAAAAATAGGAGTTGGAGCTATACCTCAGTGATAGAGCATTTATGTTCCTAGTATGTACCAAGGTCATGGGTTCATCCCCGCAGCATACACACAAAAAATCCTAAAAATAGAACTATCTCATTACCTAGTAATCCCACTTCTGAGCACTTACCCAGAAAAACTGAAGTATGTCTAAGGAGTATCTGTTCCCACCATCCTTTTAGCATTATTCATATAGCCAGGATAAGTGTCCATCAACAGATGAATGCATAAAAGTATGTGTAATATATACATAATGGATATTATTCGGCCCTAAAATGGGCAACTTGTCATTTGTAAAATGAATGAATCAGAAAAACATATATGCTAAATGAAATAAACCAGGTACAGAAAGACAGATACTGCATGATTTCACTTTTATATGAAAGCGGAACTCAAAGAGTAGAACAATGGTTAACCGCGAGGTTCAGTGTGAGAAGGAAGGAATGGGGAGTTACTAATCAAAGGCTACACAGTTTTGAGACACATCAGGAGGAATCGGTTTTGAAGATATATTGCACAGCAAAGGTAGTACAGCAAATAATAAATGTATTATTTATTTCAAAATAACTTAAATTTTAAATGAGTCACCATAGGGTGGTGAGTGGTAGAAGTGCCTGCCTAGGCCAGTGTGAGGCCCTGAGTTCAAACCTCAGTACCACAAAACCTCAAATGAGTCATATAAAATATGATAGATAATCCAGGGTGATGGTAATTAATCAGCTTGATTTTAATCGTGCCACATTTTAATACATAAATCAAACATCAACCACATTATACACCCATTAATGTTTATATTCAGATTTGTAAATAAAAAAATAAGTTTTATGTAAGTGGCTACTGAAGAACTAAATTTTATTTTATTTTCATTTCAAATTAATTTTGAAGAGGCCACATGCAATTAGAGGGTTCTGTAATGGACATGAAGATAGACATTCAAATAGACTCCAAACACATTAAGGCTTTTTTTTTAAACGAATAGGGTGTAAAGAGAACTAATCACGTAATATGTGAAATTATTGCCTTAATTTCCTCAATTTAGTAATCATTCTTTACGAAAATTGGCAAGTATTCAAATACACCTATTCAATAAAAGTAAGTGTATTTTTACTGTCATCAGATTTAGACCAACCTTTTTTATTGTAAACTTTGAACAACAGTCTTCAATAGCTTTTTAAATAGTAATAGGACTTGATAGTAAATTTACTTGCTTATATCTAAAATTAAGTGGTAGTCATATTTTTTTTTCTTGTTCAAACTATGAAATCCTTTTGCTTACGCAAGAGCACTGACGAATGTCCTAGGGTAGTTGAAGGGGTAGTAGTGATTCTTAAAAATATGGAATTTCTATTATAAAAGATTTTCAAAGGAACATTCACTCTCTCTATTAGCAACGTCATTTCTGTAGCATTCAGATATACTGAGAAATATAGTAGCCTAGTGTATACTGTTGGTTGAATAAGTTTAATAGGACTTAAATAACATCAAAATTAAATTGTCTAGGGTGGGAAGTTTAAGGAATAAGGGAAAGTAATGAAGGGGTTGGATGGACTCAAATTAAAGTATAAACCAGTGGACATACATTGAGACACTCTTTGGAAACATCAAACTCAAATTTAATAATGAAAGAACAGGACTGTAAAATAGGTAAAGTATGTGTGAGGGTCCTAGTCGGGAGGGGCGAAGGTGAATGAAGGGAGATGAAAGTGAGGAAATATGGTTGATGGGCTTCTTAATTTATATGAAAATAGAACAAAGAAACCTCTTGTAGTTACTTTAAGTTGGGTGAGGAGGAGGTTGAGGGGAGACACACTGGGAGTTATCTAAACCAATGTAGCAATATAAGCCTAATAGGAATTGTTCCCTATGAATCCCCCCCTTTATGCAATATAGCCTAATAAAAAATAAAATGCAATAATTTTCTAGAAAAATAAATTAGAAAAAAAGAAAATAAAAAAGCAAGCAAACATCAACCACAGGAGTTCTACTTCCAACCTGATTTTTCCTAATAATAAAATAGATGTGAATATGGGAACAAAATGTCGAAACTGACTGTAGAAACAGCAAACAGACACTAAACAATGAAGGACCAGATGTAAGACAAGGTCAATGCTTAGTGGGAGCACTAATGGGGAAAAGGCAGGTGAAGAATAAGGAGGGTGAATATGGTAAATGGACTTCATATACAAATATGAATATGGAACATCAGATCACCCTAAGAAGGGGGGACTAAGGTAGAAAAACAATAATGAAAAAGGGGGAAAAGAAAAAAAAAAAAAAAAAAAACCTAATGGCAGGTATAATCCATGTAGCATATGCACATATAACATAAAATATACAAACACATATATATGGAAAGTGGTCAACAATGAACATGTGTAAGCATCAATAAACAAAAATGTTCTTTTTAAAATAATGAAGGGCAGAAAGGTAAAACAAGTCCCAGTGAGAGGGAGGAGGGCAATAAAAGAAAGGGTGGAAGGGAGGGTAAATATGGTAGACGTACTATGTATTCGTGCATAGAAAATGGGAATGGTGGAACCTGTTTGAACTTTTCCTAAGGGGAGAGGAGATAGAGGAGAAAGATGGAGAGGGTGAATCTAACTAAGATATATTGTAAAGCACCTTTGTAACATGTCACATTGTACCCCCAGTATAAGCCATAATATGCTAGTAAGTTAATTAAAAAAAGACATTGCAGAAAATGAAATCCAGGCTGCTGCTTATTAGCTTAAGAGGATCAGAGCTAAGAAAACAGTAAGGGCTTTTTGATCAATCTTAATTCTGTCCAGCTCCTTCCTTGAACTTTCAATAAAAATTTATATAAAGCTCTTCTCTTTTCATAAAAGTGATGCCTTTTAAAATTTTGAGTAAGCTAGTGAGGCGCCTTATACTTAATGTTGTTAAGTTTAGTAGATGAAGTTCCTTGTTTCATAGAGAATGCCGTTTGGATACTTTTTTCCCTTACTTTTTGGTTAATTTCTGAAACAGTTTTTAAATCTTTAATCAGCCATATTATGAAGGAAAAAGACTCATTCTTAGAAGTAGAAATATCAGCTTATGCCACTTTTTTGTGTTTATATCGTTAACATTTTCTTCAGCCCCAATGATTTCCTTTATGGGGATATTTTTCCCCAGTTATCCCATTTTGTAAGGATTAGTTTTGTCTCAAAACACAGATAAATTAAATGTTCTGAATTGCATTTAACTAGGACCTTATACTCAAGATACAGACATTGAAATGAGTGATGTGCCAGTGTGCATCTAATCTATTATTTCTTTCAGTTACAAGAAATAGAAATAGGAATGGTTCAATGTATGTATTATTTGATTTCATTTATTATAAACCTTAAATATAACACAGTTTTTTCTGTTTTTTGCCATAACATATAGGGAGAAATTACCACCCAAGTAATAAAACTTTAACACCGATTTGTCTAAGTGATTTAATAATAATAAGATGTCATCTATTATGATACTTTATTAGAAATGGCAAGACTTTACAATGTTTTTGCTTCATTTTGTTTGAATTTTCTTGGTTTTTGTTTACTTTGAAATAGGTCTCACTATGTAGGCCAGGTTGGCCTGAAACTCACTAGTAGTGGCCTACTGGGGCTTTAACTCATCATCCTTCTCCCTCCGAATGCCTGGAATTATAGGTTTGGTGCCACCATGTCTAATTTGTATTTACATTTTCCCAGAAACTGCAAATATTATTTCAACATTTTTGAAACTTCCCAGTATGAATACTTTTAATTTTTACACATCTAAAAATATTTTTTGTTCATTTATGCCTATTTGATGAATATAATTTGGTAAATATTGATTTTGATTATTCCATCTATCACACTTATATTCATCTGGTTACACTTACATATACTTGCCTATCACAGCCTCCAAACTTTTAAAATCTATCTATATGACCTTTTCTGAAGTCTATATTAACTTGTTATTCTATGAGCTGGTCCTTAGGAGGTACTGAACTTTTTACTCAGTATCTCTACAATATTTGAGAATTTTCAATTTAATGTAGATACAGATTATTTTAAATTGGTTTTCAGATAAGATTAATGAATCTTTTAAAAAAATAGAAATAATTGAACAATACCATTTTACCAATATGTTTTTGTTAATTCTAGTATGCTTTACATTTCTTCTGCAGGAATGTTAATCTACAGAAAAATATTTTCTTTTCAACTGTCCTACTAGAGTAGTCATATTTTTAATGATATATGGCCTCCCTGTTTGTCAAGCCAAGGCTCCTGTCAGGCTTCTCATAATGAACAGGAAGCAGATCAATTTTAAAAAATGTATTGTTGGTCTTTCTTTATTAAATAAGTTCTATCAATAATGTTGGTATGAGCTATGTAGTTCATGGCAGTACATTTTTTTAGTTTTGGGTAATTATTAGCTAAGAAATACACCAAAATTGATTGGATGTTATTTTTCTAGGCAACAAATTTTTCTCTTGTGCCTTCCAGCAGTTTTGGTGGTATGGTTCGTATCGTGAAGACAGAACTTCTAGTAATTTTTTTTTGTCAAATATTTATTTTTCACTACTCAGCAGATTGAAATAGCATGCCATCTCATTAACTTTCGTAAATAGCTTTGTAGTAATTGTACTGGAAACCTTGTTCTATGCATTAAATTTATCTTAGAGTGTGTAGGCATGGTGTTTTCTGAAATAAATCCGCAATCAACAGATATAAAATTGGTGAAGGGGAGATAAAGGGGAAAAAAATAGAAGGGTTAAATCTAACTCAGATATTTTATAAAGCAACTTTTTGTAAATGTCACAATGTACCCAATACACTATAATATGGCTAATAAAATAAGAGAAAGGTATAAATCACTTCAAGAAATAAAAACTTTTGATAGATGAATATTGTTTGGTTTACAAAGATATCCCCATGGTTTATGCTATAATGATTTCCATAGGTACAACGAACAAACACAGCTTTTAGAAGAGCTCAGATTGTCTGCTTTCGTCTATAACTTTTGTTGTCAGTCTGTCCATGCTGCTTTTTTGCTCCTATGCAAGTATGACTGCTGTGCAAGAACTGTTCTTCCGCACCGCCTGGTTTTTTGGGCTTTGGTCCTTGTGTCTGTGTTACAGACAACTTAACACACTAAAATCAATTCCTGAGGAGTGGGAGCAGAATAGCATGAAATTGGGAACATTTGTATTTGTTTTCTCATGAAATTTTCTTTTATTCTTTTGTGGCTAAAAAACTTAACCATTTGTCTCCCTGACTCAGACTTTTTCAGTTGGAAAAGTGACACTAAAACCGCAGTCATATGACAGAGATATCAAAGTAAAATGTCAGGAAGTTCATGCTGTTGGTAGCACAAATAGGAGAAAAAACAAAGCCATCATCCAGATCTTTTTAAGTGGGATGAGTCGGGGTCATCAGAGGGTTTCGTGAAAGATTAGTAATGAAAGAAAAGCAAGGAGGAGAAGAAAGAAATGTGCAACACAGGAAACAGATTGGTGAAAGACCTGGGGTGGGCAAGCTGAAAACCCTTAGGACCACTGTACTCTTAAGAGTATAAGATATTTCACAACGACCAAGTAGGCTTCAATCCCAGGGATGCAGGGGTTGGTTCAACATACGAAAATCAATAAACGTAATAAACACAATTAACAGAAGCAAAAACAAAAACCACTTGATCATCTCAATAGATGCAGAAAAAGCCTTTGATAAGATCCAACATCATTTCATGATAAAAGCTCTAAGAAAACTAGGAATAGAAGGAAAGTTCCTCAACATTATAAAAGCTATATATGACAAACCTACAGCCAGCACTATACTTAACGGAGAAAAATTAAAACCATTCCCTCTAAAATCAGGAACCAGACAAGGATGCCCACTATCTCCACTCCTATTCAACATAGTACTGGAATTCCTAGCCAGAGCAATTAGTCAAGAAGAAGGAATAAAAGGAATACAAATAGGTAAAGAAACTGTCAAAATATCCCTATTTGCAGACAACATGATCCTATACCTTAAAGACCCAAAAAACTCTACTCAGAAGCTTCTAGACGTCATCAATAGCTATAGCAAGGTAGCAGGATATAAAATCAACATAGAAAAATCACTAGCATTTCTATACACTAACAATGAGCAAATGGAAAAAGAATGTATGAAAACAATTCCATTTACAATAGCCTCAAACAAAATCAAATACCTAGGTGTAAACCTAACAAAAGATGTGAAAGACCTCTACAAGGAAAACTATACACTTCTGAAGAAAGAGATTGAGGAAGACTATAGAAAGTGGAGAGATCTCCCATGCTCATGGATTGGTAGAATCAACATAGTAAAAATGTCGATACTCCCAAAAGTAATCTACATGTTTAATGCAATTCCCATCAAAATTCCAATGACATTCATTAAAGAGATTGAAAAATCTACTGTTAAATTTATATGAAACACAAGAGGCCACGAATAGCCAAGGCAATACTCAGTCAAAAGAACAATGCAGGAGGTATCACAATACTGACTTCAAACTATATTACAAAGCAATAACAATAAAAACAGCATGGTACTGGCACAAAAACAGACATGAAGACCAGTGGAACAGAATAGAGGACCAGATATGAAGCCACACAACTATAAGCAACTTATCTTTGACAAAGGAGCTAAAAATATACGATGGAGAAATAGCAGCCTCTTCAACAAAAACTGCTGGGAAAACTGGTTAGCAGTCTGCAAAAAACTGAAACTAGATCCATGTATATCACCCTATACCAAGATTAACTCAAAATGGATCAAGGATCTTAATATCAGACCCCAAACTCTTAAGTTGATACAGAAAGAGTAGGAAATACTCTGGAGTTAGTAGGTATAGGTAAGAACTTTCTCAATGAAACCCCAGCAGCACAGCAACTAAGAGATAGCATAGATAAATGGGACCTCATAAAACTAAAAAGCTTCTGTTCATCAAAAGAAATGGTCTCTAAACTGAAGAGAACACCCACAGAGTGGGAGAAAATATTTGCCAACTATACATCAGACAAAGGACTGATAACCAGAATATACAGGGAACTTAAAAAACTAAATTCTCCCAAAACTAATGAACCAATAAAGAAATGGGCAAGTGAACTAAACAGAACTTTCTCAAAAGAAGAAATTCAAATGGCCAGAAAACACATGAAAAAATGCTCACCATCTCTAGCAATAAAGGAAATGCAAATTAAAACCACCTAAGATTCCACCTCACCCCTGTTAGAATAGCCATCATCAGCAACACCACCAACAACAGGTGTTGGCGAGGATGCGGGGAAAAAGGAACCCTCTTACACTGTTGGTGGGAATGTAGACTAGTACAACCACTCTGGAAAAAAATTTGGAGGCTACTTAAAAAGCTGGACATCGATCTACCATTTGATCCAGCAATACCACTCTTGGGGATATACCCAAAAGACTGTTACTCCAGAGGCACCTGCACATCCATGTTTATTGCGGCACTATTCACAATAGCCAAGTTATGGAAACAGCCAAGATGCCCCAGCACTGACGAATGGATTAAGAAAATGTGGTATCTATACACAATGGAATTTTATGCAGCCATGAAGAAGAACGAAATGTTATCATTCGCTGGTAAATGGATGGAATTGGAGAACATCATTCTGAGTGAGGTTAGCCTGGCCAAAAGACCAAAAATCGTATGTTCTCCCTCATATGTGGACATTAGATCAAGGGCAAACACAACAAGGGATTGGACTATGAGCACATGATAAAAGCGAGAGCACACAAGGGAGGGGTGAGGATAGGTAAGACACCTAAAAAACTAGCTAGCATTTGTTGCCCTTAATGCAGAGAAACTAAAGCAGGTACCTTAAAGCAACTGAGGCCAATAGGAAAAGGGGACCAGGTACTAGAGAAAAGGTTAGATCAAAAAGAATTAACCTAGAAGGTAACACCCACGCACAGGAAATCAATGTGAGTCAATGCCCTGTATAGCTATCCTTATCTCAACCAGCAAGAACCCTTGTTCCTTCCTATTATTGCTTATACTCTCTCTACAACAAAATTAGAAATAAGGGCAAAATAGTTTCTGCTGGGTATTGAGGGGGGGGAGAGGGAGGGGGCAGAGTGGGTGGTAAGGGAGGGGGTGGGGGCAGGGGGGAGAAATGAACCAAGCCTTGTATGCACATATGAATAATAAAAGAAAAATGAAAAAAAAAAGTATAAGTTAGACAATTGATGCAGATGAAGATGAAAAGGAAACCAGAGGCTTCTTCAGGCCATAATGAGTATGGACATTATTTTAGCAACAGGGGAATAATTTAATTGCCTTTCATCAAAGTGGGAATAGAGTCAGATTCTCATTTTTAAAAGATCATTGTGCTTGTAGAGAAGAGAAAGATTAAAGGGACCACAGTACAGGGAAGATGGCCAGGAGACAGTTGAAGCATTCTATGTAAAGATTTAGTGTTATTTTCTACTTGATAAATGGCTGTGCTGATAAAGAAAAATTCTCTTTTAAGAGACGTTAAAGAGGCAAATGGCTAGAACTTGGTGATTGGTTGGTTTGAAGGAACCTAAGGGAAATATAGCACTCCTTTTTCTGGCATGAGACATTTTAGGTAGATGGGAATGCCACTGACCTAATGAACAGAGAACATTGACTCAGTGCAGGTAGGGGAAAGAGGGTGGTCAAAGCAATCATTACAGTTTTGGGTGTTCTGCCTGAGGCATCTGTAGATTTTTGCAGTGCTGGGGATCAAACTAGGGGAATTGCACCTGCTAAACAGGTACTTTGCTACTGACTCATACCCCTACCCAAGAGCTAGAGATAATTTGTTAATTCATACAGAAAATATTTGTTTAGCCCTTTTATGTGCCAGGAATCATTTTTCACTATTGGGGACATAATTGTAAATAAAATAAAGAGGATACTCCTGCTCTCACAGATTATTTTTTAAATAATTTTGGACATCCAAGGTACTCTGAAGGAGATGGAGCAGGGTAATGATATCTGAATATGGGTAGAAACTAAAGCAGGGATTAAGTGACTGGAAAAGACCTTTCTAAGGAAGTAATTCTTGGATGATGAAAAGGAACTAACTATGCTATGCTGGAGAAAACACTAGAGTAAATGTATGAAAAGCTGTAAGGGTCCACTAGAATCTCAACTCTAATTTGTACCCCCCACTTTTTGTTACTTCAAGGTGTTGAGCCACCCCAGAGCTACTTCAGATTCATTTTTCGATGACTAATTTGACAGTGAAATAAGAAGAGGGCAGACTATAATATCTAATCTTTTCTTCTATACTCCTTCCATTCTTTGAGCTAACTCGTCCATCTCATGAATTATTTCTTTTATATAGGCCCTAGGTCTCAATCTAGTGTTAAAACAAAATATTCAGAAGTCCCAGAATTGTTTAAATCTGTAACTGCAGATTGATTGTATTTCAGTCCTTTTTGTACCAGAGACATAATTCCTTAAATGTGCCTTTTACTATGTTAAATGCAGGTTATAAAGAGGAATTTATTTTCTGCACTTATTTCCTGTTGTTATTAATAGTAAAAACCCAACAGAAGGCAGAAAGAAGGCTTTGATAATTCTTTGTTGAGGCACAGCTTGATACACAGCAAAGAAATCTCTAGGAGGATTGAAATACCCACTGAACCACAGTGCTTACAGGACTCAGAAAACTCCTGCTTGAGTCTTAAACCAAGCAGTTCCCATTGTTTTATAATAGTAGATGACTTCTCAAATGACATACTAGAATTTGTGCTTTTATTTTTTGGTGCCTGTTCCAGCAGTAACACCTAAAACCAATTTTTCCAGAGCAGCATTTCTCTACCTCAGCAGTACTGAGTGACATTCTTTGTTTTTGAGGGCTTCCCTACACATTCTAGGATATTTAGCAGCATCCCGGGACCTCTACCCAACGAGGGTAGAGACCCAAAATGAGGATAGTTATTGCCCTGTCTCCTGTGTATTAAAATACATCTTGGTTGAGAAAACACTTTTTGGTGGAATTCTTAGCTGTTCTTTTGAAAGAACATGCCTCGTGTTTCAAGGGTGTGACCCACTGATCCATCAGTAGGCAGCAAATTGAAGACCGATTGGTGGAGTGGATTGACCTCTTCCACCTGGACCCTGCTGTGATGACAGGAAGGCTGTTACTTGAGGGGCCACTTCTTTCAGCCCTTTGGTATTGGTGAAGGTGACACTGGCATCTTAAATCCAAATTTATTTGCATGGTGTGGGATATTGAGAGGGAAGGAATAAAAATTGAAACTATTTTATGTAGCTCTTTTCCAGCCCAAAATATATCACTAAATATTTAATGTCAACCAAATTATGTTTTAAGAAAGCTGAAAAGTGATATATGCCTGTATGTATATTCATATGTACATACATGTATATATGTGTCTCTATATATTCCAATGTATGCTTATATTTACAGTTCTCTAATATTTATGTTGTCTGTTTGAGTTTTTTTTCTTTAACAAATAACTTACTCCATAATTATTATTTTTGCCTGATTGATTAGTGCATGAAATCCCACTAACTTAATCAGGGAAAATAACTTCAGCTGTTTTGAGAAGATTGGTTTGCTTTTTTTATTGTACCTGTAGTTGATAACATATTTCCTAATATCCTGTAGCGTACAGATGTCAACCCTTTTCAGGCAATGGACCAGATGATGTTAAATGTGAGAAACAGTATGCAGGAGTTACAAAGAAACTTCGTGAGTAATAAAAATACAGTAATGAAAACATTGTTTTCAATTACTGGTGTCCTTTATTATAGTGACTTTCAAACATCTTTTCACCATAGTCCATAATACCAAAAACACTTATATGACTATATCATCTATAGTATTTTTATACTTTCTAAATATACCTGAAGCAAAAGTTTTATGAAAAAATGATCATACTGTTTATAGTGTTACTGATATTTTCCATTTTATTCCAGTTTTTAAACAATCCAATTATAATCTCACTAAATTTATTTCACAGTCTACAACTTTGAAAAATAACATTATAGTTAATTTTAAGAATTAAAAAAATGTAACCCCAAAAATTTATTCTACTGAATCACTCTTGTAAGTGAATATTTTGTATAAATTTGCATATTTTTATTTATAGCCATAAAAGGTTTTATAGCATCTAAGAAATTAAATTTTAATATTTAAAAAAAACCCTAAGCATCAGTAATATTGTAAAACATAACATCTGTAAAGGTAGAGGATACAAGGATGTGTATTGAAAGCTGTTGAAAAATGGGGGGGTGGTAAAGGGGTAAGAGAGTAATGGAAGGGGTTGAGCAGACCAAAGTAAAATATACTCACAGCAGGGATACATTGAGAAACCCTTTTGAACAGCAATTTAAATATTAATAATGAAAGGACTGTAAAATAGGTACAGCGTGGTGGGGTACTAGTGGGAGGGGGAGAATGAATAAAGGAGATTAAGGTGAGGGTATATGGTAGATGGACTTCATATACTTATATGAAATAGAATATAGAAACCTCTTGCAGTTGCTTTAAGTGGGATAGGGAGGGAGTTGAGGGGGAGAGATGATGGGGGTGATCTAACCAATGTACAATATAAGCCTAATAGGAATTGTCATTATGAATCCCCCTGTAAAATGAATATATCCTAATAAAAAAGTATAATGAAAAAATCCTCTAAACCCAGAAATTTCAGGAATGTTTAGACATGTAAGGATCTAACTTAGATCCTTACAACCCAAACACAAGGACTAATACTCCTAGTTCTATACTCATAATATTAACATCAAAACAAATAACCTGATTTGATCTGAAGAAGACCTAAGCCATTCCAGTTATCCAGTTTAGATTCTGTAAATCATTTCTGGATGTCCAAATTGAGGGCATTAATTAATAATTGTAGTAATGTAGCAATCTGGTCCCACAGAAGGTATGAAACTTCTTGGTGCATAGCTGACTGTCTTGATAGTGGCAAAAATCGCATATTGGGGCCAACCGCTGACTATAGAATTATCACAGGTTTCAAAGGTAAAAGCATCTTTATTTAAACCTAAGGTACAAGGACTCAGAGATTTAAGGATCTCTGAGAAAATCACTTGTTATTCTTTACAAGGAACTGGTACCAAGAATTGAAGAAGGTTATAGGACCTCTTTATGGTACCATTTGAATAAGCTAGTGTTATTGCTTACTTGAAGTCTTTTAGCATTAATTCTTCATATTTGACTAGATTCTGAATTCACTATTTCCTTTTTCCTCTAGGGTAACCTTTCTGTGGATCCAAATGGACATTCATTTTGTTCTTCCTCAATTATGACTTATTCCAAAGTAGGAGATGCACCACCAAAGGTTTTCCAGGCCTCAACTCAAACCCGTAGGGCTCCAGGAGGAGTAAGTATTTTTAATCATTCTTAGAACTTATAAAGTTGTAGGATGATAGATTGCCTATATCAAATTTTAATTAGTGAAGTTTGAGGTGGTAAAGAGTGGCAGGGGAGAGGAAGGAGGTGGCACGATGGGAAGGTAGTTACCATGGTGAAGACTATTAAAGTTCAACTGTGCTTAGTTTATGTCATTTTTTTAATTCTTTCATGAAGGTGACTTCTTTCATGTAAATAATCTATTGATGGCTATTACCTTTACATATTGACAAGATAAAGACACTTAGTGAAGCCTTTGTTTGATGAAAGAAATATCTTCTTATAGTTTATATTTGAAGCAAATTAATTTTTAACTAATAAGTTATTTCTACTATACCAAAAGGATATATAATGAACCCACATTCCTACATAGTCAAATCATAACAATTTTCTTTATTTGCTCCAGGTTTTCTCTTGTGTTTTTGAGCAAAAAGTTTACAGATATAGTTAAAGCTTCCAATGTACTGTTCCCAGTTTCCTTTCCTTTTCTCCTTCCCCAGAGATAACCATTTTCCTGTATTTGGAATTTATCATTCTCATATGTATTTTTATAATCTTATTTACATAGGTATCATAAAATAGTAGATTATTTTTGCAGGTTTCTAAACTTTATTATTTTTTTTTCTGCTGTAATCGTAGAGGTTTATTATTTCTCATTACACATTTCTTATTACAGTTTTATAAGTCATAACATGGATCTCTGCAGGACAGCCTGGGGCTGTGTTCCTTCTGAAGGCTCTGGTGCAGAACCCATCATCTTGGCTTCTCCTTCCAGAAGTGCCTGCTTTCCTTGACTCATAGCCCCTTCCTCCCTCTTCAAAGCCACAGCAGGTCGTCTCTATGACCTTCTGTGGTCACATCTCCTCTGACCCAGCCAGGGAAGTTCTCTGCTTTAAAGGACTCATGTGATTAGATTGGTCCCAGGAAATCTCCCTTATCTTGGCCTTTAAGCTAATCCCATCTTGCAAAGTCTCTTTGTCTGGGTTAGGAAATGCACTCACAGGTTCCAGAGAACAAAACCTGGCCATTACTCCATCCACCACCATCTCTGCATATGAGCCTTGAACAGTGGCCCTCTGAGAAGCAGGTTTCTAAACTTTATACAAAGAGTATTATGCTTATATCCTTTATAGCTTGTCCTTGTTCAATAATATGTTTTTGAGATTTATTCAAGTTGATACAAAATGTAGCATATTTTTAACATCTGTGTAGAACCCAAAATATAAAGATAACACAAAATCTTATCCACCTTTCTCTTTTGATAGATAGTGTAGTATCTAGTTCATCTTTACACATGTCTTCTTGTACAAGGGCCTAGGGATGGTGTTTCTGGGTTGTCGGGTAGTGTACCTTCAACTCTACCTATAATTACCAAGTTACTGTACCATACTGATTAAAACTGTTAGCATCTACAAACTGTCCCATGAAAATTCATTTCTCCATTTCCTTGTTAATACTTACAGTACAATTTTAGAGTTGACAGACTAATGGATATGAAATAGTTCGTTTTTCAGTTCTTATATACTAACACACACCTTTAAATGATAAAACCTTGCTATAGTTTCACAAACTCATCACAGACATTTGGACTTATTATAGTCTTAACTGTAAATAATGTAATTATAAATGTCTCACAGCAAATTATGTTAGTAACATTTGGTTATCATAAATATGTTAATAACACTTTCATAGAGTTGATAGGTAGGAGCCTTGAGACTCGAGTCCATCAGCATGACTGATGGTAATTAGTTGCCCTTATTTGTAGGGCACGCCAGCATGAACTTCCATCTGTTTATCATACTGCCAAAGACAGTGTTGGAGGCTTTTAGAGCTGTAAATCTAAGCCCTTACCACAATAAGTAACTAGACTCTGAGGACTTTAGAGTCAAATCCATTCTGTGCATTTAAATAATGTGTATTTTCTTTATTTTTATAGATAAAGGAAACAAGAAGAGCAATGAGAGATTCTGACAGTGGACTAGAAAAAATGGCCATCGGTCATCATATCCATGACCGAGCTCATGTCATTAAAAAATCAAAGAACAACAAGACTGGGGATGAAGAGGTCAATCAAGAGTTCATCAACATGAATGAAAGTAAGCTATCATAATGATAATAGCAAGCTGCATTTGTAGAACTTGATTTTCTTTTAATGAAAAATATCTTAAAATGTTTCATGTAAGGAATACATTATCAAAGTACTTCAGCTGTGATTTCATCATTTAACAGATCTGTTGTTTTACAGTGATTTTTGGCAAGTGGGGTATCACTTATTTTCTCATTTTGTACTTATAAAGTGAAATCTTTTGAATTGTTATTTATTAATATTGTTAATGGGCAAAATGAGTTTTTAAATATTTTTAATTATCAAGAAAATACATGTTGAAAAGTATAAAGAAGAAAATAAAAATCATCCATAAACTAAACCCAAAGTAAGTACTATTAATGTTTTAGTGTATTTCTTTCTAATAGTTTTACAAATATATAAACATAAAATTTTCCAAATTAGTATTTTACTATCTAAAACTCACCATTATAATTTTAAACACTCACCTATTTTATTTTTCAAAATCTTTGTAAGTGGTTACCTAACTTTTATCAGTATTTTTAGCACTTACACTTCTGTATAGGGTTCAATCCCCAGTACAACAAAAAAAAGACTTTCATTTCTTGTAATAAAACTAGATAACATGTCATACTTATGTTTCAAGTGAGTCTTTTCTTCTAGATTTTACATTCATTCTTGAATGTGTTTAAACCTTTCCAGTATCCCAGTTCTTCTCAATAAGGGTTTTAATTTTAATTGACAAAACTAATTTGATTTTAATCTATAATAACCAAGCTTTTTCATTTTTAAATTTAAAATTATATTCATCTATTTTCAAAAGATATTTTGAATAGTAAAGAGTTTAAACTATTACATTATTTTATAAAAAGAAATTCTATTGAGTTTGATAAGAATTATTCTTATCTTTGTGATTTTATCATGTAAATATATACTGAGTATTTCACAATAATTAACAATTTGGAGAAAATTTAGTTTAGGAACACATTATTATAAAGGCAGTCTGAAATAACAAGACCTGTCATCTCTGTATTGTTGCTGCTGTAGAAGTTAGATTACCTCCTTCATGATACCATAAGTTGACAGTAGAGTTGAATAACACTCTTAGGAAGTTGACAACAGGGCTTTTGAGGTCAAGTTAGGGAGATTGTGAGGTGAGTAGAAATACTTGCCACAGAAGAGTGTCCAAGTATACAGGAACACTATGGTCATTAAGGTGATTCAGGAAGAACAATTATAAATGAGTAATTGTGTCAACTGGTCCACTGAGTAGAATGGCATGATGTCCAGACAGGTGAGTGAAAAAGCAGACCATCAACAAGCAGCTCACCAAAAGGCAACAAACAGGAATGGAATTATTACCCTAAACAAAGACCTTTGTACTTGAAGCTGCATCCTGTCTCTGTCATGAGGCTAGCCTCAGGAAAATCAGGCTAGGCAGTTACTGACCGTTGATACCTAAGTATATATTCCCTTTATTTTGATATTTAATATAGATGATGCTCATGCTTTTGATGATGAATGGCAACAGGAGGTTCTGAAGTACAAATCAGGGGGACAATCACGCAATCTAGAAAACACTAGAATGCGAAGTGTTGAACTTGAAAACTCAGGATTACGAGAACTTAAACGAAGGTAAATTTTTTCCAAAAAATAATGTTTTTTAAAGATTTAAAAGAAAAGTTAACATTATTTTATCTCTTGACAGGAAGTTTTGGTGCACATCCAAGTTGTATCCTCAGTATATTTTGTGAAAGATGTAATCATTTTACATTAAATCTAAGTATTCCACACAAATTTAAAATAATATTTTAGGGTGGTATGCTTAGTAATTTCACCAGCAAACTATGATTAAGAAGATAGATGAGAAAATCCTCCTCAGGAAATTTTTTTTGGGGTGTGTGGGAGGGGATTTGGGCATTGAATCCAGGGCCTCATGCACGCTTGGCAAGCCTCTACTACTTGAGTCTTGCCCCCAACACTTTTGTTTGCATTTTATTTCTGAAAATAGGGACTCATTAATTTTGCCTAGATGAGCCTCAAACTGTGATCCTTCTGCCTCTGCCTCCTGAGTAGCTGGGATTATAGGTGTGTACCACCATACCCAGTAGGAGACTAAGGAAAATTAATATAATGTAGTTATTTTGCAAAGCAAATTCTAATCCAGATATCCATAAAGACGTGTATTTCAGCCTATAATTCCATACCTATAATCCCAGCTACTTGGAATATGGAGATTGGGAGAATTGCAGTTCAAGGCCAGTGCATGTAAAAAATTAGTCATACCCCATTTAAAAAACAAGCCCAGGCATGGTGGTACATATGTAATCCCAGAAATGTGGTAGACATAGGCAGGAGGGTCACAGTCCAAGACTGGCCTCACACAAAAAGCACAAAAGCTTATCTGCAAATAACTAAAACATCAGGGCTGGAGGCAAGGCTCAAGTGCTACCTTGAGTTTAATTCCCAATACTGCAAAAAAAACAAAAAAAGACATACATTTGTGTCTAAAGACAAGCACAAGTCAAAATTCAGTATGTAATGGCAAGTGAATCTTTAGACACTTGTATATTTCACAGCATGTTAAATAACATGTCACGTATGTTAGATAGTTTGGAAGAATTCTGCAAAAGCTTTAGCCTCCCTTGGAATTGCTTTTAGAATAGCTGGGGGAAATAAAATGTGTTGAAACCATGTTAAAGGTTATAGAGATTTGAACATATTTTGAAGTTATGATTTAATTTGGTTCTATGGTAGATAATTGAAAGCAATACCTAATTCCTATCAGAATTACACTTGAGAGAGAGAGAGGCTTCAGCAGGCTTAAAACAGAAATCTGTTCTAGGCTATAAGAGTGGAGGATTGCTGCAGATGGCTGAAGGTTTTACACACCCACGACAGACAAGTGGGTATCCAGTAAATCCCAAGTCTTGTACACAGTTTTGTTGCTGGCAGCTTCCTTTCGAAAATACTGTTCGAGGAATTTAGAGCCCTAATATTTTCTGTCTAATGTCTTCAAAACTTGCTTTCATCTTAATTTTAGTATTATTTACCTCATTTTGAAAAATTTATGGTTAAAAGTCTAACAGTGCTAAGTCTGAATATGAAATCCAGGTCCCAATTAGAGAAAGCATATTCTTTCTGGATGATCTATAAATCTACGGCCCTAATAGTGCCATCTCCTGAAATGATTTTCTGCAGTGATGAAAATGTTGTCTGTTGGTCAATGTGGTGACTACATGTGGCTATTGAATAACAGTTGACATATGACTAGTATAACTGAGGAACTGAATTATTTTACTTAAATATAAATGTCACTATTGACTACTATATCAAATATCATCATTTAAAATATAAATGATTAAATAGTGGTTGCTTTCTTAAATGTTCAGTGAAATAGTCTGCCTTATATTTTTCAAGGTTATTAAGGAACTATTAGGATAAAACTCTCCTTAAGTAGCAGTGGTTTAAAACATATTTGTAGTGACTTATAAATCATTAACCATTTAAAAATGATGTTAATGTTCATCTGTATATTCCTCAGAGAGAAATCTCATCAAAGTCCAGCCATTGACAGTGGAAGAAGAGCAAACATTTTTGTGGACAAACTCAACGTCAAAGGGTCACCTGTGAAAATCAACAAAAAATAAATGGCCATGCATTTCCTTGTTTAGTTTTTGATTGTTTTAAGAGAGAAAGTAATGGTGCTGTGTAATACACATAAGACCAATCTCCTGTTGTTAAATCAGTACTATACTTTGCAAATGTTCCTACTTTAGGAATAAAACTTTAATTTTCAACAATGTGACTAAATTGGTAAACATTCTGTAAAACTAAGACATACTAACTTTTAAAGCTCACACGCTAATTTTGCTTACCATATTATCTTTGTACTGGGTATGTATTGTATACATACCATCATTGACTGTAGAGCTAGTTCTATGATTTGTAATTAGCCATAAGAAAGTATAGTTAAAAATAATCTTCATTAACACTAGAGTGATGTTAATAAACATTTAAATAGCAAACTTTATAATGTTATATCACCAGATAGCTTAAAACTTTAAAAATATTATAAAACTATATTAGCACTGTTTTACAAGAAATTAGTTTTTATTTTGATTAAATTGTCCAAGTCATAAGTGTGGCTGGTTAGTCATTAGCTCATTCCTTGCTTGGGAGGGGTTCTAAAGAACCCCTTCACTTGAGGGGGATAGCCTGGTCAGGGTGAACAAGTCATTGTTGCTTGTCAAATGGTCTGTCCTGAGGTTCTGCTGTTCCTTTCCTTGGGGGTAGCAGCTTCTTCCCTCCTTATAAAGATGCTGCCCATCAGTCCTGTCCTTCCTGAATTCTACCATGAACAGCTTAGATCAAAGGACACAGATACAAAATGGAGGCAGGGATACCAAACTTTTTTCCTGTTTTTAGTTAATTTGTGTGCCCAAGTAAGGAGTCAGTGCTTTTCAGCAAAAGCAGCTTAAGTGCCTCTTTCAGTTCTAGTTAGGCCCTTAAAAAAGCACAGCTATAGGAAGTGCTCATAAAGATGACAAATTCAGATAATCTAAGGTATTCACACATTTTCAAATAAGACACTTGGGCTTACTAACAATAATACTTGTTATGCTAGAGGTGCGTAATTATTTTTTACAGAAATCTTTGACCATTAACATTTGAAACTAATATGAACTGATCTCCTTTTTTAAAACTTTTAATATTCACTCATTTTGATATAAATCATATATTAAATGTAAAAGCTTTTATAAAAGCCATAAAACTTCCATCAGTAAAGTTTTATTCAACCTAACTTTTACTTAGAATTCACTGAAATTACATTAACTGAATACCAGCTTGAATTGCTGAAAGGAATTGCTGAAATAAAGCCACTGCCTCAGTTCCCTGAAATAGGTGTTAAAGCCATTGTTAACACCTTAAATTGCCTCAGTGGAAATCTAGCAGTGGAAAGACGTAATTAGGCTTTGCCCATTTAATTGTTCCCTCTATTTTAGTGGAATGAAAAGGGACTTTCTTGTTCCTGCAGTGACAGATGGCACTTAATTTTTATTCCTTGAACCTTCAAAATCATATCTCCTAAATCGCTGGACTGAAGCATTAGTGAGAAAATATAAACAGAAAACTGCCTGTTCTACAAATGCTTATTCTGAGGAAGTTGGCACTATAAAATGTAGGTAGGGGACATTCTACAAAATACCTAACCTCGAAATTGTCAGGGTCATGAAATGGCTTGACAGTGAAAGACTGAGACGCTGTCACAGCCCAGAGAAGACTTAAGACTGGTGGAGAGAAGGGGCACTGCCTGGTTCCTGCCAGTCAGACTGTGATACAGACACATTTCTTTCCATTCCTCCCACCCTATCTCTTCTTTGTATGTTTGTTTGCTTTTGTCTATATCTGTTAGCATTTCTGGATTATATGATTCTTTAGTACCCAGTCTGAGATCTGTGAAATGCAAAAAGGAAAAGGAAACACAGGAAACTCACTGCCATATAAACCTTTGGTGCAATTGTTGCTGTTAGTCTTTTTCTCTCCACCCTAAGAATCTTATGTTTAAATAGCCTTTTCAGTTTTGGCTTACTTAGTGGGAAGAAGAGAGAAATGTGTGTGTTCCATCTTGTCTAGAAACAGGTCTCTCAAATACTGCTTTATATATCTAGCAATAGCTTTTTGCCTTAAGTGTTTATTATAGGTGTTGATGCACAGATGACACACAGAAATTTTCAGATGTTCAGGGTTCTTGGGTCCACTCTGAGAATGAAAGCACAGGCGGACTCCAGCAGCAGATTTTATTTGTAGAGAAGAGAAAAGAAAGACTGCATGGGGGCATGCACAGGGACCTGGAAACTGGTGGTTCCATGGGTCAAGTTGGAGATTGGGTTTGTATAGCCCTTTTGTGTATTGCCAGAGGGTGTAGATATCTCTCAGGTCTCCTGGGAAGGAGAAGTGTCTCTTTGGCCAATTACCACCTTTTGGGACCTCCTGCAGTTCCTCCTTCAATTCTCCCCTCAGTGATCTTCCTAACTGTTAGGGATAGGGATGACGAAGTCTATTCAGTGACTGCTTCTTGCTGACGGGGGCAATAAAGGGGTCCACAGCATCAGGGCTCACCACTGGAGAGGAGTTAGAGGGGACCACGATAGTAGGTCGTTTTCATCTCCATCAGGGGCATCTGTAGTTTCATGGATTTGAAGTGAGTAAACAAACTTGACAAGTTTAAAATGCAAGACCCAAACACAAGTAAGAGAATAATGTAAACTGTAGGCCCCAGAAAGGGTAGGAACCAAGTCCTGGAGAGGAGGAGCCAGGATTTTATTTGGTCCCACACCTGTGTAGAAACCTGAGTTTTGAGGGACTGTTCCTGGAGCCACTTAGCCTGCTGGAGAATGTAGTCTGCACGTTCCTCTACAATGCCTGAAGTGTTTGTATGTATATGTGCAATTGGCAATGGCACATACCCCTCCTTGTTTAGCCAAAAGAAAGTCTAGGGACAGGTGGTGGTCCATGACCATATAGGCAAGGGATGACATAGACCTTTGTATGTTGTTGATGGCAAGGTCTACCTGGCCTGAGGTGCCCTCTACTACTTTGGTTAGGTTTTCTGCAGTTACATGATTGGCAATCACCCCATAGATGGTTCCAGCCAGGGCTGCAATCAATGCTGTTATCCCTAAAACTATTAGCGTAATCTCCCTTTTATTTCTATGGGAAGTTGTTCCTGTTGTAGTTAGCACTCTCCTTTCCTTACAGATGGCTGCATGAGCCTGCAGGTTCAGGAAGGCATACTTAGAATCTGTATAGATGTTGATTCTCTGTTCTTTTGACCGTTTTAGTGCTTCTGTTAGGTCCACTAATTCTACCAATTGAGCACTTGTATTCGGAGGAAGAGGACCTGATTTGAGGGTGCCAAATTCTGTAACAACTGCAAACACTGCATGTCTGACACCATTCTTGACAAAGGAACTGCTGTCAGTGTGTAAATTAGATCTGGGCTTTTTAAGGACCAATCAGTTAGATCAGGTAGCATAATTCTCCATAAGTACCTCCTCACATGAGTGTTCAGGATTTCCCTCTGCCTCTGGTAGAAGGGATGCAGGGTTTAGGCTCTGATAGGTCCTTAAAGTTATTTCTGTCCCTCCCAGAAGCTGGGCCTGGTATTTAAGTAGACAGTTGTCAGATAGCCAAAGTTCTCCTTTTGAGTTTAGAATTCCCCCTAGGTCATGTGGGGTGTAAACTGTTAGGGGGCAGTTTAGGATAAGTTTCTGAGGCGCAGGCACTAGAAGGCTAACTGCAGCTACTGCTCGAAGACATCCTAGCCATCCCTTGGCTACCTGATCTAACTCTGCTTAAGTAGCCCACTGGCTGGGGAGTGATGGCCCCAAGCTGAGTCACCATGCCCAAGGCCAGTCTCCCTGGGAGACCCAGGGCTGGAGCTGTCATAAGGATCTTTTTTAACCGGTGGAATGCATTTTCTGACTTGTCATCCCATTCAATGAAGGGCTGGGTATCCTTCTGAGCTTCCTTAAGGATTTGATATAAAGGCCTGGCTAGGTCTGCTTATCCTGGGATCCAAATTCCACAGTATCCTGTCACCCCAGAAAGGCCCTCAATTGCTTTAGAGTTTTAGGTAGAGGAAATGCCAGGATTGGACAGATTCTGTCTTCTCCTAGAGCCCTCATTTCTTTCTCCAGGACAAAACCTAAATATGTAACCCTAGACTGACACAATTGGGCTTTTTCTTTAGAGATTTTATAACCTCTGTCTGCTTAGAAGTTTAATAAGGACTAATGGCTCACGAAATGACAGGCTCACTTGATCCACAGAGCAGGAGGTCATCTACATATTGTAGCAGAGTAGCTTGTGGATATTACCACTCTGCCAAGTCTTGGGTTAGAGCTAACCCAAAGAGGTGGGGGCTGTCTCTGAATCCCTGGGGGAGGACAGTCCAGATGACCTATCTAGACTTTGGTGTGGGGTCCTCAAAGGCAAAGATAGATTGACTTTTAGGATGTTAGGGAATGCAAAAGAAGGCATCCTGTAAGTCCAGGGCAGAGTAGTAAGCAGTACCCAGAGGTATTTGGGCTAGAAGTGTATAGAGATTTGGAATGACAGAGTGGAGGAGCACTACTGCTTCAGTGATCAGGTGGAGATCCTGGACTAGCCTCCATTTGTTAGGTCCCTTCCTGACACCAAAAATAGGAGTATTATATGGGCTGGAGTATTCTATTAGCAGTCCCTGTCTCTTTAAGTCTTTGATTATGGGAATTAGCCCCTCCTTAACTTCTGGTTTTAAAGGATATTGGTTTTGATGGGAAAACCAAGAGGGTTCCTTGAGATGAATTAGGACTGGGACTGCTGTTTGTGCCCATCCCATGGTATGTCCATCTGTCCACACCATGGGGTCTACTTGTTCCTCTATTAGGGGCAAGCAAAAGTACTCTCCTTGGGGTAAAAGGAGCTGTACCCCCAATTTAGATAGAAGGTCTCACCCTAGCAGAGGAGTAGGGGTTTCTGGGACAATTAAAAATGAGTGACAGAAGCGGAAATCTCCCTAGGAGCAGGCCTAAAGGCTGAGTGAAATAATGCTCTAGAGGCTGGCCTGATATGCCCCGAACAGTAATTTCCTTGGAGGACCTGGGTCCGGGAGAGAAAGGAATACTGAGATGCTGGCCCAGTATCGATAAGGAGGCTGACCTTTTGCTTTTCAATAGTAAGTATCACCGGGGCACCTCTGGTTTTATGGTGGTTACAGTAATCTGGATGGGAGGCCCTGGGAATTGTCATTGGGTGGGAGACTCTGGCCTTGGTTCCCAGAGGACCCTTCTCATGTTTTCCCTGACAAATGGGGGAGGGTCCCAGGGGTAGTTTCCTTCAGGGGCACTCCCTCCTAAAATGGCCTGCCTGTCCACATTGAAAGCATGTCCCCAGGTTTGGACTTTGCCCTAGAAGAGCCTCTCTGAGCCCTGTGATTGGAGCCTCCTGCCATTTACCCTTTCTGTTTTCCCTCTCCAGGTCCTTCTTTGTCTAAGACCCTATTATAGTATATGGATGTGGCTATATGGACCAATTGGTCTAGATCTCTGCTCCCTTCAACCACCAGTTCTTGAAGCTTTTTATGGCTATCTGGGGCTGCCTGTGTTAGAAATTTATCTTTTAGGATAATTTCCTCTTCCTGTGTCTCTGGTACAATGTTGGTATGCTTTTTGTAAAGCATCCTTAAGTCTCTGTAGGAGAGCTATTGGGGTTTTTAAGGGTCCTTGCTGTACAGCCATGACTTGGGAGTAATTAAGAGGTTTTATCTTAGCTCTCCTTAGATCCTCAAGAATGCAGTGGATGAGAGTGGGAGAAAATATTTGCCAGCTACACATCAGACAAAGGACTGATAACCAGAATATATAGGGAACTTAAAAAAACTAAATTCTCCCAAAACTAATAAATCAATAAAGAAATGGGCAAGTGAACTAAACAGAACTTTCTCAAAAGAAGAAATTCAAATGGCCAGAAAACACATGAAAAAATGCTCACCATCTCTAGCAATAAAGGAAATGCAAATTAAAACCACACTAAGATTCCACCTCACCCCTGTTAGAATAGCCATCATTAGCAACACCACCACCAACAGGTGTTGGCAAGGATGCGGGGGAAAAAGGAACCCTCTTATACTGTTGGTGGGAATGTAAACTAGCACAACCACTCTGGAAAAAAATTTGGAGGCTACTTAAAGACCTAAACATTGATCTATCATTTGATCCAGCAATACCACTCTTGGGGATATACCCAAAAGACTGTGACACAGGTTACTCCAGAGGCACCTGTATTTGGGATGTTATAATGAGTTACATAGTCTGGGTGGCTTAAACGACAAGCTTTTATTTCTTACTGTTTCAGAGGCTGGAAGTTCGAGATCAGGATGCCAGAAGAGTTGGATTCTTGTGAGGCCCTCTTCCAGGCTGCAGACTGCAGACTCCTTACCTAGGAGAAACAGTGCTAGAGAACTCTCTGGAAGCCTTCCTATTAGGGCACTAACCCAGTTATGATACCTCCATTCTCACGACCTACTTACCACTAGCTCATACCTTCACGTTGGGGTTAGATTTCCACCTGGGAATTTGATGTGGGGAAAGACAAACATTTCAATCCATAACATCCTTCATTCTTTTATTTCTTAATATTTTTCACATCTTTGTCTTTTGGATTGCATTCTGGATAGGTTTTCCCCTCCTTTGGCTTTACCTAACAGTTTATTTATTCTCTCTTCAGCTCTAGTGGATTTTTAATTCATGCACTAGGTTGTTAGAGTCAGTTATCTTGTGTTGCATTTCTAAAAGCTCTATTTGATTCTTTTCAATTTTACTTGGTCTTTATATTCTTTTATTCCCTCCTTAAATTTTCATATTGCTCTTTAAACATTGATCAGGGCTGGGCGTGGTGGTTCAGCTCTGTAATCCCAGCTACTTGGGATGGCAAGAGGATGGCAGTTTGAGGACATCCTAGGGGAAAAGTTCAGTGAGATATCTATGGCATGTACTACATAAGAGACAGGTAGGAGGATCGCTGAGTCTGGCCTTGGGCAAAAATGTAAGACCCTACATGAAAAGTAAAGCAAAAAGGGCTGGATTCATGGCTCAAGTGGTAGAATGCCTACCTGCAAGCTCATGACCCTGAGTTCAACCTCCTGTACTGCCAACAAACGAAAAAACTCATATTGATCAAATTTTCTGTGTCAGATAATTCTTATATCTGAAGGCTATTTCTATTTTCATTGTTTCTTTTGGTTCTTACTCATTTGGTTGTTTTCCAGTGACCTTTTCTGTGAGTGGATTATTTTCCTCAGAATTGGTTAATTTTTTGAGGCCTGTGTTGAGTCAGGCCTCAAAGAATTAACACTTCACTGGGTTGAAGTGTTTCTCCTTCAAAAATCATTTCTATTTCTTTCCTACTAGTTGCAATTGCTTGGGGACATCACCCAAACATTTGGACAACATGGAGATTAGTCCTCAGCCTACATTTTCCTCTAGTTTAATGCTGTCTTTTTATAATTGATGGAACTGAGGTCTAGAAGACAATGTCTGTGGCTATTAGCAGCATTCATTCATGCATTACAGAACGACCACTCGAGTAGGCTATGTCCAGAGGCATTGTGCATGCTGCAGGCTCCATGGCCAGTATGGTGGACAAGAACTCTGGTCCCTGGTGTTATAGCCTGTAGAGGAAGAGAGGTAAGAATGTGTGAAACAAAACTCCATATAGGGAACTTCTACTGAGAAAAAATGTGTGTGTGTTTGTGTCACTAGATAGATGTTCAGGGAAAGCCCTGTAGGTGAGGGGACCAATTAGAGATAAATAAGAAGAAATCAGCCATGTGAAGGGTAAAGAGAAGAGTGTGCCAAACATCAGAGCCAAGAGCAGGTAGAAAGGGCTTGTTTGATGAGCCTGAGGAGCAGAAAGGAGGCCAGAGTGTGTGAGGGGAGGCAGTTTGAGGTGAGACCAGCGAGCTCATGAAGCGACAGGTAATTCATGGTAAAGAGTATGAATCTTATTCCATGCATCCCGTGAAACTGGAGGATTTTACTAAGAAGAACTGGGACAAGAAACTCAAGACTTTCCCTAGCAAATTCAGTGTGCTCTTCACTTGTAGTAGTAGAATTGACAGCTTAATGATGCGGCCACTGATGGTGTTTTCACAGAAGCTAGCCAGTGGGGAGTGTCTAGACTTACAACTGCCCTTACATTCACCAGGCTGGAGTAACCAGCACAGACTCACTAAGCCAGCACCACAAGTGTCAGGAAATACATCTCTTAACGCATACTGCATGTGTGTCACAATGACCCCTTTCATGGAAGACTACTGATTTCTTACTCTAAAATCAGAAACTGTTAAAAAATTTATATTGGAAAGTATATTAGTAATACTGAAACATCCCACCTCTGCCAGGAGAATAGAAATCACTAATAATCACACAGAAGTTCCTCAGATAAAGGGTTTAGGACTCAAAATCCTCACCTAAACTGTATTTTCTTCAAGGAATGGGGACTCAAATCCACATCACTGTCCAGACTTTTCAATTGATTCTGTCACACTAGCCCTGCTTTGCTCTGAGTCTAATCTCCATTTAAAATTCTCCTAAACTCTGCCTTTCCCCAGTACTAGAGTAACACAATCTTTCCCTTCACTCCCACTCCCACACTTCCTCTGGTATGTGGTCTCCCATGCTGCAGTGGGCCAATAAACCTGACTATGTGACTGCAGTCACAGATTTATTGGGCCAGGATAATCTAGAGATTCTACTGAGGTTTGACTAAGACCTTCACTGCCTGCTTGGGTAATCACACATCTGAGACTTTTGAGATCTCATAATTGGTTCCAAATTATGAAAATTTTATAGGAAATCTGGGTTCTGGACTTCAACCTCAGTGTCTTAATGTCTCCTGGGGTTTTGAGATTCTTAGCAGGTTTTGGTGTCTTCTGACTTTGAATACCATCTTATTTGTCAGTGAAAACTTTCTCATCTGCATAAGAGAATTTGGCTTTGGGAGAGACCTTCTCTGTCACCTGTGGTGCCCTCTCTTTTCATTCCTTCGATTGACATTTAGAGGGCTCAGTGTTGGGGTTGAGGTCTGATGTGTTCGTAGCAATGTTTTCATGTTCATCCAACTTGTCATGGATTTCTCAGATTATAAATTTGTATTAGCTCTTGGCATAACATTACCAGGGAATTGAATAACTTTGGGGAACTTTGATGTGCACAAAACACAGAGAGAGGCACTTTGAAAAAGAAAACCAAAAATTAATAAATTCAGGAGAGTGTCTTATTTTTCCAAAAGTGATCGCTTTGTTTAATGTAAAAGACTGCCCATCTTTTATTTCCAATTCAGGGCTTTCTAATTAGGTGGCTTATATTTGAACTTTCTCATCTCTCTCTGAAGAGAGAAGACAGCTCCTGTTTTACAGTGACTATTTCTTCTTTGTCTAAAACTGACCCCGGATTTCCTTTTTGCCTGTTCCTTTCCCTTTTTACTCCACTTGAAAAAAACTTAAAGACAAATTCATCAGAAAGAAAAATTCTGCCATGATATGTGCAATCCAGGAATATCTAGTCCAGAAAACTAGTAAAAAATATCTAAAAGAAAAAGGCAAACTATTTGTGATTCTTTTGCTTTAAAAAATGTAGATAAGTGATTTAAGTAATATAATACACTTTGTTGTTATGGTTGTAAGAATCAAAATTTCAAGATAAAAATCTTTGAAATGATTAAGAGTATAAGGTTTATAATTTTTTTTTTAAAAAAGAGCTGGGGGCATAACTCAGTGGTAGAGCACTTGCCTAGTTTTCACAAGGCTCTGGATTCGAGCTTCAGCACTGAGAAAAAAGTTTCAAATGTATTTTTTTGTAGTGACACTGAGCTACATCCCCAGTCTCCTAAACATTTCTTATAAATAGATGAATTTGGGCAAACACTAATGAATTAGTATTTACAATCAATTATATAGCTTCTTCCAGATATTATTATAATAATTAATGCTAATACAAGATTCTAATTTATATAAAACGAAGGCTGAACTTGAGGAGGGCTGGTAGAGAGGCTTTGGAAAAGAGAAGGAAGTGGGGGCGAGCCAGGCCTGACAAGGCCAGGAGCAGGGACACCTGGGCGAGCAGCTCCCAGGGCCTTGTGGCGCTCATCTGAGGCCGAGGGAAAGCCGTTTCTGTTCTTTAAAAATGTCATTATCATGGAAAACACTGGGATCACAGCTAAGTGGAGAGCACAACGACAGGAGTTCTCTGGACCGAGCGTTTTTGCAGCGAGAGCACTGCGTACCGGACGCCGGGCCACTGGAGAGCATCGTCTTCCTGATGGGCTGGGCATACAGCTGGTCTGACATTGAGCAGTAACGAAAGGCATTTTTAAATGGCACAATTATTTGTGGTAGCTTACCCACTATTTTTCCACTTTCTCTGTCCTATCTTTTATCGACTTTTCATATTTGTAATAGTGTGCTAACGTAGACAACCTATTGGCCCATTTGTTCACTCAAATTCTATTTAAACTCTGCCTTTATATAGCGGTAATTTTTTTTTTTTTTTAAAGACAAAGGAATCAACCCCGTCCCACCCCGGCACTACACAATATTAAATTCCTAGGAGCAAAGGATTAAGCTACACCAATTACTGCACTTTCTCCTCCAGAACAGCAGAGGGCGGCAGGCAATCGAGGTGCCACTCCGCCCTTGGTTCAGGAGACTCTTCTCGTTTCCGACGCTGCGAACCTTTGCCCCGGAAGTGTTCAGGTGCCGGTTGCAGGCGTGACTTTGAGAGCTTGCCGCTGTGGTCCCGGCACCGAGCAAAGCAGACCCGCTGCCGCCGGATCTCGCGGTTCTTGGCTGTCATGAGGCTTCTGGGTGTCACTGCGGCAGTTCTGGGGCGCGGGCCTCTCCCACGGGTCCCTGCCGCCCTGGGCTGGCAGGGGAAGCAGGTACCTGGTGCCCGGCGAGGCCGAAGCAGGGACCCTTCCCTTCCCTGCGACCTCCTGGCTGGCAACTGCGAGCGCGACCGAACTGGTTATTTAGGAGCTGCGTCTGGGTGGCTGGGAGTTGGGTGGGTCCGCGACGCAGGGGAAGCCTCTGCCCCGTGGCGTTCCCTAAAGAGAAGCGACCGCGTGAAGGTCAGACAGCCGAGGGAGCGACTCGAGGCTCGAAGCCCGCGCTCCTGGGGTCCTGGCCGACCGCCCTCTTTCTCGGCCGGCCTTTGGGTAGTTATCGGGCGCTCCACTTCCCGGCGCTCTTCTCTGCCGTGTTTCTTAGTAGGTGCACAGATGAAACTTTGCAAGCCTTTGGGGGTGCTGAGTGGGCAGGGTTAGGTGGGTGTTGGGCGTTTCCTGTCGTGCAGACCTCAGGCATCCCTGGGGCCCATCTGTTAGCTACCTGATCCTCGTGTCCCTCTTTCCAGAAGTGGTCACAGTGCCTTTGGACGCGCAATTCTGTAGGGAAAGGTTATGTTATGCCACGATTCCATAAAATACAGGACACTCCCAGCTCAATTAAAGTTTTTTCTAAAGAAAAAAGTTGTTTTTCTTTAGAAGCAGTTGGGGCTGTCTTGGAGCCACTGTGTAGAGCATGTAAATCCTCAGGACACCTCTGGTAGTTGTGAGCCACAGTAAAGGAGAAGGAGGGAAAGTTAAAGTAGAATTTGTAGTTCCTCTTAAAGTCATTCTTGAGAATTGTTGTTCTGATTTTTATCACATTCCGTGTGTATTGTAAAATCATAACATTTGTCCTGGTTTAATTTAATTTTTAAGAATATGTATTTTCAGTCTTTTGTAGTCTCTCCTTTGGTTACAGGATTTGCAGGTTTTAACATTTCTCCTGCTTTTCCAGGCAATTTTTTGTGTAATGAGATTCTTCGGAAGAAAAATGTTTACTATTCCCATTTTAATTGCCTATTATCTTATAAAAAGTCCTTGAATTGAGATCTTTTATTTTTTCAGGTTAATTGGAAAGCCTGCCAGTGGTGTTCATCAGTTACAATTCCTAATGAAAAAATACGAAATATTGGAATCTCAGCTCACATTGATTCTGGGAAAACGACATTAACAGAAAGGGTGCTGTACTACACTGGCAGAATTGCAAAGATGCATGAGGTACATGGTTCATGGTTGGTTCCATAGCCTCATTCTAATTGTTTTGTAGATGTGGCTTTATAAATGTTACAAAACCTGGAAGATTAAAACAGTGGATCTTTAACCAAAGTCGCATGTACAAAGGAGATAGCTCAAGTTGGCTTGAAATGTTCTGAGTAATCTCTCTAGAGATGATCACTGTTAGTATCCTGAGTACATTGTCTTTTAAAGATGAGATGTACCCTGAAGCAGCCATTAAAATCATTCTGATGTAATTTGTAAGGATGGATAAATGCTTATGATGCTAAATGGAAGATGGGTTTAAAATGACACATTGTGTGTACTCAGTTGTTTGAAATACCTGTCTAAAAATTGTTTTAAAAAAATCTTTTTTTTTTTTCATTTTTCTTTTATTATTCATATGTGCATACAAGGCTTGGTTCATTTCTCCCCCCTGCCCCCACCCCCTCCCTTACCACCCACTCCGCCCCCTCCCCCCCCCTCCCGCTCAATACCCAGCAGAAACTATTTTGCCCTTATTTCTAATTTTGTTGTAGAGAGAGTATAAGCAATAATAGGAAGGAACAAGGGGTTTTGCTGGTTGAGATAAGGATAGCTATACAGGGCATTGACTCACATTGATTTCCTGTGCGTGGGTGTTACCTTCTAGGTTAATTCTTTTTGATCTAACCTTTTCTCTAGTTCCTGGTCCCCTTTTCCTATTGGCCTCAGTTGCTTTAAGGTATCTGCTTTAGTTTCTCTGCGTTAAGGGCAACAAATGCTAGCTAGTTTTTTAGGTGTCTTACCTATCCTCACCCCTCCCTTGTGTGCTCTCGCTTTTATCATGTGCTCATAGTCCAATCCCCTTGTTGTGTTTGCCCTTGATCTAATGTCCACATATGAGGGAGAACATACGATTTTTGGTCTTTTGGCCAGGCTAACCTCACTCAGAATGATGTTCTCCAATTCCATCCATTTACCAGCGAATGATAACATTTCGTTCTTCTTCATGGCTGCATAAAATTCCATTGTGTATAGATACCACATTTTCTTAATCCATTTGTCAGTGCTGGGGCATCTTGGCTGTTTCCATAACTTGGCTATTGTGAATAGTGCCGCAATAAACATGGATGTGCAGGTGCCTCTGGAGTAACAGTCTTTTGGGTATATCCCCAAGAGTGGTATTGCTGGATCAAATGGTAGATCGATGTCCAGCTTTTTAAGTAGCCTCCAAATTTTTTTCCAGAGTGGTTGTACTAGTTTACATTCCCACCAACAGTGTAAGAGGGTTCCTTTTTCCCCGCATCCTCGCCAACACCTGTTGTTGGTGGTGTTGCTGATGATGGCTATTCTAACAGGGGTGAGGTGGAATCTTAGTGTGGTTTTAGTTTGCATTTCCTTTATTGCTAGAGATGGTGAGCATTTTTTCATGTGTTTTCTGGCCATTTGAATTTCTTCTTTTGAGAAAGTTCTGTTTAGTTCACGTGCCCATTTCTTTATTGGTTCATTAGTTTTGGGAGAATTTAGTTTTTTAAGTTCCCTGTATATTCTGGTTATCAGTCCTTTGTCTGATGTATAGTTGGCAAATATTTTCTCCCACTCTGTGGGTGTTCTCTTCAGTTTAGAGACCATTTCTTTTGATGAACAGAAGCTTTTTAGTTTTATGAGGTCCCATTTATCTATGCTATCTCTTAGTTGCTGTGCTGCTGGGGTTTCATTGAGAAAGTTCTTACCTATACCTACTAACTCCAGAGTATTTCCTACTCTTTCTTGTATCAACTTAAGAGTTTGGGGTCTGATATTAAGATCCTTGATCCATTTTGAGTTAATCTTGGTATAGGGTGATATACATGGATCTAGTTTCAGTTTTTTGCCGACTGCTAACCAGTTTTCCCAGCAGTTTTTGTTGAAGAGGCTGCTATTTCTCCATCGTATATTTTTAGCTCCTTTGTCAAAGATAAGTTGCTTATAGCTTTGTAATATAGTTTGAAGTCAGGTATTGTGATACCTCCTGCATTGTTCTTTTGACTGAGTATTGCCTTGGCTATTCGTGGCCTCTTATGTTTCCATATAAATTTAACAGTAGATTTTTCAATCTCTTTAATGAATGTCGTTGGAATTTTGATGGGAATTGCATTATTGTTTTAAAAAATCTTCACACTTTCCTGAAGATACTGCCTAATCATTGGACAATTTAGTTCTCCAGTTTAAAATATTTCTTCAGATGAAGAGCATTTTATTAGGTCAGATGCTTTAGAAGCTGCATCCTTCCCACTCATGCCTTAGAATCCACATGGAACATTGCTGGGAAAGGTCTGTTCTCTAAATGGACTAACACATGGCCAGTGGAAGCAAGAATGGTTCTAAGACCAGAATGATTAGTCTGCCTTAGTTTTTGAAGGACTGCAGTGAAAAAAAACGTTTTGGCAGTTAACACAGGGCAAAACCTGTTGCCAGTTATTTGTTTAGGAGATGATATGATCAGAGAATTAGGCTTATCTGAAAATCCTGTGAGTTAACTGTGTTCTGGTTCTATTTCAGTAGAGCTTGCTTTCTTGGGATGCAGGGGCAGAGAAATCTGAATTGTTGTGCTCATGTTTAGGTGAAAGGTAAAGATGGAGTTGGTGCTGTCATGGATTCCATGGAACTAGAGAGACAAAGAGGAATCACTATTCAGTCAGCAGCCACCTATACCATGTGGAAAGATACCAATATCAACATTATAGATACTCCTGGTGAGTTGGATTCTGGTTTAATTGTAGCTTCTTTTGGCAAAAGCACATTTAGTTCTAGTATGACCCAGTTAATTTTTGAGTATCAAATACAAAAAGTTGTAACACTGAGAAGAAGAAGACAGATGTGGGACATGGAGTACTTTGTTGGCATGTGATGTGTAAACAAATGTGAGTGGGAAGATTCTTGTCTTTTACATATTCCAGCTCATTCCAAACTTGCCCATGCCCTCATATCCTCGAAGTGACCTTGTTGGCTGTGCCTAATGATGGGTGAATTAAATTGATGAGCTGAGGATCCACATTCTAATTGAATGACTTACGTAATGAGCACAAAAAATTTATTAGTGTGTGTATTAAGAAGTCAGCCTGCTCTTTAAAACATGTGCTGCTTTGTTTTATTTAGGCCATGTGGACTTCACAATAGAAGTGGAAAGGGCCCTGAGAGTGCTGGATGGGGCAGTCCTTGTTCTCTGTGCTGTTGGAGGAGTACAGTGCCAAACCATGACTGTTAATCGTCAGATGAAGCGCTACAATGTTCCATTTTTAACTTTCATTAACAAATTGGATCGAGTGGGCTCCAACCCAGCCAGGGCCCTGCAGCAAATGAGGTACTAAGTCTCAAAAAACAGTGTACTGATGTGCACAGGAAGCCTTATATCCAAAAGGACAGTTAACTCAGTGTTATTAAACCTGATCCTTAAATTTTCTTTTTCTTAAAAATGTACGTGAGTCTTAGTAAAATGAATTCAGTATTTTGGTTTATGGTGTGATTTCATTAGCTGCCTTCTTTGTGAATAGAGAAAATATGACTTAAATTCTAGGGAGGCTGAAGATGACCACAAAAACAATTTGGTAATTGAAACTGTTTTGCTATAATTAAAGAAATTGTAGTCTATAGTAGATTCTAGGAATACTTTGCATTTTATTTAGACAAATCTAGAGGATTATTTTTGGCTTTAACCTTTATTTAAGGCATTTTGATTAGTGCCCTTAAGTGGTATCTTAGAGATGACTTTCCCTTGCTTTCATGTGGTAAAGTGTTTGCTAGGTCAATAGGAGCACTTTTTTTCTGTACCATATACAACTCAGCTGTATGGTAGCATTTTGTGTTTTGTACAGTATCTTATACCTGCCCTTTATAAGGGCTTTTGACCCAATGAAGTTGTAGAGTTCTACTCAGGTTTTATATGGCAAAGCTGATGAATATAGGCTGTAAACTGGTAGTAGATAGGCTAAAAGTGATGTTTTTGATGACAAAAAGTGCTGCTGACAGTGAAATGGCAGTGAGAGCATATCTTCCAATGAGAGTCCTGGCTGGTGAGTGCAGTTTCTGTTCAGTGTTTGTGTCTTACCAGAGTACAGACTGATGAGTGTCTGACTTCAACACCTGCTCCTAAGAGTTTTCCTATGAAAACTCCCCTTTCAGACCATTCTATTCAGTTTTGCCATCAGTTGATTCAAGAATGAGAGGTGGGCCTGGCTATCCCTCTGTCCTCTAATTTCCTGGCTAGCCACCCATTCACTTGTTCTTCCTTCTGCTCGTGGTTGAGCGTATTCAGGAACTCCTATGGGAAAACTCATTTTGGAGTTCTTGTTCTCTAAATGGAATTGTGTCTTGTGCGCCTTGAGCTTGTCATCACTCTGTTCTTACTTGCTTTACAGCATCTGACTTGTTGATAACACCCTTGGTTCTATAATGGTTCTGCCATTGGTTTATTTTTATATGTGTCATTTCAAAAGGATTTTGAAAGAAGAAAAGAGGTAAACATATTTTTATTTTTCAGGTCTAAACTAAGTCATAATGCAGCATTTGTGCAAATCCCCATTGGTTTGGAGGGTGATTTTAAAGGAATTATAGATCTTATTGAGGAACGAGCTATCTATTTTGATGGAGACTTTGGGTAAGTGCTAAAAATACACTACTAATATTTCGTATTTTTAAAAACATCAAAGGGAAGGGAAAAAGTTCTTTAAACACAGAATAAGTATATTTAAGGAATGTGGCTGGAAGATATTCCTGTAGATGAATTTATTTTAACGTGTTAAGGTCTAGTTATTCTCCTAGTGTTTATTCTGAGAGAGTATATGCTTCTTCTTGGGTATATACTCATATCGCATTATAACATGCATGGGATGGTGGAAAAGGCTTTTTTAAATTTTTTTTTTGGTGGTACTGAACTCAGGGTTTTGTGCTTGTTAGGCAAGTGTTCTGCCAGTTAGGGCACTCTACCAGCCCTTTTTGCTTTGGCTGTTTTCTTCTTTTTTTGGTTGTACTGGGATCTGAACTCTGGGATTTGTACTTGCTAGGTGGGCACTCCACCAGCATGCTTTGGTTGTTCTGACATAGGATCTTGTTTATGCTTTTGCCAGCCTAGACTGATCATCCTACTTGTGCTTCCCCACATAGCTGGAATGACAGGCACATACCACTGTGCCCAGCCATTGGGTTAGATGGGGTCTGGATAACTTTGTTCCCCAGCTGGCCTCACACCATGGTCCTTCCGATCTCTTCTTCCCTAGTAGGTAGGATTACAGGTGTGAGTCACTGTGTCTGACTAAGACTTTTAATTTGGACTAGTAATGTTTTGTTTACTTTCTCACTTGTTCATGTATTTGTTCATTCATTCATTCTGTAGACTGGCTTACAGAGGAGCAACATTGCTATGTCCTATGAATTAAGATAAAAATTGGGAGGAAACAGGGATTATAAATACTGCTGTACCTACTTCATAGAATTAGAGAAAGGTTGGTATGTAAGAGCAGTTAAAATTATAAAAATGTGGCTTAGCAAATGTAAAAACAAATTGGTATCTTTTGTCATGGTGTTTTTTTAGTCGTCTTTTGGGTGTTCTCTGCATACAAAGTTCCATTAATTCCTCAGTGGCTGTCAAATCTCCGCATTCACAAAACCACTGCAAGGATTTATTAACATATAGATACGTTAACATATAGATATGTCCTATGGCCCACCGCAGAAGTTTGATGCAGCGATTCTAGGATGGGGCTGGGATTTGTCTCTGGAAAGTCCCCAGGCGATGCGGATGTTGCATGTCTGCACACCATCTAGGCCCTGTGCGTGAGCTTTTGCTTTGAGGAGTGCCCCCAGTAGCCTGGCAGTGTTCCCAAAGGCCCTTTGAGGGGTTCTCCTCCTAAGATATTTATCACTCTCTAGAATGTAGGGCCCAAGAAGGCAGGGTTTCATTTTTCTGCTTTATTCACTGCAATGTCTTCAGTCCCTTGAACTGCCTGTTGCATAATAGGGACTTAAAAATATGTTTAAATGAAGGAATAAATCCACTTTCCCAGGATTACCAGGGTGCTTGATTCTAAAGTAGAGGCTCTTCTATGTTTTTTGTACCTTGGAAAGACAGATGGAGTTTCTTGATGTATGTGTCCCTTCCCCAGCCCACTGGATGTATGTATGTGGAAAGAATCCACAGATGAGTTTCTCATGAAAGTATAAAGACCAGGAGCTGGCTAGGAAGGATGAAATTAAGATCCGAAGGTTACAAAAAGTTTTTGTTAGGATTTAAGAATTATTTTCTGAGTATTTGGAATTAGCATCATTATTTATCTGGGTTTGGTTGTTGTTGTTGTTAAGAATTTGCATTAGTTTCTCTTTGTTGTTGTTTGTTGAGACAGTCTCTCTGTATATCCAAGGCTAATCTTGAACTTGCTATGTAGTACAGACTGGCCTCATACTTTCAGTCTTTCCACCTCAGCTTCCCAAAAGCTGGGATTACAGATGTAAACTACCGTGTCTGGCTTTCTGTTTTTAAATAAATGACTTACAATACTTTCAGACTGATGTTTTTACACATCAAGTATACTCATCTTTCAGTTTTGTGTATTTTGCTTGTGACTTGTACCTGTTTGGCCCCTAGAGGAGCAGAGAACTGATGTCAAGGTTTAACAGTCTATCATTTTATTATTTTCTTGACTACAAATTGGGATGTTCTGTGTGACAAATGTGTGATCAGGTTTGTTATTTATAGAAAGAAGTTGACTACAATCTCTGATCCTCCTTATGTGAAATTATGATAATCTGATAAGTAAGGTTATGGTTAGTAGTTTTCAAGAGCTTAGCTGGGCATCACACAAGTTGGCTTGAATATTAGCTGTTCCATTTACTAGCAGTACAACTTTGGGCAAGTTACTTTGCTTGTTTAATTTCCATCTTAAAATGCAGATAATAGGAGCTACTTCATATCATGTGAAGATTGGTTTAGTGCTTGCTGCAGCAGGGGTGATAAATGGATATTGTTTTTATTTGTATGCTTTCCAATTAGAATGATGTAGCAAAAACAGTCCTGTAACTACATTGAAAAGAATTTTAATCCTTTATTTAGTTGATACTTTTCCAGGTCAGTGTTTTGCTCTTATTCATGTATTTGATGGTAGATGTTCATTTTTGATTTCTAAAATGAGGAAAACCAGTTTGTATTAAATTGAGAAGGATTTTGAATTACATCATTTGTCATTATTTTCTGCAGAACGTGACTGGAAAAATAGAATACAATGCTTATTCCAAAATTAAGGATACCGAATTTTTTTTCTCATTATCATGAACTGTTTTGGCTCTTCTATTCATGAGTAGTACACACCTTGAGCAAGTTACTTATGCACTATTTTTGCCCACTGTTCTGATTTTTTTTTTTGTGAGCACCTTTTTATTTTAAAATTTTGTTTTCCATTTTTATTACCATGTATTCATTGTACAAGGGGGATTCATGATGACAATTTTGAATAGCCTTATATTGTACATTGATTAAATTGTCCCCACCATCTTCCTCCCCCCATGTTCTGTCTGAATTTTAAAAATATGTGTTAATCTTATTTACCATTTGAATTCAAATATGTCAGCTCTTTCTTATCTAAAAAAAAATTAAACCATAATTATATCTGCTTTATATGTTTAATTAAATAGCCTTAAAATAAAGCATGTCTTTTCTTAGTCAGATTGTTCGATATGGTGAAATTCCAGCTGACCTGAGGGCAGCAGCTGCTGACCACAGGCAGGAGCTAATTGAATGTGTTGCCAATTCAGATGAGCTGCTTGGTGAGTTGTTCCTGGAAGAAAAAATCCCCTCAGTTTCTGACTTAAAGGCAAGTGCTCTCAAAATAAGTCTTATATTAACAAAAAGCTTTTGTTAGTTTTGTGGGGAGGGGATATGATGCTTTTATGTATGGCTTTAAATAGTCAATTTCTGGGGTATATCTTTATTGAAAAGAAAAGTTATAGCCATAAAACAGATTAAGAGATTAGATTGCTAAATGATTACAGACTGAAGTTCATAGGTACTAATAGTCAATTTTGCAATAAACTTTTCTGCAAAGAAGATATACATATGATTAATACAAGAGAAGATGCTCAACATCGCTAATCATTAGGGAAATGCGAATCAAAACCCCAATGAGATACCACTTCACACCCATTAGTATGGGTCCCATTCAAAACAAATAAACAGAAATCAAGAAGTATTGTCATGGGTGTGGAAAAATTAGAAACCTTGCTCCTTGCTGATGGGAGGGTAAAGTGATGTAGTCACTGTGAAAAACAGTATGGCAGTTCTTCAGAAAACTAGATATATAAGTACTTTATAACCCAGAACTTATCCTTCTGGGGGTATACCCAAAAGAAAGAAGGGTCTCCAATATTTGCTTGTGTACCAATGTTTATAGCAGCACTATTTACTTCCTACTAAACTGCCTCAGTGTCCTATATCTCAGCTTAAGATTCCCACAACATTTGGTCCATTAATGAATGAATGGATAGACAAACTGGTCTGTTTTAGCTCTAAAAAGGAATGAAATTCTGATACATGCTACAAAATGAATGAACTTTGAAGGCATTCAGAGTGAAATAAGCCAGATTTCTAAAGGAGAATGATTTTATGATTCCACTTACATGAATACCTGGAATAGTCACATTTTTGGAGATAGAAAGTGGAGTAGTGGTTACCAAGGGTTGTAGGGATGGCTTAATGGGGAGTTATTGTTTAGTGGAAATAGAGTTTTAGTTTGGGGTGGTAAAAAAAAGTTTTGAAGATGGATAGTGGTTGTAGTTGTGTAACATTGTGAATGTACTTAATGCTGTTGAGCTGTGCACTTCAAAATGGTTAAAATGGTAATACATAAATATATAAATTTTATCTTATATATTTTACCACAATACAGAAAAAAGACTGATGTTAATTTTCTCAAACCATTTGGTGCACTTAGCAGAGATCAGTAATTACTGTGTGAAAGACACTGCACTTACGGAATTTAAAATAAATCAGACACAGGGAAAGGACCCTGTTGCAGCTGAGATGGTCTCTAATAACTTTCACTTTACTATTTAAACTGGAACTATATCTTGTAGCTGAATCCTTTAGCATTCACAAAGGCCTTAGCACCTCAGCTCTGAGTAGGGAGTACACATAGGAAGATCTAGGCCTAACCCTACGAAAAGTCAAGCATTGTCCCAGTATTCAGCACATGGTTAAGAGGATACACAGCACATTGATCAAAGGGAAAGGACACAAGAGATGATGTTGAGAGGAGACCATATATAAGCTTGCAGAGTCCTTTCCTAGTGGACACATAGGACTGCTTAAGTACTGCAGCAGGGTATTGTGACATCACCTATGAAATATGGAGCGTCATTAGAAACTTCATTGCCCAAGACCAGTGTGATGGCACATGACCTGTAATTGCACTCGTAGGCTGAGGCAGGAGGATCACAAGTTTCAGGTCAGCCTGTGCTACATAGTGAGATCCTGCCTCAGAAAACCAAAACCAAACAAAAGCTTTTTATTGGGGTCTGGAAACCGTCTACTTAGCATGTAATCAAAGTTCAGACTCCAAAAACAAGTGTTTAGCACCTATCACATTGTTTATATAAACAGTATAGGCACAGTGAATCATTCTTGGAAGTTCTGAGAATGATGAGGGTCCTCCTAAAATCCAAATTTCCACATACCAACCAAGGGCGGGTGGGCCTTGCAAGGAGGCCTTTCCATGGAAAGTTGTAGTCCTGCTGTTTTTGGTCTCCTGCACAGAACAAATGAGCATATTTTAGTTTCTGTATTGATGCTGGATATATTACTACAGTGGAAAGGCTACAGCTTTCAAGGAAACAAGGGAACCTTTTTGAAAATAAAGTCTTGTTGGGTTGTTGTAAGGAATGGTTTTAATTGCTCCTTTTCTGTTTATCTATCCCATTCATGTGTTTCTTTGTTCTGTATATATAAAATAAGTGTAAAATAAGATTACTGTATGTTCACACTTCTGTATTAGGGAGAAGTGGAAAGTCAGTGTGACCAAGTGGCTTATGATAGCCTAAGTGGCTAGTGATCTAGCTTTTAAGATCATTATAAGTAGTAATTGCTCCGTGTTTTGCTCTAAGCTCTTTTTGTTGTGCTGGTAATGGAACCCAGGGCTGTGAACATGCTGGGTAAGTGCTGTACCACTGAACTTCATCTCCTGCCTAGCTGTGAACTTTTTTTTTCATGAGGATTAAGAAATAATTGTATGTTGCCTGCATAATTGTGCAATGGCAGGTGTGGCCACAGCACTCATGTTACTCTTTCAGCTGCTAGAGCTAAAGCACCACCATGTATTCTTTGAGGCCTGCACAGCTTGCAGAACACGATGATGGAATTGCACAGAGGATTGGGGTAGGATCTAGAGTCCTTATTTTAGAACCTGCTACTTCATGTACCTTAATTTATGAGTGATTTGGTTTCCTGTGTGTATGTCCATTAAAGAAAAAAAATAATTGTTTTTAATAGTTCTACTTTCATGTGGTTTAAACATTTAAAAAGTATACAGAGGTAATGCAGTAAAAACTCTCACCTCTTCCATCTGCCCTGTTCTCTGACCCCTTCCCAGAATAGGTTCCAAGCCAATATTTTCTGGTGTATCTTTCCAGAGATGTCTTTTTCATATATGTTACTTTTCACACTGTTTTATACATTTATTGACATTATAGTACATACTGTTCTGTGTGTCTGTTTTCTATAAATATGTGTTTGTTTGTTGCCAAACTGAAAATCAGTAAATCCAGGAATGTTAAAAGCGGTTGTACAGTAAATCAGTTTCTGTCCCTGGAAATGACTCTTTTTAAAAATGTTTTGGTCTTATGTTTGTTGTAATCTGATTTTAGTCTCTGTATTATAACCAGCACTCCTCAGAGTGTCAGTTCATTTTATTCATTTGTGGATTTGTAATTGACTTAAGAACAAAATGTAATGTTAACATTAATCATTTTCCGTTCCTTTTTTTTTAAGCTTGCAATCAGAAGAGCTACATTAAATAGATTATTTACTCCTGTCTTTGTGGGAAGTGCCTTGAAGAACAAAGGAGTTCAGCCTCTTTTAGATGCTGTTTTAGAGTACCTCCCCAATCCATCTGAAGTCCAGAATCATGCTATTCTCAATCAGGAGGAGTAAGTCTTGGCAGTCACTCTTGGTTTGTACAAAAATATTTTAACATTATGAAGGAGTTTAAGGATCGTCTAATTATGTTTAGAGTTTTGTTTTTTTTGATAGTTCACAAATATCAATCACTACTTTTAGTTGGGTAACAATTTGGGCATATAGAAAAGTATTTACACCAGTTCACATATCATATTGTATTTGTGACGGTATAGTTTGTAAATGAACATGGTTTGTTTACTCTCAAAATTTGTAGCATTAGAAAATTTTCTTATTTGGGACCAGCTAGTTTCTGTCAAAATTTTTTTTAAATCCTTAAGAAAGAAACTGGAAAAAAAAAAGTCTCATTGATGATTTTTTTCTTTTCATTTGCTATCAGTCCATTTCTGTGTTTTTTGGCTCACTCTGATCCTATCACTATGTAGTAACTAAGTAGTAATTTACTCTTTCTTTTTTTTTTGTGGGACTGAGGGTTTGAACTCAGGGTTTCACTCTTGCAAAGCAGGTGCTCTACTGCTTGGGCCACTCTCCTGTCCATTTGGTCTGGTTATTTTGGAGATGGGGAGTCCAGGCTGGCCTTGAGCCTCCATCCTCCCCATTTCAGCCTCCCAAGTAGCCAGGATTATAGGCACGAGCCACCAGTGAACTAACGCTTTTTGAACTACTTTGGTGAAATTTTACTTGTGTGTGATATCAGGAATACTTAGCATACATGTACTTTTTCTCAGATAATGCACTTTGATAAAGCAAATGATATAAAGGAAATACCAAATATTATATCTCATTGTTTTATATTCATTTTTAAGGAACTCAAAAGAGAAAACCAAAATCTTGATGAACTCCAAAAGAGATGGGTCCCACCCATTTGTAGGCCTGGCTTTTAAACTGGAGGTAAGTGGGTTTCTAATGTATTTAATTGCTTTCTGTACAAATTTTATTTACTTTTAAGCTTTTATTCCTATTACAGAAAGACTCTACCCCTTGTGAAAGATCTAGAAAATGGGAAGAGTAGAAAGAACAAATAAAGAATTTCCAAAGTCATAACACTTAAGTTCTTAATAGATACATTTTCTTCTCTACAGTTTTAAAATACTATTTTTACATAAATCATGCTACCTTAATACTTTTTTGTCTTGCTGTTCGCATTTAACATCACCGTAGATAAGGTCTATGTTTTTATACACTGTTTGAGCATTTTTATTTTATTTTTAAATTTTTTATTTATATATTTGTTTTGAGGCAGAGTCTCACTGTATAGCCAGGTTGGGCTCCAACTCATGATCCTCCTGCTTCAGCCTCCCGAGTGTGGAAATTTGAACGTTTTAAATTGCCTGCATAATAGTCTATCAAATATCTGTGTCATGATTTGCTCAACATTTCCCAAGTCATTGTACTCTGACATTGTTTCTAGGTTTTCACTGTTACAAATTACAGTGGATCCAGCCCTAGAAATGCTTTCTGAGGAACCAATGAAGGGCCGGGTATTAATGTGAGCCTCAGTTTACTCATCTTGTCTTTGCTTATAAAATCAAAATCTTACAAACAGTTGAAAAATGCCCAGGAACTGCAGTTTGATTAAATAAATCAGGTATATCTTTGTAGTGGAGTATTACTCAGATTTTAGAAATCGTGTGTTGACATGTCTGTATTTTGATGAGGAAAGGTATTTGTGGATTAAAAATAAAAAACAAAGCTTATTTTAGATTTAGAGAAAAGTTGTAAAGATAGGAGAGAAAATTCCTACTTTTCTCTACTTCCATTTTTGTCTTAATAAACTTTGTCACAACTAAGGGGTTGAAACTTATGTGTTGTCATTAAGAAATCCATACCTTGAGCCCTCTTAGTTTTTGCCCGTGCCTCCTTTTTGTCTCAGGCATTGCATTAATTAAGTGTCTTAGGTGCCTCTGGACTGTCAGGAGTCTCAGTCCTTCCTTGTTTCTCATGCCCTTGATGTTTTTGAGAAGTACCAGTCAAGTGTTTTGTAGAATGTTCAGGTTTGGCCATTGGGAGATCTTTCACTTGGCTTCTGTGTCCCAGTGAAACCTTCTAATGATTTGCTATTTCAAGTACTTCCTTACTTTCTGGAAAAAGATGCTCCAGGCTTACCTTGTATATTCCATGTCCCAGCCTGGGAATTAGACATTTCTCTAAGGGGTCCACTGCGAATCCTTCCAAACCAAGATTTGCAAGTATTTTTGTTAAGGTATTGTTGCTTCTGTTTGTAGTATTTAATATTTTATTTGAGAAAAATGCTGAATAAGTGGAAACTATTAGAAGTAGTTATTTCTGGGGTGGGATTATATTTTGGGGGCTTTTTCCTATTAAAAAAATTTTACAACATATTAAAATGAAAAGTAATTTAAAATTACAAAGTAAAAATTATACTGCAGTGAAAAATTTTATGCATAAAACATTGAAAAATATGTGTGTAGGAATATTTTCTTAGGATTCCTCAGAATATTATTGAGTTAGTTATAAAGTATTTTAATATTCAGTGGTTGCCAGATTGCTTTCATACTCTGAGGAGTTTGTTTCTTGGCAATATGGGGATTTGCACTCAGGGACTTGCACTTGGTAGGCAGGTACTCTACTACTTGAGCCACACCTCCAGCCCTTTTTGCTTTTAATTCATTTATTTTTATTTAGATAGCGTCTCACACTTTTTGCCCAAGGCTGTCCTTAGACATTTGTGATCTTCCCACTTATGTCTTCATAGTATCTGGGAATGTAGGTGTGTACCACCATGCCCAGCTTGAGATGGAGCCTTGATAACTTTTTCCCAAGACTGGCCTCCAACAGCAGTCTACCGATCTCTGCCTTCTGAGTAGCTGGGATTTCATACTCTCAGAATTTAATGTATTGGATTAGTTTGAATTTTTATTAGCATTGAGTATTATGTACAAATCATTAATGATTTAATAAATGAAAAATTATATATAGTTCCTATTGCCTTACTGCCTAATGGCAGAACATTTTCCCATATGTTTATAATACAATGTAATTCCTCTGTTGTAATTGTCTTTTTCTTTTGTGTTTTTTAAAAAAATACAGGGTCAAAGTGCTCTATTTATTTTATCATCTTTCTCTTAAAGTTTTTTCCAAAAAAACTACCATTTTTAAAATTTATAATAAAATACATCAGTCTTTTTCTTTAGTCATTCTTTCACTTTTAACCTTAGAAACTTTCTTCTTTGTATTTGTCAGTAGGTTTTTCTTTTTTTGTGGTACTGGGTTTGAGCTCTGGGCCTCATGCTTGCTAAGCAGGTGCTCTACCACTTGAGCCACCCTGGCAGCCCTGTTTTGTGTTGGGTGTTTTCGAATACGTCTCATAAACAGTTTGCCCTGGCTGCCTTCACACTGGGATCTTCCTTATTTTTGCCTCCTGAGTAGCTAGGATTGCAGGCTTGTCAGTATTTACTTTTGTCTTCAGTACTTTTTTATGGTTTTGTTTTTCCATCATTAAGCCAGCTGGAGTTTGTTTTGGTGTGTGTTGTGAGGGAAGAAGGGCCTTTATGTACCCCTTTTCTTCAAATAGAAAATCAACTGTCTAGTACAAGTTTATCAGTAATCCTGTTCTTTTTCATTGATTTGTCATGTTTCTTTTATTTTCTTTTGACAAATGAGTGTATTTTACCCTTCAGATATTTATACTCTACTTTCATAAACTGTTAAGTCTTAATTTGTTCTGATTCTATACTTTTGAGCCTTTATAGAATGTAATGTTTTTGTATCCTGTTAGGGTTAGTTTCTTTTCAGTACCATAATTTTTGAGAAATTTTATTTTTCCATATTTGTTCCTCTGAATGAATTTTAAAATTGCTAACCAAATGTAGAAAGAATTCTGTTGTGATTTGATTGCTATGGTATCAAACATAAATTAACATGGTAAGAATTGACAACTTTTAAATAGGTATGTAATTGCTCAGGATTCACAGATCTTCTGTTTGTGTGTTGTTATCAAAGGTGGCTTTAATACATAGTGTACTCTTTCCTACCACTCATATTTTTGTGTCTTCAATAATTATACCTTATTTTAGTTTTGTGTTATATTAAATTGAACTTATGAAATACTATTAGGAGGTAAGAGGATACTGCTTTACTATGTAGTCAGTGTAAATTTTTTTCCTAATAACTTCTATGTTAGAAGAAGCATAAGAAGTATTTTGGATTGTGATATCAAAGAAATGTATCAAGAGCACCCACTTAATTTATCTTACTTGTGTTCAAAGCCAATACTATATAGTTTGTGACATTAAACTGAAACATGTATCTAGATGGACTGTTTAAATTGGAAAGGGACTGTTTGGAGGTAGTTGGAAAATTTTCCTCTTTATTTTGATTCTCATGTTTCTTTTTATTCTTCCTTCTATACTCAATCTTTATTTCTAGGCAGGTCGATTTGGACAGTTAACATATGTCCGAAATTATCAGGGGGAGCTAAAGAAGGGTGACACCATCTACAACACAAGGACAGGAAAGAAAGTTCGAGTGCAACGGCTGGTTCGCATGCATGCCGACATGATGGAGGCAAGTACGGAGTCACTTGAGATCACAAGTTCCTCTGATGCAGGTGAAGTAGGGCTGGCATCTTTGTATCTTGAGCTGCACTAGAAGGTCACATCTGGTTGAACTCATGTTTTTCTTGCTTCGTCCTTTTTACTAACATGTGCTGTACCTGTGATCTAACCCTTTGCTGTAAACTAAATTGGCATATTATGCCACAATGACCAAGGTTCAGGAAAAGGAATAGTTAGTTTCCTAGGACTCAACACAAGATTTAGCACTTTTCTCAAAAGCTACAAAGACACTGGGAGTGGTGGTGCACACCTATAAATCCAAGCACTGGGGAGGCTGAAGCAAGAGGATCACAAGTTCAAGCCTGACTGACTTCACTATGTAGCCTGACTACATAGTGAAAACGGTCTCAAAACAAAATAAAACAAAACAGAAAAGAGCTACAAAATAGATAGGATAATAGGCATTTAGTATAGTAGAAGTGTGCTTTTTTAAAAAAATTCCTCAGTACTAGAGATTGAACCCAGGGCCTCTTGCATGATAGGCAAGCACTTTTACCACTTGATCTATATCCCCAGCCCTTTTTCTGGTGTTTTTTGTTTGTTTATTTGTTTTTGTGCCCACGGGGACTATAAGTCTTCTTGCCCCCACCTCCTAAGATGCTAGGATTACAGTCGTGCACCACCACGCCCATCTTGTTACTGTGGTAAGTGAAAATTTTCCATGTGATTCAATGTTTACTTTCTGGAACATCAGCTGTGAAAGTCCCATTTAATACTAAAGCTTTTATTCCTGTTGTAGAACCCCTTGCAGGGCCAGAGTAGTACCAGAACCTACCTGAAGTTTTTACAACTTCTCCATGTCTAGTGTGGGTCTTTGACTTGTAGGTTGAGTTGACTCTCAGTCTGCCCTAGCCTGCTGTAGTGCTTATGATTAGACCATGGCAGGAATGCTGAGTGTATGAAGGTGCCCCCACTTCTACCCTTCCCCAATCTGCTTCTGTTTTTGCTTTCCCTTTTTGTTCCTTTTATTTTTTTTATTTTATCTTTTATCCAATCCAGTTCTATATTTCTGGAGATACCTACAAGTTTAAGCAATTTTGGGGAGCCATAACATTTGTCTCTTGGAAGATGAATAGGCACTCTCAAAATCAGACATTTTTGCTGCTTTGGGAGATGTGCAGCAGGAGGCAGGCTAGAGGGGGCTTAGTTAGCAGTCATAGCTGCTTCAAGGACCAGATGCAAGGTACAGGTATAGCTGTGTGGCATTAAGGACAGACACACACACTCTTTCATCTTCCTTGCACCACAGCTGTTAGGGATGAACTGTGACTAGGAAAGAATAGCTAGGAAGCTTGGCGGCAGCAATGTTTTATCCTCAGCTTTCCTGTCTTTTCTTGACTGCTTGCATCTGTGAGAAATTAAAAATATTTTTAGTACAACGTACTTCATTCTTCTGCCTTTATTTTCAAAAATTCCTGTGCAGTTTTTCTTTGTCTGTCACATATGATCTCATTATTTGTGGCTGATCATACAGTACATGCTTTTCAATTCTACAGAAGTAACTTTAGAACTGTGAGGCACTGTTTTTTCAGTACTTTAGTTCTTTCAGGTAATGAAGCCATAGCTCTGAGTTTTCCACTTGAAAGTGTCTATTGAGATAGACAGTGTTTTAAACACTCTATTGAAGATAATGTTGTTTGTGTTGCATTGGTTCATTCTGTATAGAATTTGTGGTGAGAAATTATGCATTGTTTGTGTATAAAGGTTTGCAGTGCAATTACTTCATTTTTATTATTATGTCTTGTATTACTTGCAAGTATTATTTTGTGTTATTTCTCCATTTAGGATGTTGAGGAAGTATATGCTGGTGACATCTGTGCACTGTTTGGCATTGACTGTGCTAGTGGCGATACATTCACAAACAAAGATAACAGTGGCCTTTCTATGGTAAGACATTTAATTGCAAAGATACTTATCATTTAAATTTCAAGAGTCTCTTTTTAATGTGTGTATTGAATACCTAAGGAAAAAACTGTGAAAGTTTCACTGATTGCCACAGGCGTCATGTTCGTTGTGGGTCTTTGTTGGGTGTAGCCTTTTGAATATAGAGGAGCACTCTTTGTAAGCTAATTTACCTGGCTTTTCTTAGCAAAAGTATTCCATAATCCTCTAAATTTAATGTGGAGTTAAAAATCTCCATTAGGTAACATCTGGACTTTGGCTCTGACTCCTCCACCCTGAGGTCGCCTTCCCTACTGCAGGAGCCTCTCTTAATTGTTGCTCCTACTGTTGGGCTACTCCCAGTGCACTGCTGCTTTCTTATTAACTCAGCAGCTAGAAGTGAGCCATTCCCTCAACCCTCTAGAAAGCTGTAAAGCCAGACTGGACTCGAGGATAACAGAGCATCACTGTGCTCAGAAGGCAAGGTGCAATGAGACAGTCAGGTGTACTGTGAAATTCTGAGGGAAAACTATGTGCAGGCAGTTCCTGCATCTGAATCCCCTTCATTCACTCCTCTTATTTGCTCTGTAGGAAAGCAGGCCTTCCTCTGCTGAATTCAGTAAAGAAAGAGTACATAGGGGGACAGGTAATTTGCAGTGGGTCACTTACATAAGAACTGGTCTAACTTCTTTTTTAAATTTTTTTTTTGGCAGTACTGGGGTTTGAACTCAGGGCTTCATGCTTGCTAAGTACATGCTCTACTGCTTGAGCCACGCCTCCAGCCCTTGCTGTAACTCTTAACGGATGAGTACTATAGTACCTCCCTGAATCATACAATGAATTCATAATTTTACAACTCAGTTTTTCATACAAAATATTCTCTAATGTCTGAGTTTTACATGTCGACTTAAGACACTACCAAAATCATACAATCTATGTTGTTTTGAGATTTAGATAATAGGGATGTTTTATGTCACAGCTAAGACCCTTTCCAAATACGTGTCATATCAACATGAGTGATTGGCTTTTGTAAGTTCTTACTTGGGCTTTGAAGAAAACAGGTCACTTCTACCTTATACTATCTACTGATCCTTGACCAAGTTATTTCATCTTCTTCCCAAACGTTTAAGTGACTGTAAAATGGGGACATCTGCTTCTCAGCGCTGTGATTGATCAAATAAGATGAATATGTATAGGGGAGCCCTTTCTGGTTCCCTTGTCATAGTATACTTTGTATCAGAAGATTATAATAGCAAATGTAGCCACTAGGCAGTAAGAATTCCATGTCAGCATTTGGATTCATGCAGTGATTAAACAGGTAAATAAATAGATAATTGTTTATTTAGGGAGGGAGGAGATCATATAAGTGGACACATTTATTAATGTCACATTAATATATGTACTTAATTTCATGCAAAACAGACCAAGATATATATTGTCTAGTTTCAAGATGTTGACTAATGTTTTGTTATAAAGTAGCAGTTAATCCATCCCTGGGCTATATAATACTGCTTTTGAATTCTTTTCTGTTCTTTTGAAAAAAATTTTAGGAGTCAATTCATGTTCCTGATCCTGTCATTTCAATAGCAATGAAACCTTCTAACAAGGTAGGAGTTTGATTTAAAACTTAATTATATCACAATAAAAACTTAAGCTCTCATTCATTTGTCTCCACAGTATACATAGTATCTTGTGGTAGACAATAGTCTTATGATCTCTGCTCTTTTGGTGTTAAGATTACCTTTTTAAATTTCTCAATTCTAATAATTCCTCAGTATATCTGAAGATATTGTTGGTATTGTACTTTGTAACCCATTATTATATATCATTGACTCCTGAATGATTAGTATACCTTCTTGGATTCTTAAAGTATTGAAAAGAGGGAAATAAGATTCTTTGTCCTAAAGTATAGTGAAACTCTACTTTAAAGTCCTCTACAATGTTTGATAGATTAATTGCCTTATGGCTTATAATACATCTGTAGATTTTGTGGTAGTTATGAAGTAAATGTCTGAATATAACATTGAAAACCTATAAAACAAGACCTTTTCTCACTTCTAAGTAAAATTTTATATTTGGGTATTAAAGTTAATTTTGTATTCTTACAGTTTTATAAATGACTTTTGTGTCATTTAGCATTTTACAAAGCCAAAATTGCTGGAATGTTTTGCATTCATGTTGTTGGCCATTGGAATTAGTCTGATTTTGAGCCATAACTGTTAGTCCCTAAGTTGCCTTTACTTTCATAACAATCATGTTAAGCTGGCTTACTGGAATTCACTCATTCATGCATTGAGTGAACAATTCATGGCCTCTTGTCATCTGAGAACTATCATTAATACAAAAGAGTCTGGTAAATTGTCCCAGGAGATACATTGTTAACAGCTACTAACTACTTCCTGCATTTTGAGGAACCTTGAAATTTCCATCAATATAGAAGAGGGGGCTGGTGGAGTAGCTGAAGTGGTAGTGTCTGCCTAGAAAGCTTGAGGCCATGAGTTCAAACCCCAGTAGTGCCAAAAAATAAATAAATAAAAGTTGAGGAAAAAAAAAAAAGTTGAAGTGATTAGAAACATTAAATCATTCCATCTTAGAAACTTAACAAAGGGCAAATCTTACATTTTATCTCAGTAAGATATCATACTTTGTTTCAAGAGCTTTACCAAGATTACCAGCATGGTTAACAGTGGAAGGTGTTACGCGTTTTCATTCCTAAATCTAGAGTTTATATAAGAAAAGATATTTAACTGTTGATAATTCACAACAAGGGGGGGGGGATCAAATCCATCAATAATCTGAAAGGTTTTTTGGTGTTTCCAGGTTATTTATACATTAACGTTATACATTAAAAGGTTTAAAAGTTTTGTCATTGGAGTAAATCAATTTAAAACCAACAGTGAAGTCTGCATAAAACCATAAGTCTTAATAGTAAGGGCAGGGATGATGCACTTACTAACTTGAGAGTATCTGGCTAACACAGGCAAAAGACTAACCTAAATATACTAGCCTAGGATTTAATCCCAGCTTTGCTGTGTACTAGCTGTGTGGCTTTGAACAAGTCATTTAACTTCTCTGTACATAGTTCCCTCATCTGTAAGAGGTCTGTCTTACATCATTGTGGTTAGGTTTGAGATAACATATACAAAATGTGTTTAAGCACACCTTGAAGCATGTGGTAAATGTTGACTGTTAATACTAGTGACACAGGACATGTTTTCAACTGCTACCATAAGAACATAATGTATTATTTTATAGTTCTATAGGTCAGAGACTGACATAGTTTTCAATGGGCTATTGAAACACGGTTGTGTTCTTTTCTGGAAGTTCTAGAGGAGAGTTTCTTTACTTGTTTACCCAGGTTGTTGGCAGAATTCAGTTCTTCATGGGTGTGGGATTGGGGTCTTTTTTTTTTTTTTGGTAGAACTGCTGACAGGACCTTTCTGCCCACCTTCTTTGACTCAAGGCCTTCTCTCCATCTTTAATCCAGACAATCGTGGGTGAAGTCCTTCTCATGCTTCAGCTATCTCCTGCCTCTTTTTCTGTCATTGCATCTCCAACCCACCCTTCTGTCTTCCTCTTCCATTTTTAAAGGTTTACATGATTACATTGGGCCCATCCAAATCATTCATGAAAATCTCCATGTCTTAATATCCTTAACCTTGAGGACACCAGTGAAATCCTTCTATCATAATAACACATCCAGAGGTTTGGGGAGAAAAGGGCATCTTTGAGGGGCTGTTATTCCGCTTACTTTGTGGAGTTATATCAGAGAAAAGAAAGGTGCATCATACCATATCCAAGGAGATTGTTTTGAAAGGGAGTGGCCACTTAATGGGTAGTTTTCCATAAATGGACAGTTTTTGTGAGTTAAATAGGAAAGGGCATATAGTCAAGTCTTGGACTCTTGTTTTCTGTCTTGATATGGAGAGAAAATCCTACTAAGCTAGTTATCTCTTGATCTCTTGGCTGTGGTTTCCAAGCTCCTTTATTTTTCAAAAAAAGATACGGAGTAGAACTAGATGTGGATCATCTTTATTTCCTAATTGCTGATGTATTTGGTTTTACTTACTAAAGTTCTTTCAAAAATGCCATTATTAATCTTGCTTAGTAAAATGTATAATGCCTTTTTTTCCTCTTTTAAAGAATGATCTGGAAAAATTTTCAAAAGGTATAGGTAGGTTTACAAGAGAAGATCCTACATTTAAAGTCCACTTTGACACTGAGAGCAAAGAGACCATTGTATCTGGAATGGGAGAATTACACCTGGAAATCTATGCTCAGGTAATGACTAACAAGGAAGTTAAGTTAGATTTACTGCTGTATGTCTTAAGAGTCAATAAGGCTCAATCCAAGGATGTAAGTTTATAGTGGTTCTTGAGGGTTTAATGTGGTCTGTATCCAATGGGGCATACTGCTTTTACCATTGTGTGTTATATATTAGTTAGTTTTGGATCTTTGAATCCTTTTTATTTGTTGAACATTGTGGACTCCTAGGATCAAGGCTCAGGGGATTTGCAACAAGACCAGCCATCCATTCTCCATGTTGTGGTTAGTTGGGTCAGGTAAATCCTGGTCCAGCTTCAGGGAGACAACCTGCAGCTATACCCACATTTCAGGCCATTTCTTAAGTCATTCTTTATTTCATTGAATTCTATTACATTTCATTAAATGTATTTAAGGTATTTAAGATGCTGAGGATTTTTTTTCTTTCAGTTTACTTTTCAAATTTAAATATACCAAAACATTATTTGCTCTTTTCTTTTTAGAGGCTGGAAAGAGAATATGGCTGCCCTTGCATCACAGGAAAGCCAAAAGTTGCTTTTAGAGAGACCATTACTGCCCCTGTCCCGTAAGTATGCAACATAATTACATGGATGAAATTGAAACTTTTTATTATGGGATATGCATAACACTATTACTGTTATAAATTCATTTTTAAGTAGTAACACTTATTTCTGTACTGTAATTAAGACATGATACAAAGTGACACTTTGGGATTTGTTTGGTCTTTTAGATTCCAATGAGGACTAGCCTACACATTAACAGGAATGTTTACATTTCATCTCAGTGTTAAGGTCTTTGTTTATTCAGGTTGTACTTCCTTTGCGAGACGGCTATTATGCTTTACTTTTGTACCATATTGTGGATGCCAAAGAACTTGCATTTGCCAAGGAATAACCTCCTATAAGTAAAGAAAATTAATGCCATGATGAAATTCAGAAAACAATTAAGAAAATACAGTTACGTTTATACTTTGTTGGAGATAAAATAGTCTTCATAAAGAATAGCACAAAACAATTTAAACTGCTATAAATCCCTATGGTGCCTATCTGAATTTACACAAATTCAAAATACAACACACTGTGGCCACAAAAGGATTCTTAATTTCAAGTGGCATCAAATAAAGGTAAATAATACTTTACCTGTGATGCAATGTCATGAAGTAGAATGGTATAGTCTAACTCAATAAAGTCATCATTTCTTTGCTATGACAAAAAAAAATAAAAACCAGCTTATTACTTTGGGAAAGCAAAAGTATATATGCTATTAGCTACACAGAAATATTAAGTCTGAATGGTTTAAAGCCAGCATCATTGAAGATTTGCTCTGCTACACAAGGCTTATCATGGATGTATTGAGGCAAGCCCTAGATTTCAATGGGCAGCACAAGCTCCTGAGTCTCCTTTGATTAACAAATTTGGCCTCAGGGTCAAATAAAAGCATATTGTTCTCTTTATAGTATTTTAAAACAGACTTTGTGCTTTGAATTTATCAACAAAGAATGCTCCCTAAAGATAATAGGTTAAGATATGTAATATGTATAATGAAGCAGTATTTAGTTAAACCCTTCTGTCGAGATTTTCATTAGTGATTTAAAATCACAATGTGGTGAAGGTTTATGAAAGGAATTTCCTTTCATAAAACTACTTACACTGTCTTGTACATAAATTGCTAGAGTAGCTTGAAAAAAACATCATAATGATTTTATCGTCTCTGCACCTGGATTCAGTTATCAAGGCTTCAGTGCCCCTACAGGAATGTTGTAATCAAAGTTGATGTTTATGAAATACATTTGCAAAAAGGCTCACTCTGTTTTCTAAAATGTTGGGATATTCAGATTGGGTTTTTGGTATCACACTCTGAGTACTGTAACTGGGTATTCTGTCCAGTGCCCGTTGGTGTCTAATAGTGGTTACAAGAGCCTATGGAGAAATGGTGCTCCAACTGTCTGCCGCTGTTGCCAACAAGCTGAAACAAGCCAGCAGGAAAGTCCTTTTCTCTCATGGAGCTGACTAAAACTGCTGGTTGTGCTTTCTTCGAACTTTATTTTTCTTGATTTCAATTAGCCACTAGTTGAAATACTTTTTTTTTTTTAATTTAACCTTATAAGCTAAAATCAAAGAGTTTACTTCATGTCTCTAATGTCTAGAAAGATAAATGAATAATCAATCATCATATCAGGCTTAAGAAAACTAAGGCTAACACATACAAGATATGAGGCTGTAGATGATGACAGAATGGACTATAAAAGAAAATTATATAGAGCAAGCTAGGGAATGAGTGCTAGAACTATTTCAGAGACAACACAGCAAGCTTCACAAATATGGAAATGCTACTACTCTTCTTCAGGCTCATTCCTAGAGGGGAAAATGCCAGTCATGCCTCTTAAGTACAGGAGATACCACTACCACCGTTGAGTAGAGAAAAAAAGCTGAGGTAGTTTCAGTATTATAATTTGAACACAGGATTTAGGTTGCTAAAGGAAATAATTTGTATTAAGTTGAGCACAAAAACTGCCAAATTGTAAGTCAGGTCTTCATTTTCATGAAAGTGGAAGTTTACTTGTGACTGCCATAAAAAGTGGCCCTGGGGACCTTTGTACAGCCTGTATGTAGTGTACCTGAGCTTGTATCTTGCCTCTACTAATAAAACTCCAATCCTTTTTGCTCAAGAAGAGTATTTGAGTAAAGAATCTGACTTGCCTAACATGAAAGATTAAGAACTATCATTTACCATGGTGCCATAGGAAAGTGCAGTCTAGATACTACTGCTTATTACTGAAAAGCCTTTCACTGAAATCCTTGGCCTACCTGGCCTTGCTATTGCTATGCTTCCTTGTCACTTTGTGCCCAAGGAATGCAAACTGACTCCCCACAATTATTAGAAAGACAAACTGGAGACAGAGGAGGCTTGTGGTTTGCATCTCTTAGCCAAACCAAGTGACTTTTGGACCAGTGCTGTTGCTTTGAACTCTTGCTGCAACTCTTTACCTTCTCTAGTCTTGTGACTGACTTCTTCAAAATACAGGTTCACTGTTTTAAATGCAAAATAACTAGGGACACTACCCAATTACGAATTACAGTACTTTTAATCAATACTAAATGTTAATAGTGTACTTTAGAAATTACTTACCACTTGCTTGACAGTTTGAATTTTCGCCATTTTATACCATGTGTTTTCAGTTGAATTCTGCCATATTATATAACCACAGGCAACCCAGGCTAAGTGTTGCACTGGTTTCATTTGTGGAGATACATTTCCAAAATTGTCTGGTAGGGGAAGCATTTATATGACAAATGTAATTATTTTACATATACAGCAGCCTTTTAAAAAAAGCTAAATTCTAAGTCATGAATTAGTTTTCTTCAAATGTGTGCAGGAAATAATTTAATTAAGCCCTGGAGCTATAAAATGCCAAAGTCTTTTTTTGTTAGATGAGATTGGAAATAGATATTTTTGCAAAAGCCAGCATGTTTCCAATATAGTTAATATCTTAAAAATTTTGAGCATTGATAATTGAAATTAATCCTAAAGTTGAAAAAAATTTTTCCATTCCAAATGAGTATACCTGGAATATTTTGTGCTTCTAGTGGTTCCTTTGTGGATTTGAGTCTTTGATAAAATGTGTTATCTTCTTCATCAGGGTTCTTGCCAATTTCTCCTTCAAATGTAAAGTTGACTTCTGGTGCAGTATTTTGTCCCATTGGTGGGTAAAGAACTTCAGCTGTGCAGTTCACTGTAATTTGCTGTTTGAAACATTTTTTTACAAAAAATCCTTTCTGATAGATGGTTGTCCATCACTCATTATTGTTTTCTAAATAGGACTCAGAGCACTAGTCCCTATTGGTATTATTTTAAGCTTGACTTCACAGTGCTTATTTTAAGAGGTATCTACTTGGGCCTGGCCTATTAATTTTCTGAAGGCACCATGCAAGCACTCTAAGACACCTTGTTTACTTACAACATACTAGGATTCATGATCTTGTTACATATCAACTCAAGACTGGTCACTTTTAAAGATTTTCCATTACTCTTATTTTGTTCCTGAAGTGATTCTGTTCTCAAATGCAGATACAGCAGCCTATATCTAATGGTAAAATTAAAAGATTGTAGCATTGAGTTATATTTTGTAAAGATGTCTGTCTAGCAGTTCAAATGCCTTTTAAGAAATTTCCTTATGTTAGCCTATATCTCATTTGTATTATATTGAAAAAAAGGGTGAACTTTTTCAAGGCAGTTATAGTGTATTTGTCTCATTGATAACTTGACAAGGTACGCAGTATTTTAAAAATTTCCTGCCGCATTACTGAAAGATCATTAACAATGAGATCAGCTTGGCCAGTCTATTGCTATGAATATCTAAAAGCACTTTCTTTACCCAGTCAAAAACAGAACTAGAAAGGTAGGCATAAGAAAGTAGTCATGACTGGAGAGTAAATTACTTCACTCAATCCTATTGGACCTAAGTTCAGACTACTCTATGAGTATGTAACTCTTTAAAGATAATTTATTTGAACTAAAGTATAGTCTGTTTTCTAAATGGTTCAATAGAAATAATTCAGAATGGACCTCAGAATACACAGACTTACAAGCTTTGCCTATATGGTCAATGTTTTAGAGGGTCAGGGATCTCACAATAACTTAATAGCCTAGGATCAAATCCTTAAGCAAAGATGATCTGGAATATTTAGAATCAAATTCTAGTTACTTAAAAGGACTTTCACTTACTTTTTGGATAGTTTCTTCCACAGAAAATTTAAGGTAATACTTCTGTCCACTTCCTGGAATATCCTAAAATTAAGAAAACATGGTGGAGAGAAGAATATAGTATAACAAATTAAATATTTCCATCGTAGGGAGACCGTTGTTGGCAGGTGGGAGGAAATGATTAAAACTGTATATCTTGAAAAAGGCATGTCATCAGGTCTATGCTATCTCATTTAGACTTTCTAGCAAGTTTATTTTGGATTAGGACAAAAGCATGGAAAAGAAACATGCAAAAAAGGCACAATTCAGTTTTAATCACTGGAAGACTTCAACCTCTGGATCTGTAATATTTAATTCTTTACATAAGTTTTGAAGCAGCTTTTAATTCTGAAAATGGTAAGTAGGGTACATCTTTGTAAAGATTTTTTTCATACTGCCCAGTGTACCCTCCAAATGTTCAGTGAATGTGAATTCTATTCTGAGGGGAATTACTGCAGAGTAGTTGGAGACTTAGCCTACACAGCACTTGTATATCGCTGGACCTGCAAAATGATACTTTAACAGATTTTATAAGAGCAAGACATGTTTAGATACTTCACTTTTAAATCAAGAGATAACAAGTCTACACCTAATTATGTTATGTGGTGTAATTTCAAATAATGTCTATTCCCTGTCTGTCTCACAGACTTTTAATAGTGTAAAACTAAGGAACAGTCTCAAATCCAGTACATTGGATTTGAGATCTTAAACATTTAATTCAGCACTTCAGCCCTGTGAAGTACATCATTTAAGGCAGTTGCTGTGACAGCCGGTGTTTTTGGGTGGTTAAAGCCAGGCCTTCCACTGCAATGCTTCCATTCTCTGACCTTGTCAGTTTCTGTTGTTTTGGTCAAAGGATCAAATAAGGATTGGTCTTAAAATTTAGGCAATGGGTCATCCCCCCCCCATTCCCCCAGGGGGAAAAAAAATTGGCAATAGAGAGTGCCTTGAAAACTTTTGTTGGTTAAGACTCTGGTAGCAGATTAAGCATAGCAGCAGTTAAGATTCTCTAGACTGGTTCCTAGAGGTGTCACTTTGGGAAAGGAGAAAATGTTCACTGCCTTTAGAGTATTTTCCCATTTCCTTGTAATAGTGGGCATAAAAACCGCACTGATATCTCTGCCTTATGAAGAAAAGACAGGAGTGCAGGCTGCTCCCAAAAAGCGCTCTACTGAGGAGGAGAGCCCTGGCTCCAGACCCCGGGTGGTGGAAGTAGCCGCTCCTGCCCGCGTCCTGCTACCAAAGTAGCCGTTCCTGCCCGCGTCCTGCTACCGACTCACCTCCTTGCTGGCCTGTTCCACCCTCTGCACCAGAAACACCTTATGGGGGGTCCCCTGCTGGTAGTTGATGCAGTTTTCTGCCACAGAGGCCGCTCTGGCGGCTGCATAGTGGGTCGGCGGGATTTCCATTTTTACCGGAGTGCAGTTCCTGCTGCCTGCGGCAGATGTAGAGGAGGAAAAGTTGGCTGGCGGAGCTGCGGCTGGGGCTGGGGCTGGGGCTGGGGCTGGGGCTGGGGCTGGGCTGGGCTGGGGCTGGGCTGAGGCTGGGCTGAGGCTGGGCTGAGGCTGAGCATGCGCGGGCTAGTGATCGCGTTCCTACCCTCCCTCCCTCCCTCTTCCTCCTCCAACTCAGGAAGCTGTGGTTGGGGCTGGCTCCTGGAGCCTGGGCAGCTGTTCTGGAGGCCCCGCCCCGCTTTTTCACCACCAGCCTTCATGGCCACGCCCACTGGAGGAGAGGTGTCTGCTCTGGCACCCATGCAGGTGTGGGAGGGGGCGGGGGGGGCGTGCTGCATCAGTGCAGGGAAGGGCTGCAGGCCTTGTGTTTATTCTGCTTGAAATCAAGGCAGTCTGGTGGCATAACTTGCAGATTGTACAACTCTCTTATACACCTCACAGGTTAAGGTGCAAAGGTGCACCTGTAGAGAGTGTGATTCACCCCTTCTCTTCCCTTCCCATTGTGAGTCCAAACAGGAATGCTGGCCTGCCTTCTGTGGAGTTGGATTGGATCTCCCTAAATCCAGATAAGGGAAACTGCGAGCTAGTATTCAACTGGACTATGTAGTTTGGGTCAAAGGAAATTTTTTAAATGAACCTGCCCGCCTCTCCTCCTTTACAGATCTTAGAAAGATGAGGTTTTGATATAACACTATGTTTCTTACTTGAATCGCCTTGAATATTTAGGGTTAAAACATACTTAGAAAGTGAATGCTGCAAAGCACTACATTGGAGTAGCTTCTGACGGAAGCAAGGTTTTAAAGCTTCGTAAACTGGAGCAGACTTTTAGTAGGTAGTGCATTTTCATTTTCAGTTTCCTCAGTTACTCTTTTCATTTTTGAAGGAGTTGCAGTTTATGTCATTTGGGTTTCCCTGTAGATCAGGAAGCTAAGGTTCCTTTTTCATCAGAGCTATGGACAGAACTTCATTTTAGGTGTTTGCTTTGGAAATGAAGTGGGGTTTTTTTTCCCTCTTATTCTTGAAAATGGAATTTTGAAGACTTTTTGTCTAGACTTATTATGTATTTTGTGGTAATGTTTTAAAAAGGTGAAAAAATTCTGTGTGTGCTGTAATGTGTTGCTTTCTTTATGCTGTTTAAAGTTCATTTATAAGTGACTCTTTGGAGTCAGTGAATTAAAAAAAAAAGTACTGAGACATTTCTCATCCTTTCTAGTTCTGTAAGCTTACAACTGTAAAGTAAATAGAGACTAAAAAAGTTAGCTTTTCTTTTTAAGCCACCTTCTAAGAAATCGAAGGTGTTTTTTCTTTTCCTCTGGATAAGTCATTTATCTATAAACCAACCCCTTAGGAAGTTTGCATGCATGTGAATTTTTTTTTAATTAAGTGCTCCTTGGATAGTGTCCAGGAAAGAGTGATCAAATACATTCTAATAAGTTAGAAAGCACTCTGCCGATAATGAAAATTTAAGTTTCATAAATTGGTAGTTAAACCACCTACATTACTACTAGCTCAGATAGTGAGAAGCACAATGTGGGGAGTCACCATTTTGAAGTTTCTTAAAATAATCAGCATCTCTGTAAATTAAAGCTAAACATAGATTGTGGCATAAAATGCCACTATAACTTATGAAATTATGTATGAGTATAAAACTGAAAATGTAAAGACCAAAAAGCCTAGGGCTTAAAAATTTGGTATGATTATAAAGTCAAAACAAGCCTACAAATTAGAGTAGACAACGAAACTAACACAATCCTAATTTAACATTTATATGACATACTGTTATGCTAGAACTAAGGTGCCTTTCACAGGACAAGGGCTCTTTTGCCTTTAGTAGGTCTACTTAGCTGCCTACCAAATAGCCTCCTCTATATATAAACTGCAAAATCTGTCTGTGTACAGCACCTTCTAACAGCTCTAAAAGCAAATGCCTCATTTGTGGGTTAAGGCAGTTTATATTTTTTTATTAGCCTTCTAGAAAAATATTTGGTTAAAGACATTGATGTTGGTGCAAATCCTGGTTCTGCCGCTTATAACTGTATTGTACTGGCCACATTTCGTAACCTTCTGTAAAATGATTAAAAACAGTACTACTTCATGGGTTTGTGATAAAGAACAAGTAAAGTGATCATAAAGCCTGACACTTAAGTACTCCGTTGTTTGGGATCTGGCATCATAAATTCTGACATGGTCCCTGAAACTGTGGAATTGCTTGTTTGTGAGTTGGCCCTCCAGAGCAGTTCTGCCCAGCAGATCCCTGCAGTGGTGGAAGTGTTCCATGTCTGTTCTGACCTGAACAGTGGCCACTTTCCATATGCCACTGCTGAGTGCTTGAAATGTAACATTGCAACCAAGGAACTGAATTTTTTATTTTAAATAAAATAATTAAATGCTATAAATAAGTTAAATGTCTACAGTTAGTGATTATCACATAGAAAGTACAGATCTAGAGTTATGTTTGTGTAGATGTTATAATATTGTCAAATTGCAAACAGAATGTACAGAGTCACATTTGTACCCAAGAATATGTCAGCATTCCATAGTTTTGGGAATCCCTTCACAGTAATTCTTTGGTGATTTTGGTCCTTGTTTCCTCTTTTCTTTCTCTCAGTTCTGATTAAGGCTTTTTTTTTTCCCTCCCAGGAAAATTAACCTTTCGTTTTGTTTTTCTCAGCCCATCTTGAAGTTCCTGACCTCTGGACGATTATTAAAAGACAGTTAATCAGGCGCCTTCACCTTAGCTCTTTAGGAACATGTGCATATCAAGCCTGCATCTTCTACCAGTGTTTGTATTTATTTCCTCGAAGCTGCTCACAGTTCTGTGTGCAGGAACACATTTACCTGCAGTTATCTACAGATACTTTTGAAAGTGGCTGGCCTCTTGAGGAAGGTTTCAGTCTAAAGGAAGAGATGGCTTGCAAAAAGTAGACATGCATGAAGTGTGTTTCCTATGAAACAGCTGCCTGTGTTTACATATGTGTAATATGTATGTAAAAATGTACTCTATCCTATTTATGTTGCCATAAGTGGTTTGAAGTAAACATTGACCTGTTTCTACGCATGTCTTTTTAAATGACTTGCTTTTGTTAGTCACTATCATTTTGACACTAATCATTTCAGGTGTTAATTATTATTCTACCTGGAACTCTCTTATTGAGTATCACCTGAGTGAATAATGTCCAAATAGGAACTACCTGAATTAATGAACTGTAGCCACCAGAGCGCCATTTTCAAGTAACCATCATTGATTTATAGAGATTTTAGGAGAGAACATTGTGTAACAGGAAAGGGAAGCATTTCAAGAAGTGGGTAAATTCTTTGGAATGTTGGTTATTTTAGGTATTTACCTGACTTTTACTTTTTACTTTGCAATTCATAATTAACAGAGTTAACAAATGGGATCACTTTGGTAATGGACCCCACCCTCACCTCCAGTAAAAACAGAAAGGAGGAATCTTTGTAAAGTAACTTCTACAACCAGATTTTATAGTAAAGTTGTTATTCAACAGAAAAAATAAAACAAAATACAGTTTTTGATTTCACGTAGTAGGAATTACTTGGCAATTACATAATGCTATGTTGGTTTTTGTCCCTCCTAATACACTGTCAGGTTTGAGTTTACACATAAAAAGCAGTCAGGTGGTGCAGGCCAGTTTGGAAAAGTGATAGGTGTGCTGGAGCCCCTGGACCCAGAGAACTACACTAAGTTGGAATTTTCAGATGAAACATTTGGAGCGAATGTTCCCAAGCAGTTTGTACCTGCTGTAGAAAAGGTAAGTTTAACAAAGCTTTGTTGCATTTTTTTTAAGTTTATTTAGTGCAGATTATACTTTATCTGCTTTCAAATGTCTGCCTACCAGTTCATTTTAAAGAAGTCTTACTTCTTTAACTGATTGTCAAACTTTCCATCTGATTTAGAATCTTCAGTTCATTAAGTTCAAAACTGTATTCCCATGCTATGACAATGATGGGAAGTCATTCATTTTCTTAGTCATATTTATCATATTTCTCTTCATGATTGAAATACTACATTGAGTGTAATCAGCAATTATAATTTGTAATAGTCCCTCGGGATTTATGGCAGTTTTGTTTGTACTCTTTTTTGTTTTCCTCTTGCCATGCTGGGGCTTGAACCCAGGGTCTTACATATGATAGGCGAGTGCACTGCTACTTGTCACGTCCCCAGCCCTTTGTGTACTGCGTATGAAATGAGCATTCATTAAGATTCCTAACACCTGGTTTCTGCTGTCATTTTTGTTGCTGATTAATGTACCACATTTGGTTAGTGAGTGTTTAGAACCAGTTTTAAAATTTGTAAACCTGCACCCTTTATAAAATTGAGATCAAATAAGATGGTGACATTTCATTGGGAATTGTGAGGTACTTTGCACACATGTAAGGGGTTAATGTTTTGTTTGCTTTTCCTGTACTGGGGTTTGAATTCAGAGCCTTCACCTTAAGCCACCCCACCAGCCTTTTTTTGTGATGGGATTTTTCAAGATAGGGTGATGTGAACTAGTTGCCCAGGCTGGCTTGGAACTGCGATGGTCTGCTCTCTGCCTCCTGAGTAACTAGGGTTACAGGTGTGAGCCACTGGCATCCAGCTTGTTTGCTTTTCATATCACACACTTTAAGGCTGTTGTATACCTTAAACAATTGTTTATTCTTATAGACTGAGGGTTTGGGCTTTTGTTTTAACCTTTTAACTTGAAAATCCTTGCGTAACAGGTTACAATTTTGGTTTCAGTGGTGGTAGCATTTTTTAAGAAAATACTTTGTTATTCACACACTTCTAAATGTCTTATTTCTCCAAGATTAATGTAGGTGAAGGAGCACTTACGTATTTTTCAGCATACATAATTTACAGTTTCAAATGTCAGAATATAATGTACTGTATGTGCAACTGTATGATTGTGTTGCCAGAAAAAACTAACTTGAGTTGTAGGAGTCTATAGATACTTAAGTGACTGAATGAAAAAGAATTGCAAACATATCAAACTGTACTCATTAAATATGTCCAGTTTATTGAATATCATTGTACCTCAATGAAACTGTCTTTTAAAAAAAAATTGCATTGCAAAAAATGAAGCTATTAATTATAGACCTTACTGATATTGTATAACTTTAGACATTCTAGATTTATACTGTGTGATCTCAGCAAGACAAAGCAGTAATAGCTGTGTAGTAGGGGTGTAGGACACAGTATAGAATAAACACCAATTTTGATGGGGTTTTCTTGTAGGGAGTAGTGCTCATCCTCACTTTCCAGCCAACTGCCACCTTTAAATAACATGCTTTTCCAAGGAATTGCTCATTGAGATGCCATAGTAATGAAACTTCAATAGGATCTTAAACTTTTTCAGAATTCTGTTTGGAGGGATGAAATACATCATACATCACAACAGCATTACACTTCTGAACACTAAACTGTTTTTGGCATTTTAGGCAGTGCATCTGCAAGTGAAATCCACTCATTCCAGAAGTTCTATTTATTTATTAATAGGGTTTTTTGGATGCCTGTGAGAAGGGCCCTCTTTCTGGTCACAAACTGTCTGGGCTTCGGTTCGTTCTGCAAGATGGAGCACACCACATGGTGGATTCCAATGAAATCTCTTTCATTCGAGCTGGAGAAGGTGCTCTTAAACAAGGTAAGCTTTGTTCTACCTCATCTCTTTTCCCTGGTAGACCATCAGAGCCTTAGAAAGCAGCCCTGTTCTTGGTCTTCTCCACCCAGAGCACTAGGTACCACAACCAAGGAATAAGGTAGGTTATGGACAAATATTTATAGAACTGAAGTGAAGAGAGGATAGATTACTATGTTTTATTTTTTGCAAAATTGAAAGCCTGCCCTGTTCTTCTCAATCATCTGTGTTTAAATTCATAGATAATTTGATGTTCTGTTTTTAGAGCATCAAATTCTGACAAATGCTCAGAATTCTAAGAAGAATTTTATAGATTTGTTAACTACATTCATTCTGTTTTTAGTGATTTACTTAAATGTCAGGAAGTCCATAAATTTGTAAGTAATTTTTTTCATGTATCACATTTTAGTCTGTAGGCATTTTGAAAATGGCAAAGTATTTTGAAAGAACTCAGTAAACCATATTCACAATGAACTTGAAGACTTCTTGGTAAACTGCTAAAATTGTTAACCTTTTCCATTGAGAATAATACATATATTAAAACTGATAAACTAGAACCTGAAGAAATTGCAAGCATATCTGATTATTTGATTTTAAGAGAGAGAGAGAAAGCAAATGACAGCATAGCAGTTTGACATCAAAGCTGTTAAAAAATGGAGCTTCAAAATTGTCTTCTGAAGCCAGAAAAATTAATTCTCTTTGCCATCTTCTCCATGCCTTTTCTTTGGTAGTTCATTGGTATTATCTGTACTTGCCTTACATAGGAAAAATGTGGTTCACAAAACAGCTCAGAAATGTATTCATCAGAGCAGGTTAAAGTGGACAGTAGATAATTACACTAATCCTGTCATTCCCTAAGCATTCTGTAAATCAGGATTGTATTGATTTTGTATGAATTTTGGACTTCATGTTACCTTAGGTCTCAGTCTGTATCTATGATCAGGTTTAAGGTAGCAATTGGAGAAGGATGCTAATTCCTTATTTTACTTAAACTAATTGGAACCATTAGTAATTGATGCTCTAGTTTCTCATTTTCTAATATCAGCTCACTATTAAAAATGCCTCTTCAATCTATGATGTAGACATGTGGTGACAATCTGAAGATTGTGTTGATAGGAAACAGGAAAATAAAATGACATACAAATTAGACTTTATTAGGAATGACTTAGAATACCTACCTCAGCCTAAAAGCATTCATCATTTTAATAAATCTTTAACAGATTAGTTACCACTTTTATACTTTTTACACATATAGTTAAATGTCCTTGAAAACACTTGGCTCCTCTTGTCATACTGGCTTTAACCTGGTACTGTACCATACCACTCACTTCCCAGCTATTTTGTCTCAAGAGTAGTGATAACATTTATTGATCACTTACGTGCTACATATTACGCTGAATGCATGAATTAGCACATCTTCCCAGTGACCTTAAACTTAATCCCAGACCAGTGTCATTAGTCCTTGACCACTTTATGTTTTGTTTTTCTATACTGGGGATTGAACCTAAGGCCTTGCACCTGTCAGGCAAGCACTCTACCTCTTGCTATACCCGCAAGCCCTCCATGAGCACATCTTCACACAATCACGTTAGCACCTGGCGTAGTAGTACCAGTGTTGTTACTGGTGATTTGAAAGAACGATGCTCTTAGTATTTTCATTAGCATATATTAATTGTACAAACTAATGGGTTGCATCATGACATTTTCATACATGTCTATAATGTACTTTGATCATATCATCCCCCATTTCCCTGTACTGTCCCCTCCCCCCATACTCTCCTTCCTCTTCCCCAATAGTCCCCCTTCTATTTTCATGTGGTTTTTTTTTTTATAAAATCTAGACTCCACATATGAGAGAAAACATGTGATACTTGTCTTTCTGAGTCTGGCTTATTTGGCGTAATGATCTCTATTTCCACCCATTTTCCTGCAAAAGACATAATTTCATTCTTTGTCTGAATCATATTCCATTGCATATATATTACCACAGTTCTCCATTCATCCATTGATGGGCAAGTAGGTTGATTCCATATCTTGGCTATTGTGAAGGGTGCTGTAATAAATGTGGATGTGCAGGCATCTCTGTTGTATGCTGACTTTGATTCCTTCAGGTATACACCCAGGAGTGTGGTATAGCAGGATCTTATGGTAGTTCTATTTTTCATTTTTTAAGCATTTCCTACCACTCACATCCTCGCCAGCATTTGTTGTTACTTGGATTCTATGTAGATGTGTGCGTGGTACTGGGGTTTGAAAATGGGGCCTCACAGTTGCTAGGGAGGCACTCTGCCACTTGAGCCATGACTCCGGGACTGAGATGCTCCTACTTATGCCTCCTACATAGCTAGGATACACACCACCACACCTGGCTAGTTGGCTAAGATGGAGTTTCGCCAACTTTTTGCTCTGGCTGGTCTTGAACCTCCTTATCTAAGTGCGTGGGCTGTTTCATGCATTGGTCGACCATATGCAGTTTTTCTTTGAAGAACTGTCAATTCAGTAGTCTGTAGTTCATTTGCCCACTTACTGATTTGGTTATTTGTTCTTTTGGTGTTTATTTTTTTTAGTTTTTTATATATTCTGGCGTAATCACTTGTAGGATGGATAGCTGGCAAAGAATTTCTTCCGTTTTGTAGGCAGTTTCTTGACTCCGATAATCAGTTCCTTTGCTGTACAGAAGCTTTTCAATTTGATGCCAGTCAGTTTGTCAGTTCTTTTTTCTGGGGAAGTAGTATTGGGATTTGAACTCAGGGCCTCACACTTGCTAGGCAGGGTCTCTACCACACCACCAGCCCCAGTTTGTCAATTCTTGCTGTTATTTCCTAAGCTATTGGAGTCCTAGTCAGAAGAATCCTTGCCTGTGTTTGTATGTTAAATGTTTCCTTTATATTTCCTCTAATTGCTTCAAACTTTCATTATATTCATTATATATATTCATTATATATGCACACAATATAACATACGTCATTATATTAAAGACTTTGAGCTACTTTTTGTACTGGTGAAGAGATGGGCATCTAGTTTCAGCCTTTTACAAGTGAATATCCAGTTTTCCCAGTGCCATTTGTTGAAGAGACTGTCTTTTCTCCAGTGTATATTTTGGCAGCTTTGTTGAGAATTGGCTGGCTGTAACTGTGTGAGTTTATTTCTGGGTCTTTTATTCCATTGGTCTTCATGTCTGTTTCTGTGCCAGTACCATGCCTGTAGTATGGTTAGGATTCAGGTATTGTGATACTTCCAGCATTACACTTTACCCAGGATTGCTTTGGCTATTCTGTGTCTTTTATGATTCCATATGAATTTTTGGATTGATTTTTCTATTTTAGTGAAGAATGACATTGGAATTTTTATGGGGATTGCATTGAATCTGTAGATTGCTTTCAGTAATGTAATCATCTTGGCAATATCAATTCTGCCAATTCATGAACATGGGAGGTCTTTCCACCTTCTAGTTTCTAGTTTTCATCTTTTTCAGTTTCTGCAGTGCTTTATAGTTTTCACTGTAGAAGTCTTTTCTTCCTTGGTTAGGTTTATTCCTAGTTTTGTTTTTGGCTGTTGTCAATGGTATTCCTGATTTCTCTCTCAGCATATTTGTTATTGGTATGTAGAAAAGCTGCTGATCTTCATATGTTCATTTTGTGTCCTGCTACTTTGCTGAAAGTGTGTACCAGATCCAAGAGTTTTCTGGTGGTGTCCTCAGGATCATATCTTCTGCAAATAGGATTTTCACTTCATACTCTAAGGATCTAAGACCACATGAATTTGCAAAGGAAAAATTTGGGTTTAGGATTTGGCTGCTGTATGGCTGTTGAAAAATTGCAGGGGTGAATTAGCCCTGGAATCTTTTTTGTTTTGCTTTTTGTTTCTGTTTTTGTGGAGCTGGGGTTCGAACTCAGGGCTTACACCTTGAGCCACTCCACCGGACCTTTTTTGTGAAGAATTTTTTCAAGATAGGGTCTCACAATTATTTGCTCAGGCTGGCTTTGAACTGCAGTCCTCCTGTTCTCTGCTTCCTGAATAGCTAGAACTACAGGCATGAGCCATCTGTGCCTGGCAAGCCCAGGAATCTTTTCATGTGGGGTGGAGTTAGAGGGCAGTATATACAAGGGCAAGGTTCACTTGGAAGTGAATCAGAAGATAGATTTGGGAAAAAAAGGAATTAAAAGGAAGGAGCAGAGTGAGGAAATACGAAAAAGTAGACAGGCTGTCCTCAACAGTTGAGTGATGGGCTGTGAATACTGGGCCCTCTCTCCTTCCTTTGAAAATATGACCTTTTTCACAATCTAGCTCTTTTAAATTAGTAACCTGTTGAAATCATTAGGTAAAGGGTAACTCAATCTGGATATGTCTGCTCATTTCTCTAGTTCTAGATGCCTTTTTTCATATTACTTATGTATCTTTAGACCCAAGGAAGTTCCATTATTGCACTAACCCAGGAAGTTAAAAAGAAAGCTGTTTCTGTCATCTAGAATTGTTAGTCTGAGAAAGATGTCCAAGTAGGGTTTGGCAGGGCTTATACAGTGAAACTTATGTGTTGGCAGTATGTCTATAAGTTCAGTTATTCCTCTTTTCAGAACAAAATTTATTAATTAAGACTAATCAAAAGTAAGTGTGAACTGGAATGTGATTTCAGTTAAGAATATATTTCTAAGAAACATGAGTACTCTCAACCTTCCATGTTCTTGGGTTCTGCATCTGTGGTTTCAACTAACCATAGATCAAAAATATTTTTAAAAAACATTCCAGAAAAGACAGGCACCTGTGGCTCACATCTGTAATCCTAGCTACTCAGGAGGCAGAGATCCAGGAGAGGAATGCAGTTTGAAGCCATCCCGAGGCAAATAGTTTGCGTGACCCTGTCTCAAAAAACATAATACAAAACAGGGCTGAAGGAGTGGCTCAATTGGTAGAGTGTCTGCCTAGCAAGCCTAGCAAGCTTGAGGCCCTGAGTTCAAGCCCCAGTACCACCAAAACCAAAACCAAAAAAATTCCACAAAGTTGCAAAAAGCAAAACTTGATTTGCTGAATGCTCAGCACTGTGCTAAATGCACGTGAAGGATAATGTAGGCACAGCCTGCGGTGGCCTCCCACTGTCACAGGTCTCCCAACAGTCCTGTGAGTTGTTTGTCATCTCATGTCTTATAAAAGCATCTTAAGCATCTGTGGATTTTGGTATCCACAGGTGGTCCTGGGACTCAGCCCCCACTGATACTGAGGGATGACTTTGCATATATTTCTGTTCCTATAAAAATTAATGGCATATTTAGATCCCATTGCTCTTTAATATACAAGAATGATTGCCAGTTAGGTTAATACAGACAAACTGATACTTCTAGGAAAGTTATGTTTATGTTAAAATAATTTGTCATCTTTTTCTGTGTCTTGCTTTAAGACCTTTATTTGGAGATAATATAGCTGGTCTGCAGCTGAAGTGTATTCTGCTCTAGCATAATTTCCAGATTAAGTATTTGAAATTTTATTATACTTTCTCTATAAACACCAGTTACATTTGTATCTAAGAAATGTATGGTTATGTATTACATGGAATAAAAAATAAGCATAGACATTCACATTGAGTTTTAGTGCTGAAATGGTTAGTACATGTAGTCTAGCATCTTTATTTTGTAGGTGAAGAAACTTGAGACTGGGACAGGCTGTGTTTTTACAAAAGCAGTACGCCTTGTTGGAGGTAGAGCAGAAACTAAAGGTCTTCTGCTTCTCAATCAGATGGAGAAATTGTTCAGCCTAGAAAAGGGGAAAGATAGAGCTCAGGGATGACTTGATTCTTACCTCCATACACATGAAGAGTGTCCTGCCACCCTCTCTTGGCTGTGATAACAAATTGTCTGCCAGGGACCGACATAAAGGGTGGGCTTACCTTGACCAAAGTTCATGTCTTTACTCCTGAATTTCCATTGAGATTAAGTAATATAACTGGACAAAGCACTTGATGATTGATGTTTTAAGATCCTTTTATATTCTCTGCAGTTTTAAGGATAAAAATGTGATAATGGAAATACTAATAATAGAATAAGTGTTATCCTTCTGGCATTTCCACATAGAAGAATGACCTTGTTGCTACTTGAAAAATGAGTTCAGATGAAATATTTTAAGTCCATCATTTGTGCGTGTACTTTTGGAAGAGTGCCATCTATCTCTTCTTGTAGAGCTGAAAGAGTTCCAGTTTGTTCAATGACTAACAAAGTTTTCTTTTTTTTAACCTCAGCCTTGGCAAATACAACATTATGTATTCTTGAACCTGTTATGTCTGTGGAAATTACAGCCCCAAATGAATTTCAGGGACCAGTAATTGCAGGAATTAACCGACGTCATGGCATAATCACAGGGCAGGATGGAATTGAGGACTACTTTACGCTTTATGCAGATGTAAGTACTACTGGCCATTGACATTCTTGTTTTTTTAATCCACAGAAGGAGATCATTTAGCTTTTGTAGATTGGAGAGCAAATTGATACATTCCCTGTTGAATTGTGACTTCTATTTATGTGGCAATTTCTGTTATTTGCTGTTAGTGCAAGAGCTAAAAATAAGATTGACTTTGTTTTGGGTCTTTGTGACTATTGCCATTTTCTTAGTTTTATTTGCTTAGCTGCTTTATTCTGTCTAATTAATTAGAATAATATTTAATTGCACCTGTTTTGACTTATAACTGGGGGAGAAGGTGATTATTATATTACTGAAGGTCTCCTGGAAGACACTGCTATCAGCATATCATTAAAATACCTGAGGGTGGCTGGGGGTGGAGGTCAGTGGTAGAGCACATTCCTAGCATGTGCAATGCCCTGGGTTCAAGCCCCAGCACCACACAAACACACAGAAGGAAGAAACCAGTGGAAATTTTGTTAACATTTTTACACATACAAAAACCCACTTCTGAATATGTGACTGGTGTTAAGAGAGCAGAGTGGTGATGAAAAGGGAAGGCCACCACTGGTGTCTACTCTGAAACTGAAAGAATTTGGTTTCTAGTTGTCTCTGTCAAATTAAATAACTTTCAAATAGGGTTTCCACTTGGAATAAAACAAAAGTATATTCTCTTTGACTTTTAATGCTTTTAAACTAAGAGTAGTTAGTAGAAACCTAAATCTAAGGCATTAAATTACTAGTGTGACCCGGGTTTTTCCTCAAATATTTTAAAACAAGCATTGCTAAGATATCTGTGTTTGCTTTTAGGTCCCTCTAAATGACATGTTTGGCTATTCCACTGAACTTAGGTCATGCACAGAGGTAAGTAGCTTTAAAATGAAGTTAAACATCACTGTGGTGCTTTTCAAAAGACTATTCTATAAGATGATCATATTTGTGAAATCATAATTTTTCATGATTTGAAACAAAAAGAAACAAGAAAATCTCTTTTCTCTCTCTTCCCTAGGGAAAAGGAGAATACACAATGGAGTACTGCAGATACCAGCCGTGTTCACCATCTGCACAAGAAGACCTTGTTAATAAATATTTGGAAGCTACAGGTCAACTTCCTGTAAAAAAAGGAAAAGCCAAGAACTGACTTTCCTCATTTTGAATGTAATAACTTTAAATCTGCAAGATTTAGATATGATGGACTCCAGTGGAATGAATTCAGGTTGCTGAAACATTTTAGAAGCCCATATTGTTTCACATTCAGGAGCTTCTGTCATATGCAAAGATAATTCTATGTATATCTCAACTCTGTTGATTGGTTTTATAATTTACTGAAAAACCTCAAATAAAATGTGATTATTACTGAAATATATTTGATATTTAAAGAAGGGACTGAACATAAAAGTTTATACTTTTATGTTTAGAATGTATATAAACCTCTTTCAAAAATTTTTTTATGAGAGTTTGTTCAGCAGAGAGAAAAGTTGGAAAAACAGTACATAGAATGGCATGTCCAGTTGAACAGTTTTGTTAATTATTTGCTTATTAAATAATTTGTCTCTCTTCTATTTATGTCTCATACATTGGTATTTTTAAATATTACTTTGCCAAAGGCTTGAAAGTAAATTTTGTATTTCATGACACTTCTTGGAGTGTCATTAGTGGTCAGGATTTTCAGTGGATTCTATATGATCTTACTAAGAACATTTTTTCAGATTCTTCATTGGGGTATTAAAATATTACCTAAATTTCTAGCATATAATTGCACTTCAGTTTGTGGCTTCTGCAGATTTGTAACTGCCTCTGTTTTAGGAGTACTGATGTCACCTGCAATCTTACATAAAGTAAAAAATAGATTGTTACATGTGCTATTCTTGTTTGTGTTCATAGTTTCTGCTCCCTAAATAAAAAATACAATTTATAGAATTGCTGACTCAGTTCATTCACTTAGTAAATATTAGTTGCATTTGAGTCTGCTATAATTTATCATGTATTGTATTCACTGAGATTGTAAAAGAACAAATGTTTAGCTTTAATTTCCAGAATAAGTTGAATTTTCACAGGCAGTGTAACCATACTGCTCAGAATTTCTTCATTCAAAAATTATCTGATGCCAAACTAGGCATGGTTAGTGCATACCTCTATTTCAGCACTTGGGAGATAGAGGCAGGAAGGTTGTGAGTCTGTTGTCCTTACTGGATAATAGAAATAAAACAAATGATTTTAAATTCTTTTGGTTTTCTTGATTTGTTAATTTGCTTTATAATTTAAGATTTCTAAAAAAAAAGATTTTTAAGAAGTATTAAGTACATATTTTTCCAGACATTTACTAGTTTGAACTCGTCACATAATTTTCATAACCCTGTGAGAGTAAATACTTCTGTGACTATTTTGTGATTGAAGAAGCAAAGATAAAGAGAAGGTAAATTGTCCCAGGATTAGACAGCTTATTAAGTTCTTACTCTTAATTTTTTTTTTCCTTTTAGGCTAAATAGTCTTTCTTTTTTGATGGTACTGGGGTTTGAACTTAGGGTCTCACGTTTGCTAGGCAGATGCTCTACCACTAGACCACTCTGCCAGCTTGCTTATCCAGTTCACAAATGGATACTTTAGTTACAATTATTCACAAAGTACATCTCCCCATAAATTTGTCTGAATTTGTCTATCGCAGCAGTAGCATCAGTTGATGGTTTCTTTGTCATTTCATCCGCATCATGTGCCATTCATGATTGAGTACTGTCCCCAGTGAGGAAAATATTACAGAATTTAGCACAGTCCCTCTGGCTTTTGAGAATAGTTAGAACAATGAGCAAATCTAGATGTGTGTCTTATTTGTTGAATATTCTGGTTATAAAGTTACAGTGTCAGAAAACATTCTAGGTATTTAGTCCATCAGCAGCATTTCATAGGCAATGATAAGGGCCCACTGGGTGGAAGAACTCAAATAGCACCATGTAGCGACAGGTCCGGGACCCAGAACGCACATCTCTTCTACTCATTAGCATAATGATAGTTGGTAAACACCATGTGCCAACCAAAGTCTGTAGCATGGAAAGACAATATTACTTGTGTTGGAGAATAGTAGTGGCACTAGGAAGTATTGCACAGATGCCTGCTTCTGACTCACTTTAAAAATCACCTGGGAAACACCCAGACTCACCTCCAGATATTTGGAGGCTCAAAAAATTTGCCAGGTGGTTCTAATTTGCATTCAATGTTAAAGACCACTGCAGTGATAGTTGGGTGTGGTGGTTCACATCTTTAATCCCAGCACAAAAGGACCTGGCTTTAGCTCAAGTGATAGAGCACTTGCCTGGCATGTGCAAGGCCCTGGGTTCAATTCCCAGCACCACACACAAAAAAAAGAACAACAGACAAAAATCCACTGCCAGATATATTCATGCGCATCTGTAATCAGCTACATAGGAGGCAGGGGTACAAGAATTGCAAAGCCGTATCTGAAAAATAAAAGCAAAAAGGGCTGGGGATGTGGCTCAAGTTCAGACCCTAGTACTGCTGAAAAGAAATAAAACACTGCATTGTTGCCTGCATTTAGACCTAAACCATGAAGTCGGAGTTCTTGCAGTTTAGATGTGTCATATTATTCTTCTGTGTGATATTAGAGTGTGGCTAGCTATTCTTCATTTGATAACTGCCTTTAAAGAAACAAGTCAATTTTTCTGTTATTCCTTTCCTCTCTAGTCACTCTGGGATGATATAATTTGTGAAATCATTAAAATTTAATCAATTCTGAAGTTCAGGATTGTTCATTATTTAATGCTTTCCATTAAATATGTATGAGTCTTAAGTTTGGCAGGAATCAGGAAGGAGTAAATTGTGACGTGTTGGAATGTGTTCCTCTGTAGAAGATAGCTATTTGCATTGTCAAAACTATAAATTGTTGGATTGGGGCTTTAATTGCTGATTAAAGTGAGTATTTACACATTCAAGTGCAAATACTAAAGCTTCCATCTGACTTTCAAAAGAACTTGTTTAACATAACAATTTAGATAGGAAATATGTAAACTATGAATGGAATAAAATGGAATGCAGTCAAAATCCTGGTATTTTTTTATGTGTTAAACTTCTGAAAGTTGTGTCATTGGCTCAGAGTGATTCAGAAGAATTTGTACTCTTTAACAAAAAGAGGATTTAGGGAATTTAGTTTTTCATCTTATGCCAAGGTAGATTGTTGTTAGTAAAATCAGTGTTAATAAAAATGAAGTCAGCAATTTTAGAGTTTGTGCTAGGAAAAATGTTCTAATGGTGAGATTAAGGAATGCTTAGTTGCTTTAACTTTTATGGGAATTGCAAATCTATAAATCAGGTAATTGTGTTTTTATGTTGTTAGTATATAATTCCGCTTCATAATCTGTTATCCTGAAACAAGTCTGTATAAGGGTTACCTTAGAATCTGTGGTTGAATTATGGTCATATTTATGAACCTAATGTCACTAATGGAAAATGCCTTTTTAAGAATGAGAGTTTGGAGAAAGCTGAAGCACCACATAAAAGCACCTTTGTAATGTGATAGGACATGGATGTGCTGTAATAATACTGTTGGGATATATTTTTAAAGATCATTTAGAGAGCTTCAGTTAGAGGAGTTTATCTTCTTAGTTTCATGAGAGATAAACTGTAGGTTGTAGATGGTATCTTTGATATTTTAGAAAAAGTACTTTCTCATCTATCACCTAGGCAGGACAGACAGCAGACTGATGTTTCCTTTCAAAGATACCTTCTTTTAAAAGCATGCTTGCCAGTCTTTAAAAGGTGCTAATGTTGGGAAGGTACATGCAAGTGTAGGTTTTAAGCAGAAAATACTAATTAGATCTCCTTAACTTTTTATTTTGTAAGAATCCATGTCTAAATTTTTTCTTTAGAGTAAATTTTCCCAGTTATATAACAGTGCAGACTAAGTAATACAGACAGTCTCCACTTGATAATGATTGACTTAAGATTTTTCAACTTTACAGTGACATGAAAAGTGATGATCCTCAGGAAAAGCTGTACTTAGAATTTCAATTCTGATCTTTTCCCTGGTTAGTAATATGCAGCATGATACTCTCCTGAAATGCTGGGCACCAGCAGTGAGACTCGCTTCTAAGTAGGCACAGGATCATGAGGGAAACAACATGACAGTGTCATTGAGTAGGATGCTCGGTACCTTAGGTGTGTCACATGCATTTTCAACCTATGATATTTTCAACTTAGGATGGGTTATCAGGACATATCCCATCATTAAGTCAAGGCACATCTGTACTTTGTTGTATTTTAAGGCTGATGTATTCTAATCAATTACTGGCCAAGGAACCTGGCTAACAGTTTTTAGACACTGATGTAAGTGTTCCATTAAATTATAATAATTTCAAGAGGCAAATGGTAACATTTCCTGGATCAATTCCTCCTGCCTTGAGGAGGTACTCCACTGAATTTGATTATGGTACATACTGTGTTTGCTTTTATAAATTACTTAGGCCAACACGGGTCCAATTTATCCTTATAAACAAAAATTGTAACTATTTGATATACTTTCATTTACATCAGTGTTTCTTTTACTGCATGTTTTCAGACATCTTTATCTGGCAAAACACTATTTGTAAAATTTGAATCAAGCAATATTAAGTTTTCATTTAATTCCAGTTCAGCTCAAATTTTGCCTATGCATACAAATCTGCAAACACATTTTATTATTTAGGAACATAAACATTTATTTAAGTCAAATCAATTTAAAAGGAGTACTTGCCTGAAATTATAAAATATACTAAAATTTCATAAACAGTTAATATTTGCTTGCATTGAAATACATTTGTTGACATATTGGTAGGAGCAATTTAGCAACATAAAATAGCTGTAGTATGTTCAAAATATTAAGAAACACAAATTCAGAGATGAAACCACCTTTGAAAGATAATTACGGATCCATTTGCAGCATATACTAATGGACTAGGTTTTTACTTCTAGGACTAAAACCTCAAGGAATGTGCTGATACTGATTAGCTCTGAGCAGAGGTCAGGATGTGCACACTTCCAGAGTCAAAACTCAAGCAGACCAACTGAACACCAATCCTGTCTTTTAACTGTTGAAATGTTTACTCGTAACCCTGGGCTTTCTTAAGTTACTAGAATGCTAGACCTTAGCTCTTGTGCTGGAGTAATGATTTAGGCTAGGAGAGTCATTTTGTCTAGAGTTTGGTATAAGCAGATCTTTTTTTTTTGGTGGTGGTGGTGATACTGGGGTTTGAACTCAGGGCCTCATGCTTTCTAGGCAAGTGCTCTGCCACTTGAGCCATACCCTCAGCCCACATTGTTTTTTATTTTTAGAAATTACTAAACTCCGCTGGTGCCATGGCAGATCCTTCCTCAGTTCCAGAGGCTTCTTCTGGAGTCTGCAGTTCTTGACAGTGGTACTTCACTTTCAGTGGTTTGCCAGGGTACCAGACCAAGTGAATACGACAGGGAACAATTTCCTAGGAAAGAAAGTTCTAAATATCATAACCTGTAAGAAGTTATAGTAAAAACATTTCTCCATACAATTTTGTATTTTACCTGTGTTGAGAATTCATGAAGCAGAACAGTATAATCAAAATCAATTGCACCAGCACTAGTTTTCTAGAGGAAGAAAAAAAAGAGTTACTGTGACAGATATAGTGGATTTCTGTGAGCTTAGAATTTGGGAGGCTTAAGTCACGTACATCTTGCTTTGAATGAGTGCCTCAGCTCTCCTGCTTTTAGACTTCAGCCTTACTTCCTTTGGTAGTACTCTGCATCAAGATAAAGAAGTCGTGGATTTTTATTTTGGTTTTGTCACTGGTTTTGAAAGCCTGGTTGAATGTCTTCATTACTTTTCTCTTTGATTTTACAGTTTTTGAAGAAGACCAAGTCTGTGGGGTAGGAGGAATGTTAATAGTCCTCAGGGATCCGAATGCAGTGTGCGCAGCAAGCTGGTGGGTTAGCCCTAATCCGCTAGGAGGTGAGTCAGCAGAAAAGGCAACCAGTGCTTCTCAACTTTCTTCTGTGGGCTAGTTCTGTGCTGAGCACTTCGTACCTGGTCTCCTGGTTCTGTCTGACAGCAGGATCGATCAGACACCTCATTTTACAGCATGGTTATAGCTATGGGTTTATAGCTACTGAGTGACAAGTGAGGATTCAAACCTAGATCCACTGACTCCAGTACCCACTTTCTTCATGTGTACTATACAAAGTTCTGCCACACTTTCTAAAACCAGTATGTTAGATCTTTTTTTGTTAGGCAGGTAATTGTCTCATCTGATTTACCTGGTTTCTTTAAGTTTCTATTAGTGACTAAAAAATTTTGTCTGGGGAATAATAACCCAAACATTGTATCCACATATGAATAAGAGAAATTAAAAAATAAATAAATAAATCTGTACTGGACATGTGTGGACTTTTTTCCTTTTCATTATTCCCTGTACAGTAGGACAACTGTCTACATAGCAATGAAGTATATGGGAAATGTGTGTAGGCTATATGCAAATATGCCATTTTATATAAATGACCTGAACATCTGTGGATTTTGCTACTGGAGGGCCTAGAATCAATCTCCTCCAGATACCAGTGGACAACTATATCTGTCTGGTATTGTTTTGTGGGTTTAATTAGCCTTATTTGATCTTTATTTGGTGACTATCTTGACGTTGGAAGGAAATAATTATCTGTCCTACAGCGTTCCACAACAGCTGCTATGTTGTGTGATAGTTGTTTCAGATTGTCTCACACTTCTGTACTCTTGGTACTGCTTCTCAAGCCTGACTGTGAATTGTGTTTTTATAATTAAAAAATTGATTTTATTTATAAATTTAAAAGTCTTTTTTTCAGGACAATGCCTTCTTATTCTAGAAGAAATCATGGCTGTCCCTGGTTTTCAGGCAAAAGGCAGAGCTTGAAACAAACAATGAAATTCCAACTGCATTAGAACAAGTGTTATTTTTAATGCAAAAACTTGAGTTATTATAATTAAGACCTTCCTCAGTGAAGTACTGAAACACCCTTAAATTGCTGTTCTTATAAATTCTTCCTCCTCTAAGAGGAGGCATCCTGAAACCAACACAGAAAGCACAGCTTATTAAGGAGCTGCAGAAGAGAACAGTGCACTTCCCAGTCTGGTAAAGGCTTCCAGGATTGGACCGCCCTCACCAGGTCAAGCTCTGCCAAGAAGTCATTTTTATATTCAGAAATAATCTCTGGCTTTTATTCAAATCATCGCAAATGCCAGATCTTTGTAGTCCAAATTGATCATGATTTATTGTTACATTTTTTGGTAACTGTGCTTTTGAATCTTCCTGGAGACAGACTGGACATGTTTTGTTTGTTCTCTTGTGACCCGTCCTCCCCAAAAGAGAGAATAAGCCCTAGCAGAATCAATGTGGTTTTACTAAAGAGTAAGAAGGCTTAAGTGATTACTATAAACTATTCTTGGCAGGGTAGGTGAGGTGGTTTCTATAACACACTTTTAGCTAGTATTCGAGTTAGTGTCAGTATTGAGCTGTCCAATAATGATGTTTGCTGGGTAGACCAGCTTACAAACTATGTACAGATTGGTAAGATTTGGGTCAATAAGCAGTTTTACTTTTCTCTATTCATATTAAAGGCTGAGAGGAAAGGGAAAGTCTTTATGTGGTGTCTCCTAGCTAGTGTACCTTCCAGTTCTTGGTATGGTTTTTGTGGTATTGGAATGGCATCTGTTTCAGTTCTAAAGAAATAATTATGCTAGTAAGATGACTCTTACAGTGTAGTTGTGTTTCAGTTCTTTTCTTTGCACACTCTTAGGGATATGGGTTTTTAAGCTTGCATTTACTTACATAATTGCTTAAAAGATGAGTTTAACTCTGAACATAAAGATAATGATTCCCACTCAGAAAATTTTGAAAAAATATAATCCCCGTACTTTTCTTGAGCTCAAGTCACTTTCTGCCTGTGCACTGTCTTGGCTTTATCATCTATGTCGTCCTGCTGCTGGTCTCTCAGAATTGTACTTAGACCTTTAACTCTTAGTGACTTAATAAAAAAACCACTGCTTGTTTTGTTTGTTGCTTGTATTACTTTTTTGCTGAAAAAAAATCGTAGGAATCATTGGTGGTCACTGAATGACAGATTTGAAAATCTATGTGGCTATGAGCATACAAATACTTTTCTTTAAGAAAACTCTAAGCCAAAATGTATATTAAATGTTATATTTGGTTTGCTATTACTCATTTAAGAGGCCCTATAATATGAAGTGCCAGCAAGTCAGTTGCATGTTCATCCATTATTTACCCAGCAACATCACTCACTCACATGGGCATTTAGCCCACAGGGTAAAGAAAATCTAAAGTTCTTTACTCAATGACCCATTCACCCTCATTTTTGTTTTTTTAACCATGTGGTTTACATGTATGTCCCCCCTTTCCTGCTTTCAGAGAGGAGGGATCCTATTTGATAAAAGAACTAGTGCGGTTTCCTGCCTTGTTATATAGCAACACTTAATTCCATAGTCATTTCTATTAAAAAAACACTCTATGAGGGGGGAAAAGACAAGGAAAGAAAAAACAGTTCTGACTGATGTTTTACAAGTGGCTTTTGGAAGGTACACCAGACTATTAAGCTGACTTAATGCTGGGCAAATCCCTATACCCAGAAGATACTGATGATCTACCCATGGGTAAGTCCGTGAAAAAATGGGTTTAAAATTGGCACTTACAATTAGTTCAGCTTGCTACTCTCAGAGAAGTTGAATTTATTTACCTGGAAATTCTGTTTTCTCCATACATCACACTCACCTTGACAAAAAACCCACCCTTTGCTAAATCCAGCTCTTTGCTTACTTAGCACCCATACCCACACAGCTGAGAGTGGCTGGTGCTTTGAATCCAAACCTTCAGGCAGCCTGTAGGGCTGCATGGCCACACTCAATGCTAGCTCTCATCCTCGCTCTCAGTTGATGACTACCTTTTTCATTGAGAAGACAGAGCAGGTAGCAGAGAACTTTCACTCAGTCTCACGTGGGCAGCTACCTCCTACCAGCATCTGGCTATTGTTCTCTGCCCCCTCCAGGTGAGCTGTGTTCCTGCCTGAGAGTTAAAGTTTAAGGGTCCAGGATACAGTCCTTATATACCTTGCTTTTCTGTCCACACTATTACCTGTGACTTACTCCAGTCTGTGGCCATCCCCATGGTCACAGTCATGACTCTAGCCCATTCCTCTCCCTTGAACTTCAGCCTCTTATGTCTGATATCATTCTTTTCTTGGTGACAGAATATAACATGTCACAAATCAATTTTCACCAAATCTGTTTCTCCCATAGTCTTCCCCAGTCAGTAAATAAAACTGTACTTCCAGTTTCAGCCAAGATCCTAAAATCATCCTCAACTCATTTTCTGATACCTATATACAACCCATGGGCATATACTGTCAGTCTACCAGAATCCAAACTCTCCTCACCAACTCCATTGTTTCCATCCTGTTCCAGACTACCACAAGGCCTCTCCTAGATTGTCGCTGTACTTTCCTAGTCTTCCTGTTTGCTCCCTTGTCTCCCTAAAGTCTGTTCTCCACACAGCAGCCAAAATGATCCCATGTAAGTCACAGCATGTCACTCCTAAACTAAAACCCCTGTAATAGCAGGTAAAAGAGAAAAAGACAAAGCCCTTCTGATGGTCTCCAAGGCCTTACATGAACAGATCCCCTCCACTTGCCCTCTATTCGATCTTATCTCCTTGCACAGCCCCTTTTCCATCCCACTGGCCACATTGCTGCCTCAGTTTCCTCTGCCTGAAATTCTCTTTCCTTATGGGTCCTGGTTCAGTCTCAGTTCCTTTTGGCCTCTGCTCCAGTGTCGCTTCTGCTCATATAGGCCTTACTTTAGACTGTATAAGCAGTCATTGTATCAAAACCCTGTCTTCCCTTTTCCCTACTTATTTTTTCTTTGTAGCACCACCATTCAATCAATATATATGTATTTCTTTGTTGGCTCACCGTCTTTTATCTTCTCTCACTAGAATTAAATCTCAGTATCAACATTTGTGTTTTTGTTCACTATTACATCCTCAGTCCCCAAAACAATACCTGGTCCATTGCAGGCACTCAAATATTTGCTAAATGAATGAAAAGTTGTAACAAACTTTTGCCATGAAGTTAGAAATTCCACTAGTTCCATCTAAGAACGCTGCACTGGTTGTGACTCCTGGCACTGGTTAATTTTTGGATTCTTACCCACTGCTTCACACTACTGAGCTGAGCCAAGTAGTAGTGTAACAACTGGGTGGTCTTTTCCCACATCACGTAAGAGCTGCCAAGAAAAGCCAAGTCCCAGATGGGTCTCAGTGAGGGATCGATATGTCCATGACTATCTGAGAAGGAGAAAAAAAAGTACTTTTGTACTAAGGCATTTCTATGAGACAAAATTTCCGAAGTTTAAGTTGAAGAAGTAAGAAATTTACCATATCAGATCATCTCTCACAGCAAGACTTTGAGCCTGGACATGTGATTTTTTTTTTATCTGTTTCTGTGTTAGAATGGAGATTAGTCACACAATAAATCTGTTAAAAACAATTTAATGGCAGTTTGCTGTAGTATACACATACAAAGTAAGAGCCATGCTCATACTAAAAGTTAACCTGAAGTTTAGTTCATTGAGAAATACTGTTAACTAGGTAGAAAAGACTATCAGTGATCTCCATGTTACCTGCTGGTTTGGGTCTTTGCGTCCTAACCTGACAAATGTCCTTGTTCCTCACCAGTCAGCGAATTTAATGCTGATCAGTGTATTGGCCACATGAAGAAGTCAGGTGGGTTCTTCCTATATCATTGTTTTTGGACCTAAAATATTTTAAATTCAGCAAATTTTTAAAAAAATCTGCTTCATAACAGTCTGCAGAGGTACATATACAATGCTTATTAATTTACTTTTTTGTAACATTGAGAAACTCAAATTTTAATGAGTAATTTATAAGATAACTTCATAGATATCATTTAATGCAATTTTGTGGAGATATTCTGAGTCTATATTAAGGCCCAATAATAGCACAATACATGGGGAACACTAAAAAGCTTTTTAGGAAATTAATTCTTCTTGGTAAAATGATTTTATCATAAATCTTATTTGTTGGTAGAACTTGACTTAGCTGGTTTGTAATGATAGACAATTCAGAGGTTTTCCCTGATAACTTTGGTACTATGAGAGATACAAAGGTAAGTCTGCCTTTCACGTGTGGACAGCATAGAGACAGAACTGATGTATTCCTTAACACAGGAGACAGCTGAGAAAGCACAGGCAAGGGAGAAGGGTTCCTCAGGCTGGAGAGTTTGGGGGAAGGCTTTATAGAAATGAGATTTTGCTGGGCCTGAAGTCCTGTTATGTAGGTGGGAGTAGGCAGGGGTTGGGGAGAAGAGAGAGAGAGAGAGAGAAAACACCAAGATGGGAGAGCACTTGGCAGATTCAGACTAAGACTCAGTGACTGGTCTTAAAAGAGTATCAGCCCTATTCACAATAGCCAAGTTATGGAAACAGCCAAGATGCCCCACTACTGACGAATGGATCAAGAAAATGTGGTATCTATACACAATGGAATTTTATGCAGCCATGAAGAAGAACGAAATGTTATCATTCACTGGTGAATAGATGGAATTAGAGAACATCATTCTGAGTGAGGTTAGCCTGGCCCAACAGACCAAAAATCGTATGTTCTCCCTCATATGCAGACATTAGATCAAGGGCAAACACAACAAGGGGATTGAACTTTGATCACAAGATAAAAACGAGAGCACACAAGGGAGATATGAGGATAGGTAAGACACCTAAAAATTAGCTAGCATTTGTTGCCCTCAACGCAGAGAAACTAAAGCAGATACCTTAAAAGCAACTGAGGCCAATAGGAGAAGGGGACCAGGAACTAGAGAAAAGGTTAGATCAAGAAGAATTAACCTAGAAGGTAACACACATGCACAGGAAATTAATGTGAGTCAACTCCCTGTATAGCTATCCTTATCTCAACCAGCAAAAACCCTTGTTCCTTCCTATTATTGTTTATACTCTCTCTACAACAAAATTAGAGATAAGGGCAAAATAGTTTCTGCTGGGTATCAAGGGGGTTGGTGGGGAGAGGGAGGGGGCGGAGTGGGTGGTAAAGGAGGGGATGGGGGTTGGGGGGAGAAATGACCCAAGCATTGTATGCACATTTGAATAATAATAATAATAAAGAGTATAAAATACATTGGCTTCATACTATGAATGGCCTTGTGTGTTGTGTTGTGCTGTGCCGTGATGGGGGTGGGGGTATGAACTCTGACTCAGTAGTTGGTGTGGGAAGATGACTTGAGCTGCTGTGTACAGGACAGCTGGAGGAGAACGAAATCGTAGAGACTAGATAGGAGGCTATTGTAGAATTCCTAGGAAGAATACCACAGGCACAAAGGATGGTGACAATCGGTTGGCAAAGACAGGGTGGGACCCAGATGCTTAGTGGTGGTGGCCTTGATAAAAAGCAGCATTTTAACATTAAATTATTAAATGTTAGGAGATGAGGTGTCAATGACCAAAGTTTCTAGCCAGACTCTAGCAGAATATGCATATCTTCTGGATGAAAGTAGTTGAGTTTGGAATTAGCTGTCTTAAACACAGTATCAAGAAAGCCACAGGAGTAGATGGTGTAAAATGCTCACAACAAATTGAGGAGGAGAAGCAAGAAAGCACATTCGTGTTGGTGATCTGGGTGTCCTGGGTGACCTGAGATAGGGTAGTTGAGCTCCACACATAGTGTAGAAACCAGACGGGAAAGGTTGAGGATGAGGCAGTGTGAATAGAATCTCCTTCTGAAGAGTGGACAGAATGAGGAAGGAGATGGGATGGTCATTCTATGAAGCAACAGCTTGACAGAGCGGTGACCCTGACTATCTCTTAGGGCAAGCCCAGGAAATGGTGATAGTGATGGGGCAAAAATCATGGAAGAAGCCAGACAAAACAGAATCAAGGGGATATAAGTAAAAGGAGCCTTAGAATAAAGGAGATAGTTGGGAAGAGAGAGTTGGTGAGGTGGAAAGAAGTCATGGAAGCACTGTCTCATCCTCAGTAAAGCAGAGGAGAAACTGTCCTGTGGAAGTGCGTGAGGCCAGGCCGTGCTCTGCGCCTGAAGAAGTGGAGCAGCTTCCACACAGCTGTTAAACAAGGTGCGGTAAGAAATTAGAGATGAGTAAAGTGGCATGAGCACCCAGCACTCGGAGAATGGCTTAAAAATAAAAACCTGTAGAGACTAAATCGGAGAGGTGTTGGTGGTCCTGAACTGTTGTCATTCACTGTTCCGTGTTCCTCTATGTGTTTTGGTCCCATAATGCTGACCTGTTAGCTAACATCCAAGCATCTTCACACTTAGAACGGAGCATTTTAATGCTGTTGATGAATGCTCCATGGAATTTCTTTAACCTGGCGGTCATTTTTCTGCCAGCAAATGTTAATCAACAGGGAGCTGAGACTGTTTTTATAGAAGTTATTGTAGAAAGTGTGTCTCTGATTTCCACTTCCTGACTAGAATGTCAGCATTTTCTTCATGTATCTCGTTTCTCCTGGTGTGAACCTCTGGGCCATAAGGATTTCGGAATGTTATGTAATGCAGGACTCTGACATCAACATTATGATAGGACATTTTCTCCTTGTTTACTATTACTGGGTTCCCTTCATCCTAGTTCTCATTGATTGGAAGCTTCCTCCATGCAACTTGCCCTCATCTCACAGTGCTGTTCTTTGCTTAGATTTGTGATATCCAAACCCATTGCCCTTGAAGATAAATGCTTTACACTAAAGCATTTGTGCATAATGAGAACTTCTGACAGAAGAAGCACTTTCGGGACAGACTGGACTATTCATAGCTCCTTAGTCTTCTCTGTACATAGCATACCTGGGTTCATTTAGGGGGAGTTTATGAGTTAATTAGAAAAAGCAAAATTTCTATTCATAATAAAAACAAAGTAACTACTTTTCTAAGAGAAAGCCACATGAAGCAAGGATTAGATCTTCTTAAGTACCAGTTATATAACTGTCCAGTATCACGGATTGATTAAACACTGAGCAGAATCTGGTAGGATTTGAACTGGCCGCTGCAGGGATATTTTTCATAGCTTTGACTCAATCTAAAACCAATTCTTTTTTAAGTAGACAGTTTTGCACACACAGACTATCATTGAGTGTTTGCTGAAATGACAGAGCAGAATTGTAAGCTTTGTTACGAAGAGGCTTCCTCTACTAAGATTCTTTGGAGTTTCATAGTAGCCCGATTAAGTTAAACTTTTACAGAATGATCCATATGAGTACACAGGCTCATTAACTGAAGAAGATCCAGTTAGCCCGTGCAACTGAAAAGTGTCAGAGATTTAGTGATCCTGTGGCAAATGTTCAAAGAAAGGTCTTATACATTTTCTAGACTGTCTGAAGAATAGATAAGCTCTATTTCCTGAACTAAAGGGAAAACAGGACCCTAAATAGCTATAGGTTTGTAAGCATTGGTCATTGGCTCACTTACTTCAAGCAGTACCAAGTATAAAAATGTGCTACTCCAATGTAAGGTTTTGAATTGCTCTTGGCACAGGATTTGATCCGAGCTGTTAGAGAACTATTAGGTGAGAATCATCCAAGGCTCTGAATTTTAGAAATGCAAGAAGTGTTTCATTTCTGGGTTCTTAAAAACATTTAGTTAGTGTGAGTAAGTGGGGAACAGAGACACTCAGGAATAGAGGCTGCAGGCCTGCGTGTGCCGACATATGTTTGTCATGGTATCTGCACAATGAGCGAACTGTAAGAGTGTGTGGGATGGAGAGTGTGGTCAGATGTCAAGTTTAATGCTCAAGTGCAAGTCCAGAGATGACTTTTGTGGTTTTGGAAATTGGATTTGCCAGTAAGTGCAGAGCCTCTGCTGCTGCCCACACACTGTGTTGAGTGCCAGGACAAATGAGCTCTGCTCCATTCCAGCTGAGTCATGGCAGAGGGCAGGACCTGTCTATTAGAGAAGGCACCACTGCCCATTAGCCACTGCCCAAGATGAGATTAACATGACCCAGTGCCACAGCAAGAATGGCCTGCCCACCCAGCCCTGGTACAGAGGGGCAGAGTATAGGCACTGGAGGGTGTCCTGTCATCTAAAGTTCCCAAGGCCATCACCACTCTAGAAATGTCACCTCAGGCTCTGAACTCGATCCTGAACACTGCACTCCAATATGCATTTCCTGTTGCAAAAACCTCTCTACCTTTTATTTGGAGGTTCAGCTCTTGCTGAAATGAACCCATCCCATTGTTCTGGGATGGGAAATGAGATACAGATAGCTTTTGGTGGAGCTTCTATATTGTACTAGAGATGAAGAACAGGAAAAAAAAACCTCAGCTTTGTTTAGATGATGAGGCACACCATAATCTATAGCTGAATTAAAGTGCCACTCCATGCCTTTTAAGATTTAGTAGTTACACGCATTCCTAAATATAGACATCAAACTACAGATTCATACCAGGTATGCTGCCGATGCCCAAGGGGTTCTTAAGTTGCTTCATCTGTTTGTAAAGCAGGTAATCCTCTTGTTGCTGTTTCTGTTTCTCAATGAGCCTAGTACAGGTTACATTGATGGCTGGTTTGGGCTTCTTGTTCTTGAAAAACACCTGAGCAGAGCATTTCCCCAAACGATCCTCACCTTCCTGAAGTAAAGATTTTGGAATTAAACAGCAAGGCTCCTTATGCCCACCCCAGTGCACACCACACACAAGACTGAGATGAGCAAGTTCACTGCACATGGCACATGCTCTAGCATCACAAGATGCAGCATTCGCTTTATAGAAAGTGATTCTGTGCTCGAAGCTGATGCAATAGTCCTTCATGCTTTGCTGTGGTTTCAAGTCTTGTCTTCTGACTGTGGCCTTGTGTCCCAAAGCTGGGCCTGTTCTAAAGAATACCACCGATGTCTGTGGAGCACAGCTTGGCACAAACTTTTAGCATAGTGGATAATTCGATCTCCACTGTGGACAGGCATGATGGTTAGTTGGACATTTAGGTTAATAACTTGAACTAAAAGGTGAGGCTGGCTCCTATTAACATTTGTGTATTAGCTCCTCCGGTTCCAGTTTTAAAGACCAAGATACTGAAGTTTAAAGAGGAACCTACTCTGTGTCTCACAGCTAGTAAGTGGTAAGCCAGGATCTGAATTCACTTCTGACAGAGTGCAACTCCTAACTGCTCTCCTCACACTGAGATCTAGTCTAGAAGTGCAGACACAGACCATGGGACTAATTTAAATACCCGAGTGATGCTTGTTCACATTCATATTTAAATGGAGATTTACTGTGTATTAAAAGGCCCATCTTACTTCCAATCTAAAGACTTCGGAGCACAACTAGGCATCTTATGTATGACTCATTTCTAGGATAGTGGTTCTTCTTTACCACTTTGGCCACAGATTCCTTAACCTGAAAATAAAAGCCAGGGAACCTATTCCTGGAAAAATGCACTTGTATACCATCAACACTAGGCCTAGAAATGAGGAGTCACTGGTCATGGGCCATTGGTCATGGCCCTACCTAAACCCAGCCGTAAGCCCCTAGCCAGGCTCTCCTGTTAAAATGTGGTTTGTTGAACATTTGAAGCAATAGCCTTCTTTTCACTTTTCTCTCTCTCTTTTTATTAGCACATATTAATGGTACAAAGTGCTCTTACTTTGTTCATTTCCACATGTACATATAATGAACTTTGATCAAATTTGCCCTATTACTTTTTTTTACCCCTTTTCCCTCTTTTTAAAACCATTTTAACAGGTTTCATTATTTTATTTTCATACATGTATATAAAGTAATCATATTTACTCACACCCCCATCTTCTCCTTTCACTCTCCTCCCACTGGTTCCCGTACTCAAAGAGTCCCCTCATTTATACTTGTGTCATTTTTTTTTTAAGGTCTAGATTCCATATATGAGAGAACATGTGATACTTATCTTTCTTGGCCTGGCTTATTTCACTAATATGATGATTTCCAGTTCCATCTATTTTCCACTTTTGCAGTTGTTTAAACGGGGTGGAGTCCCAGTTAGAAAAGCCTCCAGAAATAACCTTACGAAGAAAAGGCCCACAGGGAAACAAATTGTAATCAAAGTGGAATCTACCTAATAAGCTTGTTTTTGAACTAACTCAAAAAACTGAAATCAGCCTTTCAATGGACAGCTTTCCCCCTATGAGGGCCAGTTTTGAGTGGGAAGGAGTTTCTACAGTGCATTAAGGTGCTAATTATTGGTGCAACCTAGAAAAAAGGTGAAGGGAGTTTTCAGGAAGAAGTGTTATCAAAAAGCAGCAGACAGGGCACCTCATGGTCTCCTTAGATGTCAGCCATCTCCCAGGAAGAGAAAAATAACCAGGTATGGTATCACCCCCTTTTGTTTTGCTCCCTCCCAACCACCTTCCTGGGGAATTAAAGCAGCTTCCTAAAGATGAAAGGGCTCTCCTTTACCTCCTGAAATGGAGCACTTAATTAACTAAGTAGATTAATATACCCGCAGGATCAAATCCAGAGGAGCAGACTGATGGTCAGAATAATCTAGTAATTGTTTTCCTTTTAGCTTTAACCTAATGCTTTCAGTTTGCTACCTTAGAAATAAAAGGCATCTTCCTAATTCTTTAAGAAAGTTTTAATACTTGTGTTAATAAGCAAAATCAAAGTATTTTGTTGCTGCATGAAAACTTGTGAGCCTCCTAGAGTCCTTTGGCTGGGGGAAGTTGCACCTCTGCCTCTGAAGCTCTCCCTTCCTAAAACACTTTGGTGCCACAGGCTGGTGGCTCTTCCTAGGCTGCTTGGACACAGAGCAACACCAAGAGAATCTGGGTTGGTTTTTCACCTATGTTCCAATCACTGCTTCCCAGCCTGGCCCAGCACAGGGAAGTTCATCTGGCTCTAATTTCCAGGTAAGTTTTCTGTTTGCTTTCTTCTTGAAAACAGGGTAAAGGAAACTTGGAAAAACATGGGCTGCTTGGTGGGCACTGCGGGAGACTACTGATGCCTGTGGCACACACGGGCATCCCTGTTTTGCAGAGCGCCCCTATGTACGTAAGCTCATGGAGTTGGCCTCATGAGCTGGCCTGCTCACCAGAAATGTCACCAGCTGACAGGAAAAAGAACAAGTTGGCATTTGAGAGTGAGTCATTCTAAGGACTCTGAGGTGCTAGGAGGGACAGCAAAGGGAGCTGTGAAATTCTCTCCCAGAGAACCCAAAGAAGGAGGAGATGACGGCTATGTGGATCATTCTAAATGCAACCACAAAAGGCCATGACATTCAAGCAGTTGAATCTTAAGTCTTCTGCCTGGCTCAATTCTTAAATTCTTGAGAACAAGTAGAAAACAAAACTGGAAAAAAACCAGAAAATCTCCAGGCTTTGTTAAGGTTCTCACTTTTTTTTCCAGACTGTATTCATAGGAGTTGTTATAGTATATATCATTAATAGTGGCAGCTTACCTCTGGGTTGTAGTGCTCTGTGCTAAACACCAGGTCAACTTTACATCCCTTTTTTGGATCAACCTGAAATACAGAAACTAAATTTTAGCATAGTGGAAGCGCTACAAGCATCCTCATGTCCAAGAATCACGTGAGCTCTTGGGATGAGAGGGCATGCAAATGGTAGTGGCTGCATTTATACCTGAATGAAATTGGTGATTTCTTAGGAGAGGAAAGATGTCACATTTTGGTCTGATCATGTCATTCTGTTTGCGAGTGTGACACCAGCTCACAAAGAGGGAGGCTGAGAAAGGAATAAGGTTGGGTCCAGGCTGGAAGCTGACTGCCGTAAGAGCAACTAAATGAGAACTAGACAGGTGCAAACTAGACCTGGAGCAAATTCCTTTACATGGTGCCTTCTCCAGGCCTTGATCTGGGTGCTGGGGATAGACGAGGCTCTCCCTTGTCTTAGTCAAATGGGATAAAGGTAACAAATGCATAATAAGTGTGGTTCAGGTGGTGGTAAGTAAAGAAAGGGAGTGGTGGTCAAAGAAGTTACCTAAGACAAGGCAGTCTCGAAGCTGAGATCTGAAGGGCAGTAAGGAAGCAGCTGCACTCAGAGATGAGGTACAGAAAGGAGACCTACAAGTGCAGGTATGAGGTGGAATTTGGAAACAGACCTTTACCTTGTGAGAGGATGACAATTCTGAAGTCCTCAAATTCAGAAGTCCTCTGTAGGTCTCTGCTACAGTTTGGATCTTAAGTGTCCCCCAAAGACCCATGTGTTAAGGGCTTGGTCCTCAGATAAGTGTTATTGGGAGATGGTAGAACCTTTGAGAGGTAAAGCCTAATGAGAGGTCTTTAGGTCTTTGGGGGGTATGCCCTTCAAGTAGATGTGGGACTTCAGTTTTCTCCTCTCTTTTCTGTCCTGGCCAGGAAGTGAGGCTTTGCTCCATCACATACTCCTACCATGATGTGTCAATCAATCATGGACTGAAACCTCTGAAACTGTGAGCTAAAAAACCCCCTTTCTTCTCTATAAATTTTCTCAGGTATTTGTTATAGTAACAGAAAGCTGACTAACAGAACTCTCTTTCCCTTGCAGTTTTCATAGGCAGACACACAGCTAAGCTTTTGAAATGCATGTTTAGCTTTTTTAAACTTTTAGGTTGATTGCAGTGTATATTTTTGGAGAAAATTTAAGCTTATTTTTTTTTTTTTTGGTGGACTGGGGCTTGAACTCAGGGCTTCACACTTGCAAAGCAGGCACTCTACCACTTAAGCCACCTCCTTTATGTCATTTGCCATCATTTTTTTTAAGAAAGCAAAATGATCTTTCAATAAAAGGAATTTTATTTAGAGAAGAAAAGGAACTTTGTGATGCATGAAGCTTAAGTTATTTTGGTTAGTCTTGAATAAATTAGACCTTGTAAGCATCAAGTTCCTTTGAGTTTTGGCACAGGCACACAATAAATAAACAAGGTTATTTTATTTTAAAAAGACCAGATACCATCCATTCCTGCTGTAGAAACTGGAGAGGGGAGGATTATGGCAATTATTTTTGTAGAGCATATTTAAGCATGTAAATGTATATATGTTGGGTGGGGGGACTATCTAAGAGCACTGCACAAACAATAGTTTGCTTAGGGTTCATTCCTACTTTTCAAACACATTCTGGTATAAGTTGATGCACTGACTTCAGCTTACCCAATGCACACACAAATTGATCTGTTCACTCATTCCCTTTTGACCACCTACTATGCCAGGCACTAGGGAGATAAAAAGAAATGGGCATGGTGTCCAACTATCAGGAACCTTTTTCTAGGATCATCAGTAGGCTCAATGCTGCCCATGTGCAGGGTGCTGAATGTCAGAAGGATTTCTAGGGCAGGTGAGGCCTGGGCTAACTCTACCTGGTATTGGCCGGGAAAGGGGGTAGTGATGGAGGATAGGAGCTGGTATTCCAGGGGATGATGAAGATGAAGAAAAGATGCTCTGGAAGTGCTGGGAGGTCCTGGAAAGCTTCAGGTTTTATGAAGAGGACTTGGAACCAAATCTGAAAGCCTGAAGGAGCCATATCACACATAACCACAGTATGAAAGGTGTTTCCAAAAGTAGGATGAGACTTAGGATAGTACAAAAGTGAAATGTAGGATCGCTATTTTTATTATTAAAATCTATAGACCTAAGAAAGAGGAAAAACTGTGGAAATCAGAGTCTGGCCCAAGTTGAAGGAGAGGAAAGAATGGTAACATGGATTCCCATCAAGTTTCCTATTAGTCATCTTTCTGTAACGGTGACAAAATATCTGAGACAAACAACTTCAAAGGAGGAAATATTTATTTTGAACCGAATGTAGGTTTCAGTCCTTGGTCACTTGCTCCTATTGCCTCTGGGCCTGTGGAGACACAGTACATCATGGCAGGGGCATATGGTAGAGGAGATCTGTTTATTTCCTGGTGGCTAGAAACAGAGAGAGAAGGGGCCGGGGTCATAATATCCCTTCAAGGACATGCTCCAGTGACCTACCTGTCCCCAACTCCACTCCACCTCTTGAAGGTCCAACTACCTCTCTACAGTGCCACAAGCTAGTGATCAATACAGAGCTGTGGCAGAGGTGGGGGGAGTGGCATTTACACACGATCCATAAAAATGGCTTTTACCTGGGTTTGCTCCTGCAACATCCAATGAACAGGGAAAGGATATGAAGGAGAAATGTATGGCAGTGGCTCGACAGGGTGTCAGGGCCTCTGTCTCATAGGCTCCGGAAGTTTTCTCCCTGCCCATGTTAGAGGGACACAGAACAGTGGGCTTGACACCCCTAGCTGTGTGAATTACATTCACCTGCACAAACTCAAAGAATGGACTCAGAGACACAAAGTCCAGCAGAAGTGACACTTTAATGATGATTTTGCAAGATCAGGTGTCTGGTAAGCAGGCACACCCAAAAAACGGTTACAAGCATTTTATTCCCTAGTGCACAAGTCCCTCGCCCAGTTCCTCACTGGCTGAATACTGTGGGGTGTACAATCTTCCAGGATGTCACCTAAGTTTTATTATTTCCGTACAGGGTATTTTTTCTTCTCCCTTCCCAGTTTAAGTCACATTCCTTTACAATGACAATTGGCCCCTCCCCCAACATCCTGTTTTTCTGAGGACTCTGGATGCATGAGCTTTGTGTCATGAAAGTCTGCTATGCAAACAAGCTACTAGTCATTTTCCACTCAGGGTCAAATGTCTTGCCTTGCAAATGGACCACCACTGAATTTATTTCCAACAGCGGCCACACTGGTCCCATGAACAATGAGTACTCACTGGAGGTAACACTTCTGCTAGCCTGCAGGTTCTAGGCCTTAGAAGGCTTGCTGCTCCAGCCCCAGCCCTCCGCCCCTGCATGTGCCCTGGAGGACCTGGCGGGTGGTCCTGCATTTTCACTCAGGGCTGCACAGTGTAGCTCTAGGTGGCAGCCAGCACTGCTTTTTGGTTGCCAGCTGCTGTGGGGAGCTACGGGAGAGAAGAGGAATAGGAAGCAGAATGGATGGCTTCACTCTGTGGTGCACGGGATGCTGAGTGTTGTACGGGTGGGCTCAGCAGAGGTGGCTAAAGACATGGAAACTGTGCAATGCTCCAGGGAAAACATGGAAGAAGAATCCTGAGGAACATCAGCCTTTACATCAATAACAAATTGAGGCATGTTAATTTGCCAGAGGAAAGCATTCATAAGAGTCTTCCTTATTCCTGCGTCTTAAATAGGGGACTTCAACATTGCTTGGCTCAGCAGTTCTTTGGAAATGTGAAGCAAAGTGAGGTCCCAATAACTTCTTTGTAGGGAAAGAAACAGAACTTGATTACCCAAGGCTCTGCGCTGAGTCTGTTGGAGTCTGTCCTTTGGAAAAGTTATTTTCTTTGTTAATTTGATTTCCTTATTTTGTTTTAACTCTACACTCTTAAAAGCATCTACATTTCATCCAAAGTAGGATTTTAATATTTCCAGTTGTATTTTATCATGTGTCAAAACTTAATTGTTTTATCTCCCTCAAATCCCTCTCTATCTGAGTCACAACTTCCACAGCGATTTGCTGGCTCTGGTGAGATAAGCCACAAGGTCATCACAAGGCAGGGCATCAAGACACAGTGCTTTGTGGTCCTGGGGGTTTGAGGATTGGGTTTTACCCTATTTTATATCTTTAACTGGGATTTGAGTACTGGGGTTTGAAGGAATTCAGGCCCTTGTGCTTGCTAGGCAGGCACAATACCACTTGAGCCATACCCCTAGTACTTTTGCTTTAGTTATTTTTCAGACAGGGTCTCAATTTTTTCCCTGAGGCTGAACTGAGACCACCACCTCCTACCTACACCTCTTATGTAGCTGGGATGACAGGCATGCATCACCACACCTAGACTTCTAACTGTCCTTGAATCAAAATATGCTGTGATAAGGAGGTCTTTGCTCTCTACCACCTCCACTTCAGGGTTTACTGAGTGCCCACCATATTCCAAGCACTGTGCTAGGTGTGGGAAACAGCAGGCAAAACAAGAGTATCATTTGCCCTCTGGCAGTCTACAAAGGCTCTGTAGAGTTGATTATTTGATTACAGTCATCTTACAGCTTTGAAAGAATAACTGAAGAACTGATGTAGCTTAGGGATCAGGACAGTGACATCTGAGCTAAACTCTAAAGATTAAGAAGGAACTGACTTTGGGTGGGGAGTGGAGCCAGCAAAGTATCCCACAGAGAAGGAGCAGGAGGCTGTGGGGCATAAGAGCAGAGAGACTGGAGCCAGCATGCTGAGCAGGTGGCAAGGGTTGCTCCTGCAGGCTGAGATCAAATGGGAAGCCATGGACTAGCAGGAAGGATTGTGAAAGGATCCTCTAGCTGGAACGCAGAGAGCTGATGCTGGAGTGAAGAGGTGTGCGTGGTGGGGAGGGGAAATCTAGCTGAGGTTGCAGATGGAGGTGGTAGAGCCTTGAGTCAAGGTAGTGACTATAGAAGTGAAGTATATGGTAGACAGAAACAAATCCCATTAGAAGTAAAAACTGAATGGTTATAAATAGTCATGTTCTGTACTGCAACATTTGGTTAA